GAATGATCCCATCAAGCATTCGAAGGCATGGATCTCTGATGAGGATAAAACACTTACTAAGTAAGATGCACTCAGGCATCCAATACTCAAAAATCTGGTTCACGGTGTAGAATCTGGGTTTATTTACAGAAGCGGGGTGGGCAAGCTGCAGTCCTAGAGCCTGCAAGCAATCAGTTCTGACCTCTGACAACAGCAGACTGTCCCTCTCAGCCTACTGGAGGGGGGGTAAGAGGGGGGGATGGAAGAGAAAGAGGTGGGTGGAGAAAGGGAGAGAGAGAGGGGAAGAAGGAGGGAGGGGAGGAGGAGGGTGATGAAGAACAGGTGTCAAAAAGTTGGGGGTGGAAAGGGAGCATCAGTATGCAAGATGAATCATTATATGATCAAAAACTAGAATCAACTTGCAGTAATCTGGCCCATTATAAATAGGAGCTGCTTGGAATACAGTCTCCAATTAAATACAAATTCTTGAAACTTCTAGAAAAGCTTCTATCTTAGTTTCATATGATTTCTCTAAAATTGCAAAGCACATTCAGGAGAACCATTTGATAAAGACAACCAGCCACGTAACATCTTGTAACTTGGAAAAAAAATGCAGCTTGTATTTGGGAGAAACTATGTTTCTAATGCGTATTGGATCTGCCTATAACAGGCAACTAATCCTAGGCATGTTTACTCAGAAGTAAGTCCTTGATGTATTTGCCAGAGCCCCTTTTCCAGAAATCTAACTAGACTACTTTTTAATGCTTCAAAACCAAAGGAAATACAAGTCTCCGTTTAAACTTTTATAACACTAGGTAGACACAGGCCATGTCTTGCAAAATTCCCAGCTAGTTCTTGGGTTTGAAAAGCCAGTTTGTGATCAAGAAACTTCACTTATGAATTTCCTGATGAGGTCTCACTCTTCGCTCCACAGAATAAAATGTTAATTGAAAACATTAAAACCCACTTTATGTCCTAGCTAGAAGAAGTGGTTTTCCTGGGATGGTTTAGGCATAACTTGGGTTCAAAAGAAGATGGCATATACCCAAGGGCCTTCAAAGCTAGATACATCATACTGATTTTAATAGTGACGTCTTACCCCATTTGTAGAAGGTCTCATACACCCGCATTTCAAGCTCCTGGCATTAGTCTGGCTCACCAGCTTCCATTTTTCACACTGTTATTTCCTTGGATTGTATTTTCCTGGCTACTTTCTTTACTGCCTGTTTTAAGAAGAATGTGAACTCAATAACATTCTAATTCCAGCCAGTCTTTCCAACCACAATTTTAAAGTAAATTTAACATAAGACTTGATGGAAATGGATACAGCTCAATATTTACACCAGTCTGCACCCACTTAGGATTTGACCCAAGACATTTCACCTATTCAAAAATCACTGTCCTTTCTGTGCTTGGCAGCTGTGGTTTCTACAAGACAAACGGTGCTCGTTTCCGCCCCCTCGGTGCCACTCACAGGGCAGACAGTGTAAATACCAAAGCCATGCATAGAAATTGGCACAGATGGACTTTTGTATCATAAACTAATAAACAGAATCCATTTTTGTCCCATGTTACTAAGCAGAATCAATTCACACTACATTCACAGTTGTTGTTTTCTGTTCCTTTTTTGTTTTTTACACATTGATGATATTTTGTGGTCAAATTATAAAGGGAATCAATGAAACCAGGAGGGCTGCAATCCTAAGCACATTTTCCCGGGAGAAAGTGAACTCTGTGGGACTTGCTTCTGAGCAAACATACCTAGGATTAGATCGCATGTTATGGGCAGATTCAGAATGCATTAGAATGTATTAAGTTTCCCTCCATATGCAAATAAACTGCTAAAGCGGGGATGATTCTCACTGGTACCACAATGGAGGAGAAAGTGTTAACCCCCTCCTTTTACCCCACATGGTCCCAAACATGCTCAGGCTGCCCCATAGCTGCTATTTACATTTTTAAAGTGCCATTTTAATTGCGATCACAAAATGAATGCCACATCTAGTTTGCCTTTAACAAACCTGATTGGCAGAGGTTTTCCAAACTCGTGTTATTTGTTTTTATTTATTTGTTGCATTTATATCCCACCTTCTTCAAGGAGTTCAAGGTTCTCATGGCTCTCTCCCTCCTCATTTAATCCCCACAACAATCCTGTAAGGTAAGTTCGGCTGAGGGGAAGTAACTGGCCCAAGGTCACTCAGTGAGCTTCATGGCTGAGTGGGGATTCAAACCCAGGGCTTTAGCATCTTGGAAGAGCCACCCCACGCTGGGTCCTTTTTAATTCCTCCCCACCCCCCATGCACTGCAGTGCTCTGAGCAGCACCAAGCAACTGAGTTTAGCTGCTTTTTAATTTCCCACAACGCCCTGATGTATGGCCTTTGTGAGGCATTGTGGGAAATTTAAATGGCAGCCCTTAGCTACAGAATAATGTCACTGGCTGTGAGCAGTAGCAAAAAGCTTGCTAAGGCTCTCCAACAAGGTTGGGGACCTATCAAGAATGAATTTTGCCCAACGCTCTCGCTCTCTCTAATCTGGACTTGGCTCTGGTTGGCCTACAATGCCACTTTGTATTGGATCCGTGCCAAGAAATAGTTTCATGCGAATTTCCAGGATTGCAAAACAGAACAGCAACAAAAAAATCATAATGGAAAAAGGTTAAATGAATCCAAACAGAATCAAGGTCACAAAGGATTATATTATGTGTGACTTTACTGCCCTCTCCTGGCTATATTTATTACATAATGTTAATAATGTACACCTTTCCAGAATCTACCAGTTGTTGAAGAGTTTTTCATTTCTCCTTTAAATAACTTTGTTTCCTGCTTGTTTGTTTTTCACTAAACATTTTCTAGTTTTAGAATCTCATCTATGGTTCTAGTATTGTATCATACAAAGTGATACAATTATTTTTTATAAACAAAACAGTGAGACTCCTACAAAAATTAGCTTCTTTTTCACATATCTTCATATGATAACTTGCTAATGTACATTTATGAATCATTATGCTTGAACTGAACAGTGGAAGATCTTCTTATTTATTTAAAGCACTTTTACTCACCTCTTCAGTCAAAAAGGCTCCAGGGGTGACTTACAAGATCAATAGTAAGTTAAGTCCCTGACCTGATTGTTAACAATCTAAAAGACATGACACACAAGGAAAAAGGGTGGGAAGGAATAAAAAAAACAAAAGCAAAGTCAGGCACTAGTTCATACAACATATACACAGAGACAACTTTGAATATATAAGACACTTTGGTTTCTCCATCAGAAAACAATAAAATCACTTGCATAAGTAAAGGTAAAGGGACCCCTGACCGGTAGGTCCAGTCACGGACTCTGGGGTTGCATGCTCATCTCGCTTTATTGGCCGAGGGAGCCGGCATACAGCTTCCGGGTCATGTGGCCAGCATGACTAAGCTGCTTCTGGCGAACCAGAGCAGTGCACGGAAACGCCGTTTACCTTCCTGCCGGAGCGGTACCTATTTATCTACTTACACTTTGACATGCTTTTGAACTGCTAGGTTGGCAGGAGCAGGGACCGAGCAACGGGAGCTCATCCCGTCACAGGGATTCAAAGCGCCGACCTTCTGATCGGCAAGCCCTAGGCTCTGTGGTTTAACCCACAGCACCACCCGCGTCCCCACATACCCAAAAGGAAAAATCAAGGCTAGAATCCTATTATTATTATTATTATTATTATTATTGCCGCTGCTGCTGTTATCATCCGTCTGCCTCGAGAGACAATAGTGTGCACCTCTGAGGATGATGTCTAACTGCTGTGTTAGCAGGACTTAAGTGATCTCCCAGGACATGGTGGTTCTGGGCTGCCCAGATGACAAGACCCACCACTTTCAGCCTCCCTGATGTGGTCCAAAGGAAATCAGAGCATTATGTTTGGCACCAGCTTGGCTGCAGGAGTTGCCAGAAGGAGGCATACAAGGCATAGGGATGCTGCTCCAGATTTGTGTAGGGTTTACTCCTTAGCCTTTTCTTCACCCAAAGATAAGAACAGCGGAGGTTTAGGATCAGAGTTTTCCTTCTCCTAGATGGGCCACCTTCCCAGGTTGACAAGCCTCACCTGCCCCCCCCAGTTCCCTCTACAGCATGTGCAGAAACCACCTTTCAAACTATGGGGCCCACTATTGGTCTGTTCCGCTCAATCCACCAGAGTCTGTCTTTGCACGCTTAATTTCTTTTTAATTTTCCATGATTTTTTAAATTAAATCTGCAAAAATTAATTTATTTAACAAGAAACAAAATACAATGAGTCATAGTGGACTATTTTGAAAAGTTTCTTTTTATAGATAGCATAGTGTATAGACTGTTTTAAATACTATGAACTGGATTTAATTAATGAAGAACTAAGACTTAATTGAAGTGTTTAAGATTAGCTAGTACAGCTAATTGGGACGCGGGTGGCGCTGTGGGTAAAACCTCAGCGCCTAGGGCTTGCCGATCGCATGGTTGGCGGTTCGAATCCCCGCGGCGGGGTGAGCTCCCGTCTTTTGGTCCCAGCTCCTGCCCACCTAGCAGTTCGAAAGCACCCCTAAGTGCAAGTAGATAAATAGGTACCGCTTTATAGCGGGAAGGTAAACGGCGTTTCAGTGTGCTGCGCTGGTGCCGGCTCGCCAGAGCAGCTTCGTCATGCTGGCCACGTGACCTGGAAGTGTCTGCGGACAGTGCTGGCCCCCGGCCTCTTAAGTGAGATGGGCGCACAACCCTAGAGTCGGACAAGACTGGCCCGTACGGGCAGGGGTACCTTTACCTTTTTTAGTACAGCTAATTACTTAACTTAAAACAGGGAAGTCTGATAGAATTGTAGTGTTTCGTATTGTGCTTTTTTCAGTATTTTGTTTGTTACTATGGTATGTATTCTTGTGTTTTTATATTGTAAATCACCCTGTGATCCCTGGACAAAGGGCGGTATAGAAATTTAATAAAATAAAAAAATAAATATTATCTTGCTCTTTATGTTTTCATATTGTTGCAAACTGCTGTGAATGATACAGCAATATATATATTGGACTGCAGCTGCCATGAGCCCCAGCCAGTATTTCTTTTATTAATATATATGTCTATATTAAAGAAATACTGGCTGGGGCTCATGGCAGCTGCAGTCCAATAGCATTCAGAGAACCACAGGTTTTTGCTGTGCTTGATTTAAATATTTTTTTTTAAAAAAATTACAGCTATCTGCTAATCATTCAGACACAAATTCTGACTTGCCAGCGACTTTCAGATCAGATAAAATACAAGGCAAAAAGTGGAGCACATTAGGAACCGGCCACTCTATGCAGGGACTGTGCTATCATTGGACCAATGTGACAGACTTCAGAGTGGTGCAGTACTGACCTTTGAAAGGGCATGTTTTTATACAGATTATCTTTATAAATCTGATATTTTATTTTTATTTTATATTCTGAAGTTTTATCATTTTTGAAGTAATGCATACCGTATCCGTATGTATGAAAAAGACCGTACAGTTGGTTGGAAATCTATGTAACATATACCCAAAAAGTGAAAATGCATTTAATTTAGAAAATAAATTTAGCAGTTTCAAGTGCTTTTGATTTTTTTCCTAACACACACCTGTTTTGTTTTTAAAATTGAAGTTAGCAATTTTGGGGAGGGGAGGGAGGATGCATTCTTTGTCTGGGGCGCAAAGAACAGCCTGGCACCGGCACTGACTCCACCTGACCCCCGATTTATGGGATCACGGCCAAGCCGCGTCCCCGCTCTCTCGCCTCTCCGAGCGAGCAGCTTCCGCTTTCGTTCCCGGGGATCGCCAGCCTTCGCGCTCCGCCCCGCGCCCCGGCCTGGGCGGGCCTGGGAAGCACGTTTTGCGGCGCGTTGCATCAGCTGCCGGGGCCTGCGCAACTGAAGCCAGCCCGGTTGAGTTCGCTGGCTGCCGCTTCCATTGGGCTCCTCGCCGCCGCGGAGGGAAGAACCGGCTCAGCCTGTGCAAGGAAGGAAGGAAGATGGAGACGGCGGCAGATGAACAGGTAAGGGGGCTCCAGTTTGCGCCCAGCCTCCATGGCGAGGCTGGCTGGAGGCAGCACCCGCCCTCGGTGCCTCCAGACTTAAAAGGAGGCCTCGCCTTGGGCTCTTTTTCTCTCGCTTTCAAAGAAGCTCCTCCGAGGAGTCTCGGCTGGGTTTGTAACGTGAGGACGCTGCTTGCGCGCACGGCCACTTTTACGCAGCGCCCTTGGCTGTGAAATCTTTGGCGTGTCGCCTCCTTTCATATTATAACTGACCCCCCCCCCCCCATACGTAGAAATGAAATAGTTGTTTTCCCCCCTGGTAACCTCGCACCCTCCCTTTGCTAGAATACAAGGCCTTTCCTCGCAGGGACCTCCTGACACCCGCCTGTAATGTGTGAAGCGTCATACACGTGGGCAGTATAGTGTTACGTGGACTCTCGGGAAGCTGCCATGCAAATGTCAGCGAGGATGTTGTAGTTCGAAGGCCAACAGTCACAGCTACTGCCACACCACCCTTTTTCCCGAATCAAGCTGGGTGCTTGTCTTTTAATTATTTTCTCTATTAAAAAACAAAACCTGCTTGGTATTCCTCCAAGGAGCTGGGAGTGTTGTGTATAGATGGGGGTCATTCAATAAAGAATGGTAGTTGCTGTTTCGTTTCCTCTCCAAGGTAGGGCAGCCCTTCCTGTAAAGCAAGTGGGATCTAGGATCAAAAAAAGTTGCCTCATACAGAGTCAGGCCATTGGTTCATCTAGCTTAGTACTGTTGACACAGGCTGGCAGCAATTCTGAATTTCAAATGAGGGGAATTCCTAGCTCTGCTTGGAAATTCTGGGAATTGAACCAGAGACATTGTTCAGGCACAGCAGGTGCCCTTCCTCTGCTATGGACCTTTAAATACCTATTTTTAAAATAAGAAAAAAGAGAGGAAGTGCGTTTCATTAATTTCAAACAAATTGGACTGTTTCTTTTTAAAATCCTTGCCACTGTCCTGATTTTTGTGGTGTCCAGTTTTCTTGTTTTACTTTAGTTTTGTGAACTGTCCTGAGATCTCTCCTACAGAGCAATCTGGGGATCTGATAAATCAGTCAAAAAACAGCCACAGGCTGCATCTTGATGTACAAAGGCAATATGCTCATCTGATCACCAGATGCTTGAGGATAAGTCTGCCTCCATCTTGATATTTCTGGGTTGCTTGGCTGCTCCTGGGCATAGAATGCCAGCCTAGATGGTCTCCTGCTGCCCAAGTTTATTAGGAAGTGTGAATACAGAACACTTCACCATGGCGGCAGCTTTGGATTAATCCATCTGCAGCTCCAAATTGTGAGTATGAAAGAGAAATAAAAATGGATTGAAGTACAACAGGCATGTGTTGAAAGCCCCCTCAGTACATTCACTCATTGACAGTGGTTGTCAACTTTTAGAGACAAGGAAGGGCTCGTTCCCTGTTTGTGCGCCAGCGAGGAGTGCCAATGGGCTACAGGCACAAATTGTTTTGGGATTCCTGCTTTTAACTTGGCAGAATTGGATCACCAAGTGAGTAGTCCTCAACACTTTCAGGTTTGGCAATGCAAGGTCCCTGGGTAACAGTTTGTGCATTGGCATCGCCTGTGCTTTCTGAGGAAAGAACGGCTGTGTTTCTGCCCTTTTCTTCAAAAAGAAGCTTGCAGGCCAGGGAATGCAATGCCAAAGGGAGCCTCCCATCTTGACAACTGCGTAGCTAAGCATTTTGACTCACCCAAAGTAGGAGTTGGTTTGTTTATTATTATTATTAATCTTACTTTCTTTTAGCTTAATAAGAGGGTTGTTACTAACAGAAATGGATTTGAGATTCCGGTGCAGCTAAAATGTTTAATTATCCTGAGTGTATTCACACTAAAGTTACAGAAATTCCTCTGCTGTTTCTAAACAGAATAATGATTTTTGTAGCAGGATTAATGATGACACTTTTTGAAACAAGTGCCTTGGTGGTTTTCTTTTATTCTTCTAGATCATTGCTGGGGGAGAGAAGAAGAAAGAACCAGGAAAGAAGAACAAGAAGGAGGGAACTGGCGATGGTGGGTGCTTGGAGGTAAGCCTCTACTTCATGTTTCACAACGATGGGCAACTGGTGGTCCTCTAGATGTTGTTTGACTACAGACCGTTGACTGTGGTTCCTGGGGCTGATGAGAGCCCAGCAACATCCCACCTCTGTACTTAAACTATTTACACCCTGACCTGGAGCATATTTACTTGGGAAGTAAGTTGCCCTGATTTTTCCATGCAATTTATTTCTGAATAGGTGTGCCCTTAAAACTTTTTCCCCCAGGGTTTTCTCACAGTTTGAGTTTGGAGGGATGCAAAAGCAAGGTACACCCTCCGGCTCTCTTGCCCCTTCTGTCAACCAACCTTTTCTGATAACAGACCTCTCTCTGTACCATAGGCAGGGTGCTCCAAGAAGGCACCTGTAGATAATTTGGTCTTTATGGCGCAACCTCTAAAAGTCTTATCTACATGTGGATCCAGGTATACATACAAACATCTCCCTGTAACATAGAAGCATTATGGGGCTTAGTTGAGATGTGCTGGAGGTTGCTCAGAGGCCTGAAGGGATGTGTAATCTGGCCAGCTATGGTTATATTTGAGATGGTTGGGTAGGAACATAAAAACAGCCTGGGTGGATCAGACCCAAATGTCTCCCCAGTCCATAACTTTGTTTGTAACAGTGGCTGGACTTAGGCCTCTGGGGTGCATTCAAGCAGAGCATGGAGGCAAGAGTTTTTGCTTTTTAACCCCCACCCCAAATATTTGGTACTCAGATGTGTACTGCTATTCAATATGCAGATTCCATTTTGTTATAACAAGCTATAGTAAAATGATATGTTGACTTCTGAATGGTTTCTGAGACTCTGAATAAAAGTATGCTTACTAAGGTTTTGTGCAACTGCTTTATTAATGGCATGGCTACTTTTGAAGTACATTAAATATTTTAGATGAACTCTGAAGTACAGTGGTACCTCCAGTTATGAACAGGATCTGTTCTGGAGGCCCGGCCATATCCCAAAGATTTCATAACCAGAGGACTGTTTCTGAGCTTGCGTGAGCGGCAAACCCACTTTCGGGTTTGCTGCATTCGCAACCCGAAGATTATGTTACCTGAAGGTCATGTAACCTGAGGGTCCACTGTAGTTAATAAGACTGGTTTCCACAAAACTCCTTTTTCTCCACCTTTCCTTTTTGCATGCAGCTGAGTCAGTTGCCTGACTACATCAACCCGCGACTAGAAATGTATCATAAACTGAAAGCAGAACATGACGCGCTTATGGCAGAACGAGCTGCTAAAGAAAGCCGGCCCATTAAAGTTACCTTACCTGACGGCAAGCAAGTTGATGCTGAATCCTGGAAGACAACGCCATACCAAATTGCCTGTGGAATCAGGTGAGCTTCCTCTTGGAGTGCAGAATTTCTTATTTGGGTATTTAATCCTTAATAGTGTGCTAACCACCCTCTCCTCTGCTTTTATTCTTCTTTCTTTCTCTAAAATTGTATTCAATATTTTCAAAAGCGATTTATTATAGGAATAAGCTTATTGTGAAGATGCTTGCTTCAATGAGGTATATTAAAGTGATCACACACACACACACACACACACACACACACGTTGGCAGTAGTTCTATGCTACTTCATGTAGCTAACTGTTAGTCGCTGGATAATAATTTTGAATTAAACTCAGGAAATTCTATACCTTACAAAAATCTTCTCTTGAGCAAAAGAGCTTGATCCACTAAACACACAGACTCTGATAGCAGGTTTTTATATCTTGAAAAATAATCTTTGAATAGCCCTGGTAGGATTAGGAAGTTGGTTCATTGCTTATGGGAGTGCACATTCGGAGAAGTGATCAGTTGTAACTCATGTGCTATTGAAGTATATCTGTTGTTTCTTGTTGTATACAAACAGCTTATTATAACTATTTTGCCTTTTTAGTCAAGGTTTGGCCGACAACACGGTTATTGCTCGAGTGAACAAAATGGTTTGGGATCTAGATCGTCCTTTGGAGGCAGACTGCTGCTTGGAACTGCTAAAGTTTGATGATGATGAAGCAAAAGCGGTAATCTACTATTTATAAACTGCCCATTAAGGAAGGAAGGCTTTAAAAGAGAATACCTGGGCTGGGTTTAATTTTTAGGAATAATTTCTTCAACATCTCAGGCAATTGATGTTTCAACTGATGAGCATTCTGCACTCAACATATAGTTTTCTAAATCTTTCACTGAGCAGCAATGTCTGGCGCCCTGTCATCACCTGCTGTTCAGTTTCTCTGAGCTTTAAAACCATTTTAATTGTTCTGAAAAGTAGGTTTTGTTTGAGGGCATGTGTAAAGGGACTCTCCAGAGTGGGACAATTGTCCTAATTATGTTGAAACGTATGGTCTAGTGGCTAGTGTTGGACTATGACCGAGGAGAGCAGTCCCCACTCAGCCATGAAGCTTGCTGGGTGACTTTGGGCCACTTACTGTCTCTGAGCCTAACCTACCTTACAAGGTTGTTGTAGTGATTAAATGAGGAAGTGGAGAACAAAGAGTTCCACCTTGAGCTCTTTGGAGAAAAGATGGGATATAAAATGAATGAAATTGGGGTGATAGCTCAGAGCAGATGTATTGAAATCAATGGACTAAAATTTACATCACTTGAGTTTAATGAGTCTATTCAATATGACTAGCGTTGGATGTTTCTTTCAATAATCTTCAAGCATTTTTTAAAATTGGGAAATCACTCTTTATTAAGATAGAGATTAGCACAGAGTTTAGTGTTTTTGGAAGAATTAATTATGCCAAGTAATACAAAAAGGGAGGGATGCGGGTGGCACTGTGGGTTAAACAACAGAGCCTAGGACTAGCCGATCAGAAGGTCGGCAGTTCGAATCCCCGCAACAGGGTGAGCTCCCATTGCTGCCAACCTAGCAGTTTGAAAGCACATCAAAGTGCAAGTAGCTAAATAGGTACCGCTCCGGCGGGAAGATAAATGGCGTTTCTGTGCGCTGCTCCGGTTCGCCAGAAGCGGCTTAGTCATGCTGGCCACATGACCCGGAAGCTGTACGCCGGCTCCCTTGGCCAGTAAAGTGAGATGAGCGCCGCAACCCCAGAGTTGCTCACGACAGGACCTGATGGTCAGGGGTCCTTTAATGCAAAAAGGGGAGCGGAAGATTTAAATGTTATATTATAACTCTTGAACTACTGTGGAAAAGGAAGATGTTAGATGATGGCAGCCCAGGAGTCTGAGCTCCCTCTCTTTCTTCCCCTCTTGCTAGGTGTATTGGCACTCAAGTGCCCATATAATGGGTGAAGCCATGGAAAAAGTATATGGTGGCTGCTTGTGTTATGGCCCGCCGATAGAGAATGGGTTTTATTACGACATGTTCCTTGAAGATGGGTAAGTTTTTGCTCTTGTTAAAGTGAAAGTATCTGGATTGTTCTATACTGTAGCCTAGCCTAGATGAAAGAAAACACAAATCCCCCTGGAACATGGATTGAATAAGTCTGTGAATTTAAATTGTTTGCTGTTTTCCTTCATGATGATGTCGGAATGACTGGTAGTGTACATTCTCTGACTCTCTGGTTCCTGTTTGCCTAGAGGCCAGCCTTCTTGGTATGGCAAATTGTGTTTTTGTGATGGAACACGTGTTAATGTAAGAGAGAGATAGAGCTCAAGAAAACAACCTGCACATCTTTATTAAAAAATAATAATAATTGTCCACTCTAGGGGTGTCTCTAGCAATGACTTTCCTGGTCTAGAGGCATTATGCAAGAAAATTATGAAAGAGAAGCAACCCTTTGAGCGACTGGAAATTAAGAAGGAAACCTTGCTTGAAATGTTTAAGGTAAGATTTCAGAGCATATGGTTCATGTCGTCTGTAACTATCACGTCTACAACAGTGTTAGCTGTGTGTTCTTTTGCAATTTTTTATCTGGTTATTTGAATGCAGATTATTAGTTTACCCACGTCTTATGGTCTTGATGGATGGCAGATTCCATTTCAGCAATCTTAGGTAGAAGATTCTTTTTTTCACTAAGCTATTGCCAAATACACCCCCTTCCATTGTGCTGTGGGTATTCTTTTCAAATCAACTGCTTACTGCAGTATTGAATGGTTCAGTTGGCATAATGCTTTGAAACATATACTGTATTTACTAGATTATGACAAAGATTTAAGATGGAAATATGTTACAGAAATCTCAGAATCCTAATCATTCTCCCTTGAACTTCTCTGCTTCTCACTAGTTTACTAATCTCACAATCCAGTATTGGTTTGTGTAAGTCCTATGGTATGAACATATAGGTAAAGAACAGTTTTTTGGCTCATTGTATTATGAATCTTGCAATCACTAGGCTGGGAATTATGTGCAACTATTGGCTCGTGAAGTTCTGCAGAGTCCTGGCTTCCATTTCTGTTAAGGTCAGACAGAATGGAGATTTCAAGTAAGGCTGAAGATTTGCTGAATATTGGATGATGCAGTTGTAGAGCAACCCATATTTTCCTTGAGACATCTTTTAAGATTGTTTGACTTCATGAGACAGAGAAATAAAATTCTTAGTGTCTGTAGAATGACTTTTTGTTTTTATGGTTCCCTTTTGTATGATTCGGCAATATATTACAGGCATATGTAAAGATGCAGTTTGGATCTTAACAGTGGCATAGAATTAACTCCCACTCTTCTGTTTTTCTCAAAGTACAATAAGTTCAAGTGTCGGATCTTGAATGAAAAAGTCAACACTCCAACTACTACTGTATACAGGTAAAAGAATACAAAAATCAGCCAAACCGAGAGCTCCTATAGTGTAACTATTCGGGAGTCTGATTGTTATCGTTGTGTGGTTTTAGGTGTGGCCCTTTGATCGATCTCTGCAGAGGACCTCACGTCAGGCATACTGGTAAAATAAAGGCATTAAAAATACATAAGGTAAGAAATTAAACAATAGTGCAATTAAAGTAAGAGTGTAGAAATCTCAGGGCTAATCCTCAGTGGTAGGATTTTCTGGGAGTGTGCTGAGGTTTTAAAATCAGATCAAAAATCAGTTTAATTAATGAAGAATTAATTCATTAGAGTGGTTTTTAGCCAATGTAGAGCTCTACAATTCATGCCCATTCTCCTATACTGCACTGCAGATAGGAAGACAAGAAACCTATATACCAGTTTAACTTACCTGAATTGTTTTTGTAAATTGAGGTTTTTTCAAGCAGTGTATAAATTCTATGAAGTAGATAAATTAGATACTATTAAGTTAAAGAGTTTTTTTTTTAAAGGTACCATATTCTCATGCTAGCTATTGAACTCAATGGACTGAAAGAAAATACTTTGGCCCCATTTAAGTTAGCATATATTTCATGTGGCAGTAAAGGCTTTGTAAGTCCCACTGACTTCAGTGAGATTTTTAAGCCCTTATGCTGCTTTGGTTTTTGTCCATTCTCTTGTCTTTGTGTATTGTGGCCATAGTTGTCAAATGATGGGGCTGCTTTTTTGGGGATGCAGCTTTAGAATATGCAACTATTTGTTTACATTACTTTTTAATACAGTGGTGCCTCGCAAGACGAAATTAATTCGTTCTGCGAGTTTTTTCGTCTTGCGAGGCATTCGTCTTGCGGGGTACCACTGTATCCTCATCTTCCCCTCCCACTGGTTTTCTCAAGCACAAGAAACTTTAAAGTATCTGAGAATGTAAGAAGTATGCAGCTTCAAAACACAGATCTTACACATAGTGAAGCCTTCCTGAGTAAAGTTTAGAGTTGCTGTTAATAAGCTCTGCAACATCGCTTTGTGGTATTAAACTGTTTCTGTGATTCCAGAATTCTTCTACATATTGGGAAGGGAAGTCTGATATGGAAAGCCTGCAGAGAATTTATGGAATTTCATTCCCAGATCCAAAAATGCTGAAAGAATGGGAGAAGTTCCAAGAGGAGGCGAAAAACAGAGACCACAGAAAAATTGGGCGGGTAAGATTAACATTGGTAGCATGGATTTGAGCTGGTCATATGAGGAGAGTAAAATTGCTCCTTAATGTTTTCGATGTAATAAAATAAATGGTCTGTTTAATTCTGTAGGCATTATTTCAAAATATTTTTAAAGTATGTATTTATTACTTAAGATGCTGAATATTTAGATGTAGGCATGCATTAACTTTTAGCGTTTGTTTACTGTACAGATGGCAACCATTTTAGGCATGTCCAATTGATGTGTGGGCCCTTTTGGACCCCGAAGAGGTAGAACAGGAGATGGAAAGAGACAGAACACGCTTTTGCACACGGTGCGATGTGCAGAGGGGCTGCACATTGAACCCCCACGTGAAAAAACCCCCACATGAAATGGTTGCTGCCTGTATTGCAGGGATGGGGGACTTCTGGGCTGTGGCTTCCCAAGCCTTTGAATTGGGCCCATGGCACTCTCCCTATGCCACAGTCCCGCATTGACTCACTTCACTTCCCCGCTTTGTTCTGCTCCCTCCATGAATGCAGCAAAGTGACCATGGAGAAAGAGAAGGATTTCATTCTTGGCCGACTACTCTGATGAAGCAGAGTCCACTATCCCTGCTTTGACAGCCCATTCTCTTCCTGCATTTCGCTTTTCTGAGCTTGGCTGCCTTGCTGTGCCTTGTGAAAGGGGAGCCCCCTTCTTAGCACACAGAGAGCTGGCTGCCTTCCACTAAGGCCAGCTCACTGTCTTCCCTCATGAAAGACTCGCCTCTAAAACCTGGTGGAGGCAAATGGAACATGGGGTGAAAAATTAAGGATCCAATGGCAAATGCCACCAAACCGTTAAACTTTTTTTTCATTCGTCATAGTTTCTCTGAATGTTCCTTTTCTTTTTCTTCACGCTGTGGTGGAGTCTTCCTACTTATTTTCCGCCTCTTCTGGAGAATGTTCACGTTTTCTTAGAGAAGCTGTGTATGTTTTGAAGGCCTGGCTCCTTTTGTGTGATGTTATAAAGTGATGGTTCATTTCCATGTTGCCTAAGAACCTCCGCCACAACTTTAGCACAGGTGCAAACTGCTTTTTGGTTTCTCTCCCCAGGATCAAGAACTGTTTTTCTTCCATGAACTCAGTCCTGGGAGCTGTTTTTTCTTACCAAAAGGAGCATATATCTATAATACGCTGATAGCATTTATTAGGGTAAGTTTGAGACACATGTCCAGTTCATCTTTGCCAGCAGCCGCATGTGATCTCTTGGAACAGCGACTTGCGTTTGCACAGAGGCAACGCAAAGGAGAAGATTGCATTGACTGCTTTCAAAGCTCCTATGTGCAGTCTGTTTCATATAAGACATGTACATATAAGACATGTTTCTGCTAGACATGTACAGTCACATGGCAGTAGCTCGGTAAGTTAACCCTTGTGCTGCCTTCACAAAAAACCAACAACAACCCAGGTTTATCACGCTTTAGCAGGATCACTTTGTAGCTGGCAGCAGCATTTGGCTTTGTGGTCACAAGTTGTGAAAGCCTGTATTAAAGCCAAGTATAACAACAGAAACAGAGTACAGCCGATCAGCCTCTTGAATTACTCACAAATTATTAACTGTACAAGTCACTCATAGCTTTAATGGATTTCTATTGATTTTGGGGCCCGTCTGACAACTAGACTATCAGTTCATGATTTCATTGATCTGATCATTAAAAGAAGTGGGTGGCTATGAGTTACAGTCCTTGGCAAGGTCTATAATGTTTGTTTCAGATTTGGTGTTACGTAGTCATAGATGTAGGGACGCAGGTGGCGCTGTGGTCTAAACCACTGAGCCTCTTGGGCTTGCCAATCAGAAGGTTGGTGGTTCGAATCCCCGTGACGGGGTGAGCTCCAGTTTCTCAGTCCCAGCTCCTGCCAACCTAGCAGTTTGAAAGCACACCAGTGTAAGTAGATAGATAGGTACCGCTCTGGTGGGAAGGTAAACGGCGTTTCCGTGCGCTGCTCTGGTTTTGCCAGAAGCAGTTTAGTCATGCTGGCCATATGACCCGGATAAACTGTCTGCGGTCAAATGTTGGCTCCCTCGGCCAGTAAAGCAAGATGAGCACCGCAACCCCAGAGTCGTTCGCGACTGGACTTTACTGTCAGGGGTCCTTTACCTTTACCTTTTTAGTCATAGATGTGTGTTGTGCTGACCCTCTGGCATCAAAAGGCACATTGCAACTGTGATGTCCTCTTTCTTTGTGGAACACACTTTTTCTCTAGCCCCTATACCCCATTATTATTATTATTATTATTATTAAAGTTGGGGGGGAGCAGGCTAATAGGCCTAGTTTGTTGATCTGCCATGAAGAGTGCTTTGCTCAATTTTGACATAGATTTAACATCTCTGTAGGCGTTTGAATCATCGACCAGACTTTCTCAGTCTGCCTCCTCTTAGGTGTTTCTGATTTTTAACTCTCTTCTTTTTTCCAGAGTGAATACCGAAAGCGAGGATTCCAGGAAGTTGTGACACCAAACGTCTACAACAGCAAGCTCTGGGTGACTTCAGGGCACTGGCAGCATTACAGTGACAACATGTTTTCCTTTGAGGTGGAAAAAGAGATCTTTGCTCTGAAGCCGATGAACTGCCCCGGACATTGGTACTTGCTTAGTCGGGGACTGCTTTGAGATTACTTCACTTTCTTTCCCCTTCCTAGTAAACTCTTGTGTGCTGCTTGGCCGCTGTCGAACCACCCTTGCAAGGGTGGATAAAAATCAACGATTTTTTTTAAAAAAATAAATAATAAAAATCAGATTTAAAAAAAATTTAAATCAGATTTTTAAAAATTTATATTGGATTTTTAAAATAAAATGCTTTTGGAGGAAAAAATCTTTCTAAAGATAGTTTTCTATTAAAGTTACATTATAGTCCAAAGGCTATTTATCAGGAAATAAGGATTTGTTTTAAGTTTTTCATGTTTGCTAAAACTCAGTATAAGGTTTGTTTGTTTTTAAAAAATAATAATTGTTTAACCACATCATTTAACAGACATGGATACATATGCTATAATGTTATTGTTTTAGTTAAATAAATTCTTATTAAGGAAATGATTATTTTTTTCCTTCCTATAATGTACAGCAGAAAAGTTGTCCAAATATAAACAGTTAACTTATTAAACCTCACAATAATTTCACAATTATCTGTCCATGTATTTCTAATAGTATCACCAAATCAGTAATTTTTGATATAACTGTAAAAACTACTCTGAAAATATATTATTCCAAAAATGAAACCTTACTCTGGTTGTAAGTATTAAGACGCTACCAGCAAGAATGAGTCTTTCTGTAGAAAATGATTGAAAATCAAGTCTTACTGACTAGTTAAATTGATTTGATTTAAATCAAATCCACCCTGATCCTTGCACAGTTAAATGTGCTATTTATGCTATGTGACCTTGGGCTGTAGAGGAAAAGATTCTGTGTCTTCATATGGCAAAGAGCCAAAAAAAGGACATGGATCATTTTGCTGTAATCACTGCTACTGTTACCACCATTTTGCTCCTTCAACTTCCCTTACCTAGATTCCTACCTGAACCTTCCTTGGAAGTGCTGTTGCTTCTCCATAATAATCTCTGTGCCTCAGTCTTATGCCAGAGACTATGGGTCTGACTCCTGCTTTCCCCCTCGTAAGCCCCTTTGCCCTGTTCCTTTGCATTCTACCTCTTTTCCTTTTGAACCCCCTTGAGCTAAAAAGGACCAATTGTGACTTGTGTTTCAAAATGTTTCAGAGTAATCAATCAGTGATTGTATTTTGCCTTTAACTATCCGGTCAGTTAGGGACGCGGGTGGCGCTGTGGGTTAAACCAGAAGGTCGGCGGTTCGAACCCCCACAACAGGGTGAGCTCCTGTTGTTCGGTCCCTGCTCCTGCCAACCTAGCAGTTCGAAAGCACGTCAAAGTGCAAGTAGATAAATAGGTACCACTCCGGTGGGAAGGTAAACGGTGTTTCCGTGCACTGCTCTGGTTTGCCAGAAGCGGCTTAGTCATGCTGGCCACATGACCCGGAAGCTGTACGCCGGCTCCCTCAGCCAATAAAGCGAGATGAGCGCCGCAACCCCAGAGTCGGTCACAACTGGACCTAATGGTCCTTTACTTTTTTATCTGGTTAGTGCGCTGTGCCAATCAATCATTTGGGATTCCGTTTGCAGTCAGCAGAGTCATTAGAATGTAAACTAAATCTGCAGCATCTGAGGAGCTCGGCCTCTGTTGTTCAAGGCAGCCTTTGAAAGGCATTCTCTTATCAGAGCTGATTTCCAACACGTGTCCTGTTTCCTCCAGCCTCATGTTTGATCACCGGCCCAGATCCTGGAGGGAGCTGCCACTGCGACTGGCTGACTTTGGCGTTCTCCACCGCAACGAACTGTCAGGGACGCTGACAGGCCTCACCAGAGTGAGGCGCTTCCAGCAGGACGACGCTCACATATTCTGTGCCATGGAGCAGGTACAATATGACACGCAGTTGTGGGCGGGAAATGGCCTCATGAAAACGCCGGGACTTTGACTGCATCTCTTTTTGTTCCGTGTGCAGATTGAAGGGGAGATAAAGAGCTGTCTGGAGTTCTTGCGTGCCGTATATGACGTGTTCGGCTTCTCCTTCAAACTCAATCTCTCCACCCGCCCTGAAAAATACCTTGGAGACGTTGAAGTGTGGAATCAAGCTGAAAAGGTAGCCGATACCTCCTTGACCAGGAGCTGTTTTTTTAAGCCTATTTAAGTGACTGCAAGAACTAAGAGGTATTCTAGATAACTCGATAGGCTTCTGGTGTTAATGGAATTTATGTTTTAATTTCCTGGCCGGTGTGTGTGTGTGTGTGTGTGTGTGTGTGTGTGTGGACTAAGGTAGCAAATGCTCCATGCCTATTTATGTTCAAACCGTGCTGTGAGGAAGAGAGAATATAAAATGAATTATGCAATGCAAAGCCACTAACCTGTATATCCTCTTCCGTTAGCAACTTGAAAATAGCCTGAATGAATTTGGTGAGAAGTGGGAACTGAACCCTGGGGACGGAGCATTCTATGGGCCAAAGGTTAGTAAATTTGAAAACTTGCCTCCCTTCCCAGCATCTGGTCACTTTTGATACTTATTCCACAAGCAGCGATGGTGGATAAATTGTCCACCAGAGTTTATTTAGTTCTTAATTCCCACATGTCTGTACATACTTGTGGGAGGCAGGCAAGTTAAATGCTGCTTAAGGATGGGTCAGTTCTCTCTGCACTGTATAAGCAGAATGATGCATACAGTGGGCGCTTGGGTTGCGAATGTGATGTGTGAGGGAGGCACGTTTGCAACCTGCAGTGTTCGCAACCCACAGCGCCGCGTCTGTGCACGTGCGGGTTGCGATTTGGTTCTTCTGCGCATGCGCAAAGTGCGATTTAGCGCTTCTGCGCATGCGCTACCGCTGAAACCCGGAAGTAACCCGTTCCGGTACTTCCGGGTTTTGGCGCATCCGTAACCTGAAAAAATGCAACCTGAAGCGTCTGTAACCCGAGGTATGACTGTAATTATTTTTCAGGCTACTTGGAATATAATGGACCTGCTTCATTCCTACTCTGGTGAACTTCCTTGCAGGGTAGAGAGTATACATCCATTTCACCATACAGAAGGCAGCCATTACAGTTTGTGATCTAGGCTGTGAAATAAGGCTAGGCCCAGATACATTTTTCCTTTGGGGCAGGGGGAGCCATCCCAGCCTAATTATGTTTATCTAGCAAAAAAGAGTTTGTAATTGGCCAGGTGTTCACTTTAGAAAATGATCAACGAAGTTGAGGATCAAGATGTGATGGGGGACAGAAAGTGGCCTTGCAAGCTAACCTCACATTAGTTGCCAGCTGGTCGGATGTCCCGTTTGGCCACTAGGATGCTTCACTGTTCCCCCAGTTGGCAACCATGCTAAGGGTAGGGGCTGAGGGTGAGAGCAGATGCAAGGTCACCTTAGCATCGCGCTGCTCTTCCTGGCACAAACCTGTGGAGCTTATGAAAGACTAGGAGGAAGTGAGCCCATGGGTCCTTCCTCCAAGTGGTCCATGGTTAAAAGAAGGTGGGATGAGGAAATGGGATTTGCTTTAAAGTGTTGCTGTACCTAAGGACTCAATTAACATTTGCCTCATTTCCTCACACTCCTCCCATAACCCAAAAGATTGACATTCAGATTAAAGACGCCATTGGCCGGTACCATCAGTGTGCTACAATCCAGTTGGATTTCCAGCTGCCCATAAGATTCAATCTCACCTATGTGAGGTGAGTGTGCCGTGTACTTCCTTTGACTACAAAGCGTTTCCTGTTTTATGAGGGCTTGTGTCTTGACGGAAGCCAATTTTTATCTTCTAGTCATGATGGCACTGACAAGAAACGGCCAGTGATTATCCACCGTGCTATCTTGGGATCTGTGGAGAGGATGATTGCTATCCTGACAGAAAACTATGGAGGCAAATGGTACTGAATATATCTTTCTCTCTCTGGTTTTGCCCAGTTTGTCCAGTTTTAGCACATCCAGTGAAGCAGGCACAGTTCAAACCAGCTCTGCTTGTTCCAGGCTCTGTTCTGCCTGGTCATCGTATTTTTTAAAATGTTCATTGGGTAGTGCATTTGGCCGGCTCTGTGAAATCCTATAAGAATTTTCAATATTTTGCCTGAGCATGTGAACAGGAGGCCAGGGGTTTACATACAAGCCCCCCCACCGCTGCACACCTGGTTTCCAACCTTCCCTGGTTTCCTGATGGAGTGGAGGATACTAGTTCTGTTCAAGTGAATGTGTGAGGAACCCCCTGAAAGCTGGAAACTTTGGGAAGGGAAGCATGTGCAAGGACGCTTGCTTGCATGTGCACCCCTGCCCCCACGTTGCATATGCCCTTGCTTATATCTCTCACAAGTGCTTCTGCTAGGTGTCGGCACCATGGGAAGAGTGGAAGAGAGAGTAAAGGAAAAATAAGCAAGTCCTTGGGGAAGTGGATTGAGAAAAGTGTCTGTGGATACGCGTTCTGTAAAGAAAGAAGTTTGTCTCAACAAAAAGGCACGACAGAAGAATTGCTGAGTTTGCCACCCCAAAGAGCTTAGGAAAGGTTATTAAAATTGTTAAAGTAATTTCTGTGAGAAATACAGTAAGCCTGTAACTTATGCGCATTTAACTTGTGCGCATTCAGCTTTACATGTGTGGAATTAAAAAAAAGACTGGCGTTCCAGGAAAAAGGACTTTGGCAATAGCACCTGCCATGGAACCCAATGGCCTTTGACTGCACACAGTTTTTGCTTAACTGCAATCTCGAGAATGTAACCCCTTCATACGTTGCAGGTTTACTGCACTCAAAGGCTTGATTCAAGTATAACAATTAAATTTATTAAGCCAAGAATGAGTACTTGGCCCACAGACTTCCCCTGCCGCATAGGTTTTGGCACTTCTTTCATGATTGTTGAAATCACGATTTCTTGTCATGTCAAAACTGGGAACCCCATTTCAATTTAGGCTTACTAGGGTATGAAACAAGGATCTGGTCTGATCTGAATTAGGACATTTCCTGTAACAATGCAATTTAGGTGCTTCATGGTCATTTTCCAATGAACTCTCATTAAGCGACAGGATTGCAGAAGCAAGTTAGCTGGTACCGTCAGCCCTTTAAGCATAACATTGTTTGCTGTTCTGAGTGCAGTGTTGTCTTCCGAGTGGTATAATGATGTCTTCTGTTAACCCTCCTACTTTTGTTTCCTCCTTGCACAAGGCCGCTCTGGTTATCTCCTCAGCAGGTGATGGTGGTGCCAGTTGGACCAACACTTGATGAATATGCCCAAAAGGTAGGGGCTTAATTTCTCTAGTTCCAGATTTCCAGTCAAGTCCTATGAGCTAAAGCACCTGCCATTGCTTGATGTTTTCACACTGGGCTGTTTGTAAGGCAATTCTACACATTTTGGCTAAGATCCGTGGTTTGCGCATGCACAGTTGGAGTCTTAACTCCTTTTCTTCTGATGGACTCATTTTTGTGCAGATGGTAGGTATTGACCAACTTGGTTTGTTGTATTTCTATGCTGCTTTCCATTCAGATGAATCCCCAAATGGCTTACAAACAATAAAAAACAACGTCTTAATAGAGTGTCACAAGTACGGCATAAATCACATACTATAATTAACAAATCACCAGTAAAACAATTGCATTTTACGAAATGCTATTAACGACCCAGCAACTAAAAATAAATATCACCATTACAGCATGCAGGAATGCCATTCCCTTGCCTATCTTTTGTCGTATGTACATGTAATGTATATATTGTGGGAAGCAGTGTGCAGGTGTGGGATTCCCCTCTCTCTCTCTCTCTCTCTCTCTCTGTGTGTAAATGTGCCTGAGCACTAAGCAAACCCTACTTTCACTTTCCTAAAAATATTTCTACACTTGTTATAAATTTGTCACCATCTTTAAGATACAATGGTACCTCGGTTTAAGAACTTAATCCGTTCCGGAAGTCTGTTCTTAAACCAAAACCGTTCTTAAACTGAGGCGCTCTTTCCCTAATGAGGCTTCCCGCTGCCAGTGCCCTTCCACCATTCAGAGTCTGTTCTTAAACCAAGGTAAAGTTCTCAAACCTGGACACTACTTCCACTTTTGTGGAGTTCGTAAACCGAATAGTTCGTAAACAGGACTGTTCTTAAATCGAGGTACCACTGTGTGTGTGCGTGCGTGTGTGTGCGCGTTTGTGCGTGTGTGCGTGCGTGTGCCCCAAATGCACTGATTTATAGTGCCTAACTTGTATACATTCCATTGTAAACTCTGTTGCTTCTTAAGCTTTCTCCTGATGAAAGAACACTTGGCATATATACTTTTGCTGCTGCTCAAATTTTTCCAGTGTTTTTAATTATGTTTTATGGATATTTATGGACTGGGGTTGGTTTTTTTTTAAACACATTTTGTATGTTGTAAGCTGCCTCAGTGTACTTAGTACCTTCTTTATTTATATAAATAAAGGCTAGACCTCCGAAAATTTAGCCTACCCATAACCTAAATACTTTTCTCTTGCTGTTGTCTCCAAGGTGAAGCAGCAGTTCCATGATGTTGGTTTAATGGCAGACGTTGATGTGGACGCTGGTTGCACCCTGAACAAGAAGATAAGAAATGCTCAGCTTGCACAGTACAACTTCATTTTGGGTAAAAACATCACCTTTTTGTATGTGGTAGGACTCCATTGGGACAATGTGCTTCAGAGGTTACTAGCACGGGGCAGTTATATAATTGTTAGCTTGTAAAGTTTGCTGCCTTTGCAAGTAGACAGCAAGAGAAGTATTCCCTTTGGAGCTTGCCTGTGCTGCCTCGTTAGCCACAGCTAGTGCTGCCTCCATTCTGATTTATGTCAGATTTATAGCCACCTCTTGGGGAAATCTTTGGCACTCTTGCCTGTTAAGAATCAAGTAAATTGGCCCAAGTCTTCTTTGGTAGCAGAGTGGCTCAGAAACATCTGTCTTTGGTAATTTGTTCTGCCTCTTTATCAGCATTGTAAAAAGGTAAAAGAATTCTAGGGCACGTTTTGTTCTCGGTTTAAAAAGCAGGGAAAAAATGCAGCAAATATGCTTGGTGCATGCTTGCAACATTCAGTACTTATCACATCCCAATAACAGGGGCCTGATCATCTTCCCTCGTGTTGCCCCTTACTTAAATTTCAAAGGAGAAAGGGAGCATAGACTTGCCACTCATATTTGACATGATCTGCACATATTTTGCATTAGTGCACATTCTTGTCCTCAAATGCAATTGGGTATAAGTCACTTGTTCTTCTCCCACTATTAAATTTGTGTCCTTCCTACAGTTGCAGTGTCTCTGTATGCTTTTTTTTAATTATTATTGTTTTACATCTTAAGTGCACCTGTGGGCTACATTGTAGCCACTGTGACAGAAATTCAGAGGAGCCAAAAGAGTGCAGAAATAGTTGGAGCGTTTGTTCAGCATCCTCCAAAATGCAGTGTCCCAGAATATCTCTGATTATATGCTCGTCCAGCTGTCCTTGGAAAGTGCCCAAGAAAGTTTTCTGTAATCTTGATAAATTGTTCAATTGCAGGACTTCAGTTGGTAGTTAGTGAGGTTTAGCGTAAATCAATTCAGTAGCAGCTCTCTAATATCTTTTTTAAAAATACGTGACCATAGTTAACATACTTATTTCTTAAACTCTATTCTTTCAGGCTATACAAACATATCCAGTTCCTTTTATTGTATAGATTTCCCTGTTACACTGCTGTTTGATTCTTCTCTGAATCCTTCCCAGTTTATCTGTATTCTGTTGCCCAAAGCACTAAATGATGCAGCAGATGTTCTGAGTTATTAATACTGAGCAGAGTAGCATACAGGCATCTCACAACTTACGGAGGGGTTAACGTTCCTGGGTACCATGCGCATACATGAAACGGCTTATAGTGGGGAACACCATCTAAAAAGCCTGCAAACGCCCTCTAAACCTCTGGAAAAACCACCAAACTCGACCACATTTGCTCCCTCCAAACCTCCTTTCTTAAACTCTTAACCCTCCATAGGCCTCAAAGGTCAGTGCAAAGTCTCATGGGATTGCAGTTGCAAAGGCTTCTGGGATTGCTAGCGGTTTCTCTGCCATTTTGAAGTTTCCCTGCTCTTTTGGGGACTTTTTGCCCTTTTCAGTCCTTTTTGCAGTTTTAATTAATACACGGTTGAACGTGCGGAAATGGGGAGTCGCATGTAATTCCTTCATTTTGGTTCTTGAGCATTAAGTAGTATATAATTGGTTGACTCTCTCTCCCCCCCCCCCCAACATACTTTTCAGTGGTCAACAGTATCAAGATCTCCTTTGTAACCTGCTTGTCTCTTTCCTGTCTTTTAGTTGTTGGTGAAAAGGAAAAGGCCAGTGGGACGGTGAACATCCGCACCAGAGACAACAAAGTGCATGGCGAACGCACCGTGGCTGAGACGGTGGAGAGGCTGCTGCAGCTGAAGGACTCGCGCTGCAAAAACGCTGAAGAAGAATTTTAGCCAAGCCCTCCTTTTCCACATTTTTTTCCTTCCCCCATAGCAGTTAACCTTTCTGGATTTAGCAATGTTTGCTCTGTACTGTATTTGATAAGAGATCTTTGTCAAAAGAACCAAAACACCCACTTGCTTTCGTATGTTCAGAAATTAAGTTTGTAAGTCCATTTTGTATAAATGTGGGCAACTGCCTTGATTAGCCTCTGCAAGCTCCAAGTCTGTGGAGCTTGAAGAAGCTAAAACTGAAAGGGACAATGGAACAATTAATCAGGGATTAAAATGCCACTGGTAGCAACCCTCTGATAATTTATCCTCTTCGTGAAATAAATTTGTATTTCAGCAAGATTGATTAAAATGGTGTGCTTCTTGAAGCTTTGCAGCCCTGTTAATTATTCTGTTTCATTTAAGACATCATAGAAAACATCAAAGTGGCCTTTTACTTGAATCTGTGTCGTACTGATGACTAGGTTTAAAATAAGGCTGGAATGTGAGGCTCAGTCTGTAGTTCTAAAAGTTGAAATATTAATATTTGCAGCAATTATAGTAATTTATTGTTTAAACTGCACCTATATCGTATTGTTTGTGATACAAAAATTAAGAGGCATGGCCCTATTTGCAGACATGCATCTTAACAAAACACAACACACGAGGCAGAAGGAAATGGGGAGGAAGTAGGATTATCCATCATATGTCATTGGGAAGTACGTAAATAGAACACACATGAATGAAAGGCAAAAGGTGACAAATTAGAGAAAATTTCTATCAAACCTGATAATGCAGATGCACTTTGGACACTGTTTTAAGTGCATTTTGTGAATGCTACTCTTAGTGTCAATTGGCCAATTTGAGGATTAAAGGTTTTCTGACTTTAAACACTAATGCCCAACTAATGCTACTTAGAAGATGATAAGCCCCATTGAACCAGTGGGATGTAATCATGCTGCAAATTGGTCTCAGGGCCCTGGTCTGTAATTATTGATGCAAGGTCACAAAAAAAGTATTACGCCCATAAAACTTTCTCCTGTAGTTGAACTTTGTTCAACAAGAACAGTTTCCTGCAGCTCTTCTTTACTAAAATTGCTGAAGCTGCTTCATAGACATCCTTTTACCAGTGCTATCTTGGCATATAGTACAAGCTATAAAGTAGTTTATCCCTGAGTTATAGCCCTACTGCACAATCTCAGCAGAACCAGTGGGCTTTTCCGAAACAAAATGTTTCAGTGAGGGAGCTTCAAAATGCAGTCTTTTGTCTCATTCACTTGCAACTGAGCTGATAGAAGAATTGATGTATTTAATACAATCAATAGTTGTGATTCCTGCTTACGTAGCATCCAAAGCATGTGGTGCTGTGGGTTAAACCACAGAGCCTAGGACTTGCCGATCAGAAGGTTGGCAGTTCGAATCCCTGCAACGGGGTGAGCTCCCCTTGCTCAGTCCCTGCTCCTGCCAACCTAGCAGTTTGAAAGCACATCAAAGTGCAAGTAGATAAATAGGTACCGCTCTGGCGGGAAGGTAAACGGTGTTTCCGTGCACTGCTCTGGTTTGCCAGTAGTGGCTTGGTCATGCCGGCCACATGACCCGGAAGCTGTACGCCGGCTCCCTCGGCCAATAAAGCGAGATGAGCGCCGCAACCCCAGAGTCGGTCACGACTGGACCTAATGGTCAGGGGTCCCTTTACCTTTTTAACCCTTGTAAGGTAGGCCTGTTTCGCCCTCATTACAGGACTAAGGCTGAGAGAATATGAATATGCAGGCGCTTCACAAAATCATGTGCTAGTAGACTTGTGTAGTCTGTAAGGCAGATAACTTGAGCAACTGGAGCATGCCCGAAAAAATCAATTTTCTGCAGCTGAGGGGTTGTGGATGGACAGCCAGATGACTTGGCATTCTTCCCTGAGAAGTGTTGATAAGATTGAAGAGGAGAAGAAAAAGAAAACCAGTTGTTGTCAACACATTCCTCAGGATGGGTGGGTGTCTTTAGATGTAGACACAATTTCAATATCTCACCTAACACAGCATAAATCTCTGCAGTTTTCATTTAAGTGAGGCAGCTGACAACTGGCTTTGATATATGAGGCATCTGCATCTCATTTGAAAGTTTTGGTACCTCTGGAGTTGCCTTCAAGGTCATTTGGAGGTGGTGCATTGCTGGATAGTGCTGATCTGTAATCAGCCAAGCCCAGTTTCTCAACAGCAGCTGTGTTCTGCTTGGCAATGACTCCTAGATCAAACTGCAGCTCACCCAACTGGCTCCAGCTTATGAAATACAGGTGCCGGAAGGGAAGCTAGTACCTTTCTGCTTCACATCATTTGCGTTCTGGCAGGTACTGGACTAGATTCCAGGAGAGTTGAGAAGAGACAAAACATGCATCCAGTGCTGTTGGGGCTGTGTGTTCTAGGAGATCTTAAACCTGTCTTGCCCTTCACTTATTTTTCTGGCCAACAGATGGCGGCACAATTCCGGCAGGAAAAGAAATGAAAGGGAAACAACTGATGGCAAGCAAAAGGCTTACGTTACCGGTATATGGGGCTTCCCATAGCTTCCCATAGCTGCTTCTGGCGGTTCCCTCACTGCAAGTAGTGAGGTTACAAGGAACCAGGCAGAGGGCCTTCTCGGTAGTGGCACCCTCCCTGTTGAACGCCCTCCCATCAGATGTCAAAGAGATAAGTAACTATACAACTTTTAGAAGACATCTGAAAGCAGCCCTGTATCGGGAGGTTTTTAATGTCTGATGTTTCATTGTGTTTTTATATGTGTTGGAAGTTGCCCAGAGTGACTGGGGCAACCCAGCCAGCTGGGTGGCAATAATAATAACAATTAATAAATATTAGTGTGCGTCCTCCTGGCTTGCGTCAAGCTCAAGCCCATGTGTGTTAAACCAAGGGGTGGTCTCAGCATACCCCAATCTCGATTCCATTACAAAAACCAACCACAGTATACAGACCACTTGTAATAAAAGAGGCAACTTTGGCCATGAGAGGACGTCCCTCTCCAGCAGCCAGGGTGTGTGGGGGAGCCCAGCAGATCTGCCTTTCCTAGAAACAGACTCCAGGCACTTCAGGTACCCTCAAACACGAGCAGCTTTATTTAAGTACAGTTGACCGGGCGCTCTGCTCGCTCCTCTGCTTCCAGACCCACATCAGCTTCCCCCCTCACCTCTGCAGGAAATTCTCGCTTCAATTACTTTGTCAATTGCAATTACTAGGTGAGCTCACCTTGTGTATATGGTTAGTTTGTTCTTCCTGACCCGAGAACTATCTGCACAGGGTAAGCTCACCTAGCCTGTCCTTTTCGCTATAATTTACAGATCAACTCATTTCCACCGACTTGGTTATTTTGTTCTCAATTATCAAGGCTGAGCCAAGACACTTCACTGTCTGAAGCAAAGGACAAGATGCACCCCCTGCTGCATGAGATTATTAATCTCAGGGTTAAGGATTCGAGCCCCCTGTTGGGTGAAAGATTCCTGCATTGCAGGGGGGGCTGGATTAGACGACCCTCACAGTCCCTCCCAACTCTCCAGTTCTATGATTCAGTAGAGTGATTGCAGTAATTTAGAAACATTTCCTTATGAGAAGTGGGGGTGGGTGGGTGTTTAGAGATGATTCCTGGAGAACAGAGTGAGGGGGTTGAGCCTGACTAGGTGGTGTTGTTTGTTGTTGCTGCTGCTGCTTTTAAATAAAAACACTGGCCACATTCACACCCTACGTTGAAAGCTCCATGACGCCACCTTAAACAGCCATGGCTTCCACCAAAGAACTCTGGGTGCCGTAGTTTGTTAAGGGTCCTGAGAGTTGCTAGGAGACCCTCTATTCCCCTCCCAGAGCTACAATATCCAGAATTCCATGTGAAGAGGGATTCATGGTTAAACCACTTTGGGAATCAGATGAAACAGGATGGCAAGGGAAGGGTGCTGGATTTATGTATAAGCTAAACAAGCTATAGCTTAGGGCCCCACTCTCTTGGGGCCCCTCCAAAAATTTAAAGGAAAACAAAACTGGATGTACATTTCCAAAATATAAGATAAAAACAAATAAAATAAAACCTACATACAGCAACAGTGTTTTGTGTTGTATAGGTTCCTATGATGTACGTAATGGGCCCCGCCTGCTGGCCTGCTCCCTAAAATATCACTGGTTTGCTCATTTCTATATATAGGGTAAGGGATGCGAGTGGCGCTGTGGGTTAAACCACAAAGCCTAGGGCTTGCCAATCAGAAAGTTGGCGGTTCGAATCTCCATGACGGGGTGAGCTCCCGTTGCTCGGTCCCTGCTCCTGCCAACCTAGTAGTTAGAAAGCACATCAAAGTGCAAGTAGATAAATAGGTACCACTCTGGCGGGAAGGTAAACGGCGTTTCCGTGTGCTGCTCTGGTTCGCCAGAAGCGGCTTAGTCATGCTGGCCACATGACCCGGAAGCTGTACGCCGGCTCCCTTGGCCTGTAAAGCCAGAGTCGGTCATGACTGGACCTAATGATCAGGGGTCCCTTTACCTTTACCTTACATTCTGCATGGACTGGTTGCATGGCAACATGTGCAAATAGCTTTAGATACCTAATAGGTCCATGAATTACCATTTGCATATATTCAACACAAAAAAAGCAACAATTTGTTGTTGACAAAGGACAGCTGGATACATAAAGGGCCCCTTTACCTTCAATAGTTTAGGGCCTCATCAAACCTACATCCGGGCCTGGTAAGGTCCCCCCCTTCCCCTTCCCCTTCCCCTTCCCCTTCCCCTTCCCCTTTCCCTTCCCCTTCCAAAACACCTTTCCTCCAGCAGGAAAAGGTGCCACGGGGCATCAGGTCTGAAAGTGCAATGTAACAGGTCATTTGCCCATAAAGAAAGATGCTGAGAGGGACCCAGTGGGATGCTTGCTTGAGCAAAACATCCTCTTCGAATAGACAGATTTGTCCTAGCCTTGCACTTTGCAAGGGGAGAGAATGAACAATCCTCAATTGGAAAGCAAGGGCAGATAATAATAACAACAGTTAACATTGCCAGCTGCACCTAAACAATATACCATTTCGAGAAACACCAATTGTTCCTTTTTTGTTCAGCCTGGTGAAGAAGTTCACTCCAGGCAAACGCAGCAGGCTGGAGAGTCCGAGTGATGCTATTGATTCTGCGCGCAATAAAAATAGCAGAAGCGCTTTGAAGCTCCTTGCAGCGTTCAACGCCCATGAAGTCTTAGAATGGCACACAGCCTGGTAGATAGTGTTGGTTGGCACTCATGGTGCATGTGAACACCAATGACATGGGGAAATGTGGCTGTGAGGTCCTGGGGGACAATTTTATGTTGCTCACTAGGATGCTGAAAGCCAGGACTTCCAAAGTAGCATTGTTGGAAATGCTTCCAGTTCTACAGTAGACAGGAAAAGCTTTGTGCATGCATAGAAAAGAGGATGGTGCTGGGAGGAGAAGTTTAAATTTGTTAGGCACTCACTGAGGAACACTTTGGACATCTGTACAGCTGTCTCTTTTAAAAATCATCTTTGTTTTTTTTTTTGTTGTGGCTGTATTTGCTCCTTTAAAAAAACCCCCCAAAAACATTGGCTTACCTTACAGGGTTCTTGGCAGCTAGGTAACACATGCTTTGAACCCTTGAAAGCACTGCATGCCAGGCCAGGAGGCAGAGCCAGGAGGAAGAGGAACAAGGTGTGTGTGTGTATGTGTGTAAATGCAGAATGGGGAGAGGATGATCCCCAGTGGGTTAGAATCATAGAATCGTAGAACTGTAGAGTTGGCAGGGACCTGAAGCTTCATCTAGTCCAACTCATTGCAATTCAGGGATCTCAAATTGTGGGGGCCTGTTGCCAAGGGGAAGAGAATCAGCAGCTAGTGATGGGGAAAGGGAGAGGCAGGTACTTGTTGATTCCCTGCCCATGCCTTTTTGTTCAGTGATTTCGCTCCGTGTTTCAGCTCAGTTATTCCACTCAGTGAGTGTTCGAATCTGGCTGTGCTCTGATGTCCATCTGATCCTACCTTCGTCACCAGTATTAAATAGTGGGTGGACATAGTAGACAACACAGAGATTTCTCCAAGTAATTATTTATAAGTAAGCTGGAACTGAACTCAACAGCAAACAGCTCAGCCGGCCTGCTTTTATAGGCAGCCAGCTGTCAACATTTTAACAACAACAACCCAGGGGTTCCCGCCTTAATTAACTGATGTGGACCTGGGTGAAAACTATATACAGTGGTACCTCGGGTTACATACGCTTCAGGTTACAGACTCCGCTCACCCAGAAATAGTATCTCGGGTTAAGAATTTTGCTTCAGGATGAGAACAGAAATCGGGCTCCGGCGGCGCGACGGCAGCAGGAGGCCCCATTTGCTAAAGTGCTTCAGGTTAAGAACAGTTTCAGGTTAAGAATGGACCTCCAGAACGAATTAAGTACTTAACCCGAGGTACCACCGTACATGATACCCCTGGTGGCCAGGGTGAGAACTTCAATACAGTGGTAATGGGGCCTCCTGCTGCCGCTGCGCCGCTACTGCATAATTTCTGTTCTCATCCTGAAGCAAAGTTCTTAACCTGAGGTACTATTTCTGGGTTAGCGGAGTCTGTAACCTGAAGCCTATGTAACCTGAAGCATATGTAACCCGAGGTACTACTGTACACAACAGCCCCCTCTCATCTCACCAGTCCCACCAGCTCCTTCCAAGGAGGAGGAAGCGTGAGAGAATCTCTGTGTACTGAGAGGAAAAGAGGGTTGAGAACCCCACAGGGGGAAGGGCAATTCTCAGAGGTGCATCCTCTTGATCCACACAGGCAGCAGAAGGGACAGCAATTGGTAAGGCTGAGAGAGCTCCTGAGAGAATGCCCCTCACCCAGCCCCTTTGGTATTTAGGGCTGAGACAGACAGAGAGGCACAAGGTCAAGGTCAGTTCAACTTTCCTAAAATTAGAGCACAGCTTGGCAGTCAAGGTAGTAGAAAACCTTGCATTGTGCAGCAAAGAACCAAAGCTTAGCTATGTGTATTGTCCAAAGTGCCTTGAGGTGCTAGGGTACCAAAGTTTTCTCTTGCTAAAAATGAATGGGGAAAGCCTCACTAGCTGCCACTCGATTCCTGGAGGACAGGACACTACATAAATGTGAAATATTATTATACAGATTTGTGTACCACCTTACTAGATAGCTTTAGGGAACCGGGTCTTCTCAACGCAGGAATGCACAAGTGCTCAACTCCACTGGCTGGCATCCATGCCTTCTCGTGACGGTGTCATTCGAAGTGGCCATCCATCTGCATCTTGTTTGAGCACATCTAACCTCGGTCTCACGCACACAGATGCCCTTTCGTGCAGAAACCCAATTACAGCTCTTTCCAGCATCAAAGAAGCAGATATACTTTTTATTCTCACGAGGGGTTATAAAACATTCTGTACTTTACAAACTGAAGCCGCTTTAGAAAAATACATCACGTAACTCTCAAAAAAGCAATATGGCAGACATTGCACAGCAACGCCTTGCCCAAAGGATAATTTCCAGAGCAGGTGTAGATTTAGAAATACATCGGTCAGCCCATTCTACAGAAGTTTTTAGGCACCATGCAAGTTTTAGCACCGTGGTGGTATAATAGCACCATATTTAAAGACCAAAACAAAAATTGCTCAAGTCCCTTAGAGGTATATGTGTCGATTAAGCTGCTGTACAGGTAACAAGAACATGACAAACCTCACCCTGGACAGGATTTCCAATGATCTCCAGGTAAGGTAGTTTTGTTTTGATGCCTTTATTTTCCAAACTTCCCTTTGAGGCTTAATCTCCCCACATGGAACTCCAGAATTAACAAGGTGGCAATTTATGTCAAATCACTGAGTTCATAGTTGAACTGTGAGCAAGATTATGATGACAACTCTTTAGCATCTTGGGGCACTTCCAGCAAGGCACCAAAAGCATTTTTTGGTGTGTGTTTTTAAAGAGAGGTGGGAAAAACAGAGGGAAGGAGGCCGGAAAAGGGAAATAAACAGTGAAGATGAAAAGCAGAACAGACAGTACAATAAGTGAACCCGACGTTGCAAATCAGGACAAAGGGTTCAGGCGATCTTCGGATTTGGAGACGGTTCAAATCCACTGCATTATAGTTCCATGGTGGGAGTGGCAGTGTAGCTCTCGTGCAGGAGTGGGGAGGCTGTGGCCCTTCAGGCAGTTGTGGCTCATCTGCTGGGGCAGAGTTACAGTGCTAGCATCCTGGTGCCTGCACAGCCCTGCCCTCTTTGCTGCCATGTCCCTCTCCCACTTGGTAAGCCACAGCGCCACCACTGCTGGGAAGCTAGCATTGCAGCTCCACCCCACTAGGCTTTGGCTTTTCGGCTTTGGACTACAACTCCCATCGGTCCTGACCTTTGGCCATGCTGGCTGGGGCAGGCGCCCAGTGGCCTCTGGGATGCTACAGCTTCCCTACACCCTGTTGGATCACGTTCTTCCGTTTCACATTCTGATTTAGCAGTCCTAGTTCTCAGCCATGCAGTTTCAGGCATGGGTCGCTTTTCGAGGTCCTGTTGCGTTAGCATCCCCAGGTATCTTGCAAGTGGCGCAGCACTGATTCCTCACTGAAGGCATGGAACATTTCCCAAGATCCCTCACTTTCTCGCAGAAATTCGCCGACAGCCTGTCCTTGCCGCAAGGCAAACCTGTGGTGAAGAAACACACCCACACACATTCGTAAAAGGAAACAGCAGTAGCTTTTGGTGCCTACAGAGTTAGGATAACATCATAGGACATCAGAGAGAGGCAGAAGGAAAGAAATTGACAGCATAACCATATGTTTGCTTGCTTGGAAGTAAGTCTCATAGTGTTCACTGGGGCTTCTCGTCCTAGGAAGTGTGCTTAGGGTTGCAGTCTAAGCGTGCTGTTAATTACTGAAAGCACTGGTGGTGAACTTGTGGCACTCTATTATTTTTATTTTTTATTGAATTTATATACCGCCCTATACACAGGGGTCTCAGGGCAGTTCACAGAATAAAAAGAAAAATAGCAACCCAATACAACCCCCCCCCAAATAACACACATTTTAAAAGGGCGTAGGATGTAAATTGGATCAACCAAAGGCCTGATTAAAGAGGAATGTTTTGTCTGGCACCTAAAGGTGTATAATGAAGGCTCCAGGCGAACTTCCCTGGGGAGATCATTCCACAGACGGGGAGCCACTGCAGAGAAGGCCTGTTCTCATGTTGCCACCCTCCAAACCTCTCTAGACGTTGTCAGACTCCCATCAGCTCTAGCTAGCATGGCAACAGTTAGGGATGAAGGGATCTGTCATCCAACATTGTTTGGAGAGCTGCAGGCTCCCCATCCCTGCCCTGACCAAAGTTTTAGTCACTGACTATAGTGATTGGGTTGGTTGGGGCTGTAGCTCAGTGGTTGTTGTTTAGTTGTTTAGTTGTGTCCGCCTCTTCGTGACCCCATGGACCAGAGCTCAGTGGTAGAGCATCTGTTTTGTACAGTTTTGCACACAGAACGTCCTAAGTTCAATCCTCGGCTAAGTTCCCCTCTCTTTCCAGGCATAGGTTGTCCAAGTGCTCTCTCTCTCTCTCTCTGTCTGTGTGTGTGCCCCTGAGCTTTCCCTATGGCAACCTGCTCTTTACCGCTCAATCAGAAAGAACGTCAATTCAGGTCAATTCAGTGGATTGCTGTTTGCTCCAGTTCAGCTTTAAAGAGTGGGTTTTTGTGGGGGAAGCTCTGGAGGGGACGGGGGGAAGGATGCTCAGACATTGAGCTTCAAAGCATGGATTGTGCCTGGGAAAAGCGGCTGAAAGGTAAGGGTGACTAAGCCCTGAGTATAAGACAGCTTCATATGTTCACATAGTCAAGTTCATAGAGTCCACACAAGAAATAAACATGAAATAGTGCAATGGTGGAAGAATTCAACATCCTTCATATCTTTTATTTTTTATTATGGATGAGATGATTTCTCACATACCATTTCCTTCTTGGTTCTGTGGTTCACTCTGCCAGCCTCCCTGAATTCTGGTTTAACCACAGGCTTCCTCAAACTCGGCCCTCCAGATGTCTTTGGCCTACAACTCCCATGATCCCTAGCTAGCAGGACCAGTAGTCAGGGATTATGGGAATTGTAGTCTCAAAACATCTGGAGGGCCGAGTTTGAGGAAGCCTGCACTAGGATAATTTCTGCAATCATCTACCAGAACTGGAACTGAAGGTTGCTGCAGCTTTTCAGCTTCTGCATTGTGTGTGCATCCTCTCTCTGTGCTACTTAGGCACCTGTGTGCTTTGCTAGAACAATGCAAAAAGGTAATCTTGATGCGACTGTATGAATGACAGCATCAACATTCTTTTTGTGTGGTGTTTTACCAATTTGCACATGTGTTCTATGGGGGGGGGGACAAAGCACCCCACCCCCCACAGAATTGTGACACAATTATGTGTGCCATAAAACCAAGTGTGCTTCTTTTTGTAGAGTTTACTTTGGTAAGGCATTGCATAAGGAAAAAGAAGCAAGAGCCTTAGTCATCAGATGTAGAAAAATGAGGGAGATCAACATATGGACTTACGTATATCCCACATATCTAAAAATACAATAAGTATGGAGCATATATCAGCATTATCTGAGCATTCATGCATACCATATGCCTATACAAAAATGAGCAATATATTCCAGAAAGTCATTGCAGAGTTTTTCTTGACTTCTTCCCTTCTGCATGTTTGCCCTGATCCAACTCTAGGAAGTTGCCTCTCACTAAGCCTACCTCTACCTCTAGCCTTATCTAAACCAGGGTTTTTCAAACTAGGTTCTCCAGCTGTTTTTGGACTACAATTCCCATCATCCCTGACCACTGGTCCTGCTAGCTAGGGATGATGGGAGTTGTAGTCCAACAACAGCCGGGGACCCCAGTTTGGGAAACCCTGGTCTAAACTCCAGGGTTTCAGCCAGGAGTTTTTCACAGCCCCACCGGAAGAAAACAGGGATTGAACTAAGGACCTTCCGCATAAAGATCGTGTATTCTGCCACTCAGCTAAGGCACACTTCTCCTGGAAGACTTGCATTCCTGTCTGACTAGTTGTATCAGATGGTGGATAGAACATTCACAGTCATGTTATGCATGCATCCACTAAAAGCATTGGGCTGCAGACAGATAACATTTCCACACAGTCAAATGTGCCGATGAATACCTGATTCATGCCTGCAGTTTTTTTTAATCCAGAAAACCATGCATCTGAAGAATCCTGCTTTGGTTCATGAACTGTGATGATCATGCTTGCTAGTCTAATCACGAGCCCCTTAATAGCCAGATTCAGGAACATCTTTGAAGTTACAGTAAAAAGTGATTTCTGTGTCCCCCCCACCCCCCCGTTTTCAGTAAGAACACCATCATTCCACAGCTCTAATTATTATTCCTCATTAGTCTGTAGCATAACCCTAAGACCTGTGTCAGTGCCACAATAGAGCAATGGCAGGCATTTAAATTTCAAATCAGTTTTGGTCTGGAGACAAGGGGACAGCCCTTCTGTGCCCTGATGACCCTCTCTTGGGAATTGAAACTGATATACGGTCGACGTGTACCTAGCTATTGTTCAGTGGTGTTGACCCAGGTCTTAAGATGCAGTCCTCGAGATATTTGTCAGCTAAACAGGGACTGAGCAAATGAAGCAGCAGCTGGTTGTGTGGAAGGCGGCTCCTTTGTATTTGCTGCTGTTGAGAGACACCCACCTCTGCTACCAACGCATTCTCGCAGGTTGCATTTCCGAGAACCCGCAGGCTTGGACTTCTGCTCACAGAGGCTCTGGGCATGAGCGGTGCTGTCTTCCACATTGACACACTTCACCACTCTTTGCTGAATGCCTCCTCCACATGAAACAGAACACTGGAAGACATTTTGCATTACTGTGGTGGTTGTTATTTTACCATGAGGTCCCAGGGGAGGTTGCAAACAATAAATGTACCATTATTATTTTATTTGTTCAATTTATATTTATCAAAAGATCCCCGGGCAGTGTACATCTTTAAGAACACATCTTACAGAGAGGACTTCCAGTTTTTATATCAGGATCATATTGGGCTGGTCAATACTAGGATCAAAATACTTGAAATCTCAGGTGACTCTAGAAACAACTAAGTCAGTTAGGAAGATATGGAACATATTGTCTAATAAAAATAAACTTGACCCATACTCGCATGCCAAACTCACCTTGTAGGGAAATCCTATACTGTATTAAAAATTACTGAAAGGATGGTAATATGGAAAAACTGGATGGGAGCAAGTGTTTTGACTGAAAAATGAGGAAGATGAGTTTTACAGATATACTGTTTTAAGACAAAAATATCATCTATCAAATGGGGCCCAGTGGCAGTTATACAACCTTAAAATATTAATGACTTCCCTTCTTCTCTTTCTGTGGTTCATTTTACACAGCATAAATTCCTGCAGCTTTTATATAATCTAAACCATTCAGTAATCCATTATTACTTCCATCAAAACTTATTTATACTGTTGAATTTATCTTAATGCTACTAGCATTTTCAAGTGTACACAATTTCCCACCATATATTCAATAAACATATTCCAATCTGCTTTAAATTAATGTTCTTCTTGTTCTCTTGTTCTACACATCAGATCCGCAAACTGCGCATATTCCATCAGTTTAAGTTGCCTACAAAAAAATACTGGCATGCAAAAAGAAATTACTGGCCTGCTAAGAGGCCAGTTGTCTGCATTTCTGCATTGGATGTGGAGGAAGGAAGGCGCCTTCTTCATTTGGGGAGGGGGGGGGAGCAAGCTTGCAGGGGAGGGGCGAAACGATCTATCGTGCCCCATTCACTGTCATGATCATTTCTTTCTCAGTGTTGGGGTATGAAGTTGTGCATGCTAAATTTCTCTTTTCAAACAGTACAGGCCCTTTTCCATCCAGCCAGCCTTCCAAATCTGGCGGGCTCTTTTCATCTCTCCTGTCTCTTATATAAGTGTGGTGGTTTTAAAAGGTTGGTGGCAATACCACTGGTGCCACGCAGGCCTGGGGTTGATGGGTTGTTGAGCTGTTGGGGGTGGCAGCTCTGGAAAACTCAAGCTGTGGCTCAGGCAGCTATAGGTCAAAAATGAGCTGGCTGCCCCAAGAGGAACTGAAGAGCTATTCAGCGAAAGCTGTGCACCTTCTGCTGAGATTAAATGCACATAATGTTGCGGCATGTCACAGTGGTGGCCCTTGTTGTTGTTGTTTAGTTGTTTAGTCGTGTCCGACTCTTCGTGACCCCCTGGACCAGAGCACGCCAGGCACTCCTGTCTTCCACTGCCTCCCGCAGTTTGGTCAAACTCATGTTAGTAGCTTTGAGAACACTGTCCAACCATCTCGTCCTCTGTCGTCCCCTTCTCCTTGTGCCCTTAATCTTTCCCAACATCAGGGTCTTTTCCAGGGAGTCTTCTCTTCTCATGAGGTGGCCAAAGTATTGGAGCCTCAGCTTCACGATCTGTCCTTCCAGTGAGCACTCAGGGCTGATTTCCTTCAGAATGGATAGATTTGATCTTCTTGCAGTCCATGGGACTCTCAAGAGTCTCCTCCAGCACCATTATTCAAAAGCATCAATTCTTTGGCGATCAGCCTTCTTTATGGTCCAGCTCTCACTTCCATACATCACTACTGGGAAAACCATAGCTTTAACTATATGGATGTTTGTCGGCAAGGTGGTGGCCCTAATTAGCAGTTAATAACTCAGCCCAATAGCTTGCCGTAGAGGCAACCTACCTCCTTCCAGGGCTCCACCCGCCACTCGAAGCAGGGCTCTGTGTTACAGCTGATGTTTAACTGTGGCTTGCGTCCTGCAAACTGGCAGTGAAACGGCCTCAGGGTTCTGTTGCTACGAATATCGAGGCAAAGGACACTGCGGGTCTTGAAACCGCCTCCGCAGCTGGAGGAGCACTGCAGAAAGACGGACAAGAAGGAGATGGTCTCTGCAGTGTCAGAGAGCCCTGGCAGGGATCTGCGGGCAACTGCTCTACAGGCCTAGTGTGATGGAGGAAGTGCAGGGAAATCTAGGTCCAAATCCAGTAGCAATTGTTCTGCTTTCCTGGTTTCCCAATGCTGGGGTCGCTGCTGCTTACCGACAGGGTGAAGTAGCAGAGAGGGCAGCGCAGTGCTGGCACAATGGTGGGCACATCTCAATAACAGGCAGTGTCAGGAAGCCAGGTAAGCAGTGCAGCCCTTCCCATGAGAAATATTAAAAATCCCCAATTGGCATGAAGTTGCATGAAGTTACCCAAGTGAACTTGGGCCAGTTACCTTCTCGCAGGCTGCTGCCGGACAGGCAGCTTCTAGGAATATCCAGCCATTGCTCTTCTACTGTAAGCTACAATGGAATATGCAGTGGGTTTCCCACACTATCAGGAGTAATGTAAAAGATAAAGGACCCCTGGACCATTAAGTCTGGTCAAAGATGACTATGGGGTTGTGGTGCTCATGCCGCTTTCAGGCCGAGGGAGCCGGCGTTTGTCCACAGACAGCTTTCCGGGTTATGTGGCCAGCATGACTAAACTGCCTCTGGCACAATGGGACACCGTGACGGAAACCAGAGCACATGGAAACGTTGTTTACCTTCCCGCCGCAGCGGCACCTATTTATCTATTTGCACTGGCGATAATAAACGCCCCTAAAATAAAACAATAAACGTCCATAAAAATGGCAAAAGCACCGTATTTTTTGTCTATAAAATGCCCCCATGTATAGAATGACCTCTATTTTTTGAGCCCAAAATTAAGAAATAAATATTTTAAATATGCCGTGTATAAGACGACCCTCAATTTCAAACTTTAAAAAAATGAGGAAAAACATAGTCTTATACACAGAAAAATACGGTAGTTTCTTCCCCCAATAGGTTTTATCTTAAACAATTGCAGACGCAATAGACTACGATTGCAGTAGTCATTGTATCACCACCCTGTTCATTGTTTTATTATTTCATATGAAAGGCAACTTCCTCTAAAAAAATGTTCTGGGCAATATCTCTCTTCCCATTGGATTTTTATCCAGCCCCCACCTCTGTGAGACTGAAAAAGGAAAATATGATACTGGGCCCAAAACTTAGATCAAGGACCGAGGAAGGGAAACTTTTCAGTTCTTTCAACAACACTGATCCTGCCTCAGAAAGTAGACTACCTAAGTTTCCACACTTAATATTCCTGGCTTGTCATAATCAGATAGTGCCTTTGACCAGCTTCCTGGAATAATAATAATAAGCAATGTTTTATGATGAGAAAAACAGCTGCAATTTGAATAATCAAGAAAATTGTATTTTTTTCATAAAAACATTTTTGGCTCATAAGAAAGTGAGTCCATTTAAAAATAATTGGTATGATGGGGGCTGCTGTTACAGAAAAGCATCTGTATCAAAATTAGATGCGTAATTGGATTCATGATCCTGACCTGCAATCTTTTTTGATTAAGCCTCCCTTTCCACTTTCTTCCTTAATGATATAAGCATCAGTCACGTTGGCCCCAAAAAGCTGGGATTTGTCTGGGATAAAGCAAGGCTGCAATATGGATTTGCACAAAATTACTTGCTGGTTTTTGGTAATGCTTTTAGCAAAGAGCACCACACAACCAGGCACTTTTCAGCAATTTCGGTTCTCTGAATGAGAGTTTCCCACCTTGAAGCCCCTTCCAGTTCTAAAAGCCAGATTAGCTAACATCATAATAATTTTTAAAGACTCTGGAAACTGGAAAGACTCATTTCCAAAGCCCCATTACTTTGCTCCAGTCCTCTGCTTTCCACTGGGCACATGGGCGGACGTAACACCTCCTCGCCGGATCAGGCTTTCTCACGTGCCGGCAATCGGATTCATTCTTGGTGTTGCATTCCACCACTCTCCAAAAAGCCCCCACACCACACGTGGTGGAGCACTGCAAAAACAAAACAGAAATAAAGGGCTTTTGAGACTTGATGTTTTTAATCGCATTGCTAAGATGCAAATCTAGCAAGATAAAAAAATTTCTTCCAGTAGCACCTTAGAGACCAACTAAGCTTGTTATTGGTATGAGCTTTTGTGTGATCATACCAATAACAAACTTAGTTGGTCTCTAAGGCGCTACTGGAAGGATTTTTAAAATTTTGTTTCGACTAGAGCAGACCAGGGACATGGGTGGCGCTGTGGGTTAAACCACGGAGCCTAGGACTTGCTGATCAGAAGGTCAGCGGTTCGAATCCCCACGATGGGGTGAGCTCCCGTTGCTCGGTCCCTGCTCCTGCCAACCTAGAAGTTCGAAAGCAAGTCAAAGTGCAAGTAGATAAATAGGTACCGCTGCGGCGGGAAGGTAAACGGCGTTTCCATGCGCTGCTCTGGTTCGCCAGAAGCGGCTTAGTCATGCTGGCCACATGACCCGGAAGCTGTACGCCGGCTCCCTCAGCCAATAAAGCGAGATGAGTGCTGCAACCCCAGAGTCGGTCACGACAGGACCTAACGGTCAGGGGTCCCTTTACCTTTACCTTTAGAGCAGACCAACACGGCTACCTACCTGTAACTATGCAAATCTAGCACTTCATCTGGAGCCCAGGAAAGCAGAGAGTAAATGGGAAAAGAAGCTCATTTCATCGCACTCCCCAGCTGCTTATGGTACATACCACAAAACAAAATACATAGCTAAAAGCTGGTAGCCAAAGAATTGGCTGGCTGGTGCAAAACAGTCAATATGAGAAAAATTGCAGGTGAGCGATCACAGCTCCCATCAAGCATGGCCAGTGGCTAGGGATCATGGAAGTTGTAGTTCAGCAACAGCAGAAGGGCAAAGGGTTCCCCACACCTGAAGCAGAGCAACTCATTTATGCCTCGGGATTTAATTGCTGCTGTATGAAACCACGGCCTCCTCACATTTCTATCAGTTCAACCACATCTTGAATGAATGATAAAATGGGCCTGCAGAAGCCCAAATGATGATGATGATGACAGTAATAGTAATAATTTATTATTTATACCCCACCCATCTGGCTGGGTTTCCCCAGCCACTCTGGGTGGCTTCCAACAAAATATTAAAAATACAATAAAACACCAAACATTAAAAACTTCCCTAAACAGGGCTGCCTTCAGATGTCTTCTAAAAGTCAGATAGTTGTTTATTTCCTTGACATCTGATGGGACGGCGTTCCACAGGGCAGGCGCCACCACCGAGAAGGCCCTCTGCCTTTAAAGGCTGGTTTATAGACACTGTGCATAGAAAATTGCTTTCATTAGGAATGCAGCTGAAATAATAATAAAGGTGGCAGTGAAGTGACTATAGTCAACAGGATGAAATCTCAAGACTCACCTCACTCCAGTTCCCCACCAACCAGGTGGCATCATCGGGTGAGTTCCTGGACTCCATTGGATGTTCTGACTCAGAGTCATTCAACAAAATTCTCTTGGAAGCTTCATCCCAGGTCTTTGGCATGTCAGTATCCTGCAGAAATGGACCTTCTGTGGCATAAGTAGGTGCCTCATCCACAGAGGATGTTGGTTTCATTCTATTTGCAGACTTGTCTCTTGAAGTATCATTTAACACCGCTGGTTGTACTGTGATAGGATCTGCTGTTGTATTTTCAGGTGTATTTATTTGAACAATAAGGCCTCCAAGACCTATTGTTGTCATGGAAATTCCTACCTCTGCTACCGGAGTAACAGAAATGTGTCTAAAACTGTCTGCGTGATAATCTGTCGGCAAGTTGCTTGATGTATTACCATCAGTGATGGTAGTAGGAGAACTTTTCATTGGCCATTTGCTCTGGGATTTATTTTTTGTTTCTCCATCTGTACCGTTAGACACTGTACTAGATTCTTCCATTAAATACCTGGGGGTTACAGCCAACGACTTGGGATTAGTGGTAAAGGAGTCCCTGTTTATAAAGTCAATGTCTGAATAATTGTATGGTTTTATGGGGGATACGTTCTCCACATTTGTAGAATTCAAAACATCTGAATTATTTGTAACAGGCCTGAAAGTACTATTTTGCAGCAAGCTGCCTTCACTAAATACGTAGGAATAATTTTTAGGAATGTCTGACCCACTGGAATTACTTTGTAATGTTTTTACACCCCAGTTTTCTTTTTGGGAAGAGTTTGCAAAGCTTAAGGATGTAGGCATCAAAGTAACATTTCTGGGCTCAAGTCCTTTTGTTGTGGTAAGGATTCTTGGGCTTGGTTTGGTAGTTGGCCAGTTGACCCCAGGGCCTTTTCTGGGATCTGTTCCAGTTCTCCTGATTATCTTTCCACCATGCAGTTTGAAATTAGGTATCAGCAATCTTCTGGAGTATGGACACTGCTGGAGGCCGCACAGAGCTTTAGAATGGGGTCTCTTTGAAATATCACATGGTTCTCCATTGTTCTTGGTACAGGTGATGTTACGAGTCCGTATACCTCCACCACAGGTCACCGTGCACTGCAAAATAAATAACATTTCTTCAGATATCTCACCCAAATCTCACCTTGTACACTTGCATACATGCATACTTGCACAGACCCAGCCGGTCCTGACACCCGTAAGCAGTTCAGTGGCTGTATTTGGTCTTGTGTCTACAACCCTTTGAGAAAGAAGACTATGCTTGACCTTTAGAGAGAGTAACAACCGAAGAGACTTTTTGTGTGGCAAGAAGAATGAAGGAACTTAAGATGCCTGGGATTGAATAATAATCTTTATTTACATACTTGGTAGTTGAAGAACTGGAAGTCCTCCTTATTTCTATCTTCTATCTTTATTCTTATTCTTATTTGATTTGATTTCTAGCTCCCCCCCCCTTCTGTTAACTCTACATATACTCACGTTTTGTTCTGTTTTTTTGATGCCCTCTACTCAGTTAATGAGGTTCCACACAGGAAGGTGATGGACAGATGATGAAGGACCCTTCGTGAGAGGCAGGGAAAGGAAGATCTCCTAGGGTGGGAGGCTGGGAGAAGAAAGGGAAGCTCTCCGGTGAGAGCTGGGAAGGTCCACCACCTTTTGTGGGGGGCAAGGGTTAAGATGTTGTGGTTCTGGACAGTTAAGAGTTAACACTCCAGGAAGCTTTCTGATTCACTGGGTGCATTGCCCACATGACCCGGCATTTTCCTTTGATCTGTGGTCTGTGGGGGCTGAGCTCTCTCTGGAGAGCAGTCTGTCCGAGAATGTGAGCAAGGTAGTCTCGTTTTTGTTAGAGGCAGAAAGCTGCAAGCATGCAGCTAGATTCTGTAGGCTTTCTTTTCTGTTTGTTATGCTTCTAAATAAAGAGTTATAGAATAGAAGCACTGGTGTCGAGCTTAGTTATTGAAGACACCACAAAGACACAGAGAAGCCATTTTACGCTGCGTGTGAACTCTGCTCTTATCCGGCAACTTAGAAGAGTGGCAGCGCCCAGAGTGGAAGCGTATGGGCACTAAGCAGGATTTTAAGAACTGTGTGGGAGGTGGAATACAATAGGAGAGAAGATTGATGAACGGTGAGGACGCAGTTAAAAAATGGCGTCTCGCCAAGACAGGCTGCCGGAGAGAGAGAGAAGGGGGAGGAGAATCAGGTGTCGGAAAGAGAAGGAGTACGGAATCGAAAGTTTGACCTGACAGAGCCCCCTGATCTATTTGATTTATTTGGCCTGCCTGGAAAAACAAAGGACAAATTGAAGATTAATTTTGTCTACGGAGGTGTCAAACAGAGGCTGTCCTGGGCTGATATAGCTTCTGAAGAGTATAAAACCCACACAGAGAAGCCAGCTTTCAGTCTGCTTGTGAGAATCATCAGAGATTGCAAAGAAAGGAATGTACGACTACAACAAGATGAAGAAAAATAATAAAGGACTATCCGGAGTGAACTGGATAGGACTGATTAATTAATGCAGTAAAATAAGTGATGTCTGGACTTATCCGGAATTTTGGACTCGTGCGGAGCTTGATATATGGGTACCCCCCCAAAAAATTTAAAATTTGGCTGTATAATTTGGAACCAATGTGATTTGAACAATGTGATGTGATTGGCCTGTTAATAAAAATTATTTTAAAAAGGAAGAGTATGGGCACCATTGGAGTTTGTCAGAGTGGCAATAAATCAAATTTATTGCAGGGCCGTTGCAGCAGACTCAGTGGGTCAAAGGATTTACGACCCACAAACTTTAACAAAGATGCACCTCGGATAGAGGACTTTGTTACTTTTTATTCTTCTGCTTTTTCTGTGTTGTCTTTCTTGCGTGTTTGTTATACAGTCATACCTCAAGTTACGTTTGCTTCATGTTACGTTTTTTCAGCATGCGTCCCGCGGTGACCCAGAAGTACCAGAAAGGGTTACTTCCGGGTTTTGCTGCTTGCACATGCACAGTAGTGCTAAATCACGCTTTGTGCATGCGCACAAGCACCAAATCACGCTGCGCACCTGCGCAGATACGGCGCTTCAGGTTGCGGGCTTTTCATGTTGCGAACGGGCCTCTGGAACGGATCCTATTCGCAACCAGAGGTACCACTGTACATATTATGTTTTTTCTCCCCCCCCTTTTTATTTAGATTAGTTTGGCTTTTATTGTATTGCATGTTGAAAAGTTTCAATAAAAGAAATTTAAAAAGAGAGAAAAAGTGCCACAGTCTCAGACAGCTCCACATGCAGACCGCACTAAGCTTGTAAATAAGCCGTTATCTGTCTTTTCATTCGCCACATTGAAAAACAAAACATTCCATAATGAAGGAGGATTTTAATTTGCCCAGCAACCCCTATGATCTTTGGTGTCCATTCTGCTATCTTGTCTATGCTGCTCTGGGGGGGTGGGGCAGGTTGCACTACTTTTTAGCAGACACAAACTGTCGCTTCATATGCAAACCTGCCCCACAGACAACTGGGACTCTGTTGAAAACAGAGTACAGTAATTCATACAGGCTTTATGCTTCATCAACAAAATTAGCTGAAACCAAACCCATGTTTAATTCAATTAACAGTAGCGTCACGTTTTCATTTATACAGAAAGCAGAGGGAGTTGATGGGGCATACAAAATGGGCAACAGAGGAATTTTGGTACACAAATCCAATCTCATCCTTCAGTTTAATTCTTTGCAGGAGGGCGGGAGAAAACAGCTTGAAGGTACTGAGGGCAGAAGCAACACACCTGCTATGCACCTGCTAGTAACAAACCACAGCAAAATCAAACCAAGATTTTGTAATGATGGGAGCCTGCAAAATCTGACATTCCACAGTCAAGGGGAAGTAAACGGTTCTTATAACCATAGAGTTTTAATTTTACTTACTTTTTTATTTATTCTATAGGGCAGGAGGCAACAGAAAGTTTTCCATTAACCACAACTGCCAAGACTTTCTGTGAGTTCATTCGGAAAGTTACATCTCATCTTAATGAGTCAAGATAATGATCAAGCCTTTTACTCACCCCCCTCACCTGGCTGGTTTAACAGCAGTTTCCCCATTTCCTCCAAACTGGGAAATTGGAGCTATCTGCTTTGGAACAAACAAAGATATCAAATCAGCTTCAAAACATGGTGTAATATCTTGGATTGTTCCAGAAAGGGTAACCACAGTTTCCTGGTTTAGGGAAAATGGGAAACAATGGTTAATGGAAGACTTTGTGGCTTGTTCGTTCATACCACTGTTCAAGGGAAATAGACAAATAGGTCTTTTCATAGGCCATGAGAATGGTCTGGAAGGCACACGATGCATTCCTTTTGCTGAAGCTGTGCCAAGAATGAGGCATCACTGGGATATGTACGCTGCTCTGAGCTCTTTAAGAAAAGACCGAGGTCTGAGCATGTAACGCATACAACTACAGTGTGTTGTGAACGTACCTCAGTCCAGTTGCTTACTGTCCAGTCTGATGGGCACAGGACATCTCTGTTACATGAAAGGTAAGTCTTTGGTTTCAGCAGATGTTTGCACTTCTCAACAGGCAAAGCTTGCTCATCCAATCCCACTGTCTGGATGCAAAGGACGGTCCGTTTCTTTTCTCCTGTTGGGCCACAGGAGGTTGAACACTTCTGCCATTCTCCTGCCCACCATCTTCAGAGCAAAACAAAAAGAATTGGGGAACATCAAAAAGGGCATGCATGCTAAACCAGAGAATGAACGTTAGTAATACAAAGGAAACTTTGAGAAGAGTATATCGCTTAAATGTTACGTTCCAGGCTTGCAATTTTTCCTCCTCTGGGTTATGGGAATCTGCATATCAGCTCAGCAAAAGTACAGGCAACCCCGATTTGTGCAGGATCACAATTGCGCACATATCGGTTGCACCTAAAACATGAGTTGCCTGGATTTCATTATTGTCTATCATGCACATAGCATATTTTATTTGTGACTTTGGCGCTGTGGGTTAAACCACAGAGCCTAGGGCTTGCCGATCAGAAGGTCAGCGGTTCAAATCCCCGCGACAGGGTGAGCTCCTGTTGCTCGGTCCCTGCTCCTGCCAACCTAGCAGTTCAAAAGCACATCAAAGTGCAAGTAGATAAATAGGTACCACTCCGGTGGGAAGGTAAACGGCGTTTCCGTGCACTGCTCTGGTTTGCCAGAAGTGGCTTAGTCATGCTGGCCACATGACCCGGCTCCCTTGGCCAATAAAGTGAGATGAGCACTGCAACCCCAGAATCGGCCATGACTGGACCTAATGGTCAGGGGTCCCTTTAGCTTTACCTTTATCGTGTTCACACTCACAATAACCACACCTGGAAACAGACCCTTATTATACCCATTTTAGAGCTGGGAGCAAAGATCTAATTACAGAGAGTTACAGCGGCCAGCTGGCCTCCACTAGAAGTCAGGCGTTTAGCATCACAGGTCCCATGATATGGAACACTCTTCCTGTAAAGGCATCACTACTTTTGACTTTGGGGCCTCTCTAGAAGAACTTCTTATGCCAACAAGCCTTTGCAGCTGTTTCAATTAATTAGCCAGCCACTTTAATGATGACCTGAATTGTTTTTAAGGATGCTGTATGCTTAATAGTTGTACACCACCTTGATGTTACACAATGTGGTGGTACAGAAATATTTCCTATAAACAACCCAAGAACCAACATTAGAAGGTCATTGCAACCATTATACATGCATCTGATCGCTGCAGATCTGCAAGAGAGGGCCTCCTGTAGATACCATCGCAACAGGAAGTATGTGATATGCAATTTAGGAAACGGGCCTTTAGCATAGTGGCATCTACCCTTTGGAACTCCCCTCCCCTCCGTTATGTATCAAACAAACTCCCATGATTACTTCTGCATGGATGGTTGCTATTCAGAATGGAGGTTGTATGCCTCCTCTAACACATTCTGAAAATGGCATGCAAAGCACAACCCAGTGTGTGTGTTTGCACCAATTTGCTAGTGCAAGACTTCAGCACTACATCAGTTTGCGAGTCAGGCTACAGTCCTCGTCCTATATGACAGAAGAGCTGCTTTGAAGAGGACCTGGTGTCTGATTAATTGGGAGGAAGTGCCCAGTTATGTTTTCTGTTTCTGTGCTTCTATTTTCAAAAAAAACCTTCAGAGAAAAGAAAACCAATGTTTAGAAACTTACGTATTAACAAACTCTCTGTCTCACTTGGACAAACAATTTCTGAATGATGGACAGCTGGTGATGGGAAACAAAAGGTGGTCCTTTGCATACTTGTTTAATTACTGTAGTCTACACCTTTGACATTTTCTAGGAAGCCTACATAATCCTCCCCATATATTAACTTGGAGCTGGTAAGCCCTTTAATCCCCACTGACTGCACATCTGCCGTTGCCAATTACATGTCCAGAGGATAGGAGTAGCATTGCTAGAAAACAGTGACAGTACTGACCTTCGTCTGAAATCTTAGATTTTCACTTATTTGTTCAAAAGCAAACACCTTTGGGAAATTACATATTGATTTCCCCAGCCCACGGCATTGCTAAATATCAATGCACAGCAAAGGGGAAGAAGCAGTTTCTTAATAAATTGATCAAAAAGGACAGAGGCGACTTAGATTATGTTTTCTGCCAAGCAATTAGGGACACTGGAGAATGCCATTAGAAATGGAAACCGGAGTGGAAATTACCACAATTTCTGTGTTCATCACAGATCTGGAAAGGAAATCAGATTAATAATAGTAGTAGTAGTAGTAAAGGTAAAGGTACCCCGGACCGTTAGGTCCAGTCGCGGATGACTCTGGGGTTGCGGTGCTCATCTCGCTCTATAGGCCAAGGGAGCCAGTGTTTGTCTGCAGACAGCTTCTGGCTCATGTGGCCAGCATGACTAAGCCGCTTCTGGCAACCAGAGCAGCGCACGGAAACGCCGTTTACCTTCCCGCCAGAGCGGTACCTATTTATCTACTTGCACTTTGACATGCTTTAGAACTGCTATGTTGGCAGGAGCAGGGACTGAGCAACGGGAGCTCACCCTGTTGCGGGGATTCAAACCGCCGACCTTCTGATCGGCAAGCCCTAGGCTCTGTGTAGTAGTAGTAGTAGTAGTAGTAGTAGTAATAGTAGTAATAGCAGCAGCAGTATTTGCTATTGTTGGGGGATTTTTAGTCTGTGAATAGTATGTATATAATTACATTACTTTCTTAGTGGGGATAGATAGCGGGAAAGCTCACTGCCTGTTCCATAGGGGTATCCCCTTAAGGTATATTGGGAAGTGATGCTTCATGTCCAGCTTGGGGGCTGAAGGGCTACAGCACCCCCTGCCACTGGAGTCTGCTGGAAGTGGTTTGTTCCATGGGGGACACCTATGGTCAGCCACAACTGTCTATCAACCAGCAGGTAGGTTGGTTGATTGTGGGATACATGTCCAATGCCTATGCCAAACCTATTTTGTCTGTAAACCATATGGCTGTGACCTAATCTGAACCCAACACATCTCTCCCGGGATTCATTTGCTGCCTGTGCATCCCCCCATGGGCCCACAAATGTTATACTTCACATCCCAAATGGAACCAGTGAAAGGGAACTGCGTTGCCACACAAGCCCCATTCACTGAAAATTGAGGGTCAAAAGATCCAGTAGGCTGAGACTTGGGAATGAATCTGATTTAATTTAGTGGGGCTTACTTCTGAGCAAACATGTAGTTTCCTTGGTGACTCTAGCACTCTTTTTAATCTAACCACAAAATTCCTCTGAGCCTCTGGTTTATGCTCAGATATTAAGAGAGGCCATTAGTTATCAGATCGGATTATGCTGTCAGCTGGCTTCCCAGTAATTAGACCTGAGGAATCATTGCATTGTGTGGTTCAGATACTTTAATAAATTATTTACATGGGGTGTCAAAGACATCACCCTGCTGAGATGTTACTGCTTATTATTGTCAGCATTGATATATCTCGGGAGAAGATGGAAGGGTGTGCCATTGAGGGTAAAGTCAAGCCATTGGAGAGTTACAGCATCTGCTGTAGAGACCAGTACAGGAGAGACATGTTTTATTGCAGCTGGGGGAGATGAAGGTGTCTGGTTTTGCTGGTGCAGATGCAGCAGTGAGTTTTTTCTCTCTACACTCCTTCCAGCGGTCATTTCTCTTCAGGTCACACTGGTATGCACAGCTTCTAAGGAGGCATGAAAAGTGCCAATTTCCCTAACTGATTATCAGCGTTTCAACTGGAAAATCAGCGGGATATGTCATAAAATCAATTGCTGACATATGCAAAGCAAGGTTAGTTAGGAGGAATGTTCTCAGCTAAAGAAGCCACTTCTGGGCTCAACATTATGCCAAAGTTCAAAACATGCCACCTGCTAAAAGGTAAAGGTAAAGGGACCCCTGACCATTAGGTCCAGTCGTGACCGACTCTGGAGTTGCGGCGCTCATCTCGCTTTATTGGCCGAGGGAGCCGGCGTACAGCTTCCGGGTCATGTGGCCAGCATGACTAAGCCGCTTCTAGCAAACCAGAGCAGCGCATGGAAACACCATTTACCTTCCCGCCGGAGCGGTACCTATTTATCTACTTGCACTTTGACATGCTTTCGAACTGCTAGGTTGGCAGGAGCAGGGACCGAGCAATGGGAGCTCACCCCGTCGCAGGGATTCGAGCCACTGACCTTCTGATCGGCAAGTCCTAGGCTCTGTGGTTTAATCCACAGCGCCGCCTGCGTCCCAATGCCACCTGCTAGCATGGTTAAATGTTGATTTCTTGAGTGATCCCCAAACCAATAGATTTCAGGTAGCAATCCTATATTCACTGACCATTGAAATTCAATGGGGTTTGTGAAATGATGCTAAATGCGTCTTTGCTCTTGCAGCTTTTGTTTCATAATTGCTAATAGCAGGGGGCAAGAAGAGGAATTCTCATTCGCACCCACTCATGGAAATCTCCTCTGAGCTCCAGGAGGAAAGTGTTCATTTTGGTTGCAGCTGAGGCTGATAGCACACTGAGACTAAAAGTAGTGATGGAGGTGTGATTTTCATCAAGACCACAGCAGGGGAAGGAGGAAAGTGTTGTTGTTTTTAAAGTCCCCGTGCACCATTGTCCCAATTAAAGTCCCCCCATACCTCCTACGGGCAATTAAAAAGTAAAAGGCAACAGCAAACCACATATTTAGTGTCCCTTCTAATATGGCCCACATTTAGGTAGGTTCGTCACATCAGTCAAGAATTTAAAACAGCTGCCGTGCGTCTCAGGAGTTGGCCTTTTCGTAAACTCACATATGCCATATCTTCTCTGGAATCTTTAGATATTATTGCTATCAAGATGCACACCAAAATGGAAACCTGACGCATGACTCGCTTTGCCAATCAGACCCTTCAATGTTCAAACATGCTGTAAATAACAGAGCAGGCGGAGAGGGTTTGTCGAGTGACCAGTGTTGTCAAAACTGCCCATCACTGTGCACTGAAAGACCTTTTTTCCCTTACTGTGGGGACCATAGGTGCTTCTCTCCTCAGCGAAATAATAATAATAATAATAATAATAATAATAATAATAATTTATTTATACCCTGCCCATCTGGTTGAGTTTCCCCAGCCACTCTGGGCGGCTCCCAATCGAGTGTTAAAAACACATCACAGCTTCCCCAAACACAACCTGTTAACCTCTCAGCTGGCTGACGACACCTCTCCTGCCCAGGCTAGTGAGATAGGTCAGGTGTAAGTCAACAGGTGTTTCCTTGTGGACACCTGGGGAATTATGACAGAAGATGGATAATACCAAGCACTTAAATGGTGCCTTTTCTGAGTGTTCACTGACAGCTGCTCCTTAAGGCAGGGTGCGTTGCAGAAACAGAACGGGAGCTGAGAGATGGTGGTTTGCTTTACAGCAGAGGTGGGGACCTGTGAGCATCCAGGCATGGTTGGGCTCCAACTTCCATCACCCAACAAGCTAGTACGGCCAATGGTCAGGAATGATGGAGCCCAATCTCTGGAGAGCCATATGTTCTTCCATCCCTGCCTTAGAGGGCTGTCTACCTAGCAGGCCTGTCGCTGAAATGAAATTGGGACAGAGGATGCTGGCTGACACATTGTTCTCTTATTCACTATGCTATCAGTTTAATGTCATTCATTTCTGAAGCTGTTTTATCAGTTCTTTTTAAAATGTGTCCTTTCTTCTATCGTCTGTCTACCTATCATAATGTTGTTTGGTCTACATTTCTTCTGACAGACTGCTGTTTGTTGCCATCATTACCCATGAGTATATTCCCCTAAATTACACACACACACACCCTACCTTGGTGGACAGTCCCTTTCCATGCATTTCTTTTGTTTCCCACTGGGCTGCGTTTCGAGATCACAAAACAAGTTTTTCACCACACCTCTCCCTTTTCTCACACAGTGGGCCGTCTGCTGTTGGAAACCTACGAGAAAGGAAGGAGACACGTGCTACATTCAGAGGCAATGTCTGGCTTCAAAGAATTTTAGAGCTGGGTTGCTGGTCATCCTGGTAATTATTTTTAATAATTTCTCTGCAATTTTATACACATTTTACTTACCAAGACAAACTAAATTATATTAATTTAACCAAAATGCCTTTTGGATTCCCAAGTCATGTGACAACTAGTTAGCACCCCTCTTTTTTCTGGAATTTGGAAGTTGAAAAATTCAGCATGTCCCAGGGCACGTGGCTCAAAGTAAGCGTTAATAAAACTCAGTTTGCCAGCTTGTGAGGAACCCATTTGTTCCTTGATGAAACACGCTGTTAAGATAATTAATGCCAAAGCAGTTAGCAGAGAGAGGAAGATGGCAGCCCTAATGTTGCTTACCTCTCCCACAAGTCACACTGCAACTTGTCCAGCTTCCATATCGCCAAAAATACTCTGGCTCTTCCACATCATTCTCAGAGCTCCAGCCTTTACGGACAGTATACTCATATTTCACTCCAGGGTTATTTTCCTGAAAAAGGAGCTGAGAAGAAACAACTGTCAATTTTGGTCACAAAACGGTTCCAACCAAACAAATGGAGAAAGCAAGAAAGCTTAGGTATGTTCTAAAGCACCTTCCAGGTGTTGCTAGAATGCATCTTCCATCATACCTGACTAGGGATGGAAGAAGGCATCATTTTTGGCCATGGACTGGCTGGATGCAGAGGAGTGGCGGGAGGTACCAGCCACGGAAACCCCAAGGGAAGCCTTCGGGGAAGAGGGAAGAAGGCTCTGAGCCAGGGGGTTGGTGGTGGGGTGACAATGAGTGGTCAGAGGGAGAAAGAACAGACTGAGAGGAGGTGATGGCAGCAGGTGAGGAGGCAGGCTTTAATGAACAGGAAGAGGCTGTGGCCGAGAGCAGTTCAGACTCTGACTCCAGAGGCTAAGGGGAGGGTGGCCAAGAGGCAGAGTGGAGAAGAAACCAGGGTATCTCCCCCTCCTGCTGTGACCAGCTCCCTTTCCCCCTGGTCTCCTAGAACTCATGGAGAAATGAAACAGGCAAAGCAGAGGGTGGTTGAACGCAGATGCCATCTGAGACTGCATGGGAAAGACCTTGGAGAAGAGGAGTCCTAGCAAGAAAAGATAATGATATTCTAGGCTGCATCAACAGAAAGAAGTCTAGTGCCCAGATCAAGGGAAGTAATAGTACCGCTCTATTCTGCCTTGACCAGACAACATGTGGAGTAGTGTGTCCAATTCTGGGCACCACAATTTAAGAACGATGTTGGCAAGCTGGAGTGTGTGCAGAGGAGGGCAAGATGATCAAGGGTCTGGAAATCAAGTCTTAGAATTTCTCCTCCCTCCCTGACCCCTGTTGGCTGGGGCTGATGAGAACAGGGGTCCAAAAATGTTTAGAGGGCACAGATTCATAAAAGCTGCCCAGTCCAAACCTCCCAGCAATTTCCCAAAGCCACTTGCACATATGACACGTTCCCCCACCTGTAGCCACAACGATTCATTCGTGGGTCCAGCGGCAGTGAGGTTTTCCAAGTCGCCTTTTCTCCCATATTGAAATATCGTTCCTGCCACTTTGTAGTCTCCATTCCATTGGATAATAAACCCTCCATTTAGGTAATACTTTCCCGGGTCCTCACTCCGTAGCGCAAGGAAATTCCCTGCTTCTGCCACTTCCAGCACCTTGATGTTCCTTGCGCCTTTTGGAATTAGGCCAATATCAACATACCCTATGGGGGGAGAAGCAACATTCACCAGTTTTAACAACAGAATATTAATGCACTGTGCCTAGGTCACATCTATGCCTTACAGTTAGAACACATTTAACACACATTGCAAGTTTTCACCCAAAATCCTGGGAATTATTGTTCATCCCTCACAGAGCCACAATTAGCAGCACACTTAATGAATTATGGTTTAATTCCAAATTACTGCCCTTGGACAAATCTGATGTGAACATTCCATAGTAGCACATTAATCACACATGTCCTATTGAATTTGGTAGGTCTGATTTCCAGGTACACAGCTAGAGGTTTGCAGCATAATTGGGTACTTCTTATCTTGCCTAGTCAGGTTTAATATTTTGAACAAATTTTGTCTGAAAAGGCCTCTGAAACAACTGAGTCTAATTTTTCCGCTATCACTTGATTTTTTAAAAAAAGGCTTAGTTGATTAATTGCATGAATATCCATTAATTACTTAATTAAAGCAGCATAAATTTAATCCCACCCACTTTCATTTCCTCCCCCCCTCCCCTCCAAGTGCCCCCCCCCCGGCAACCTCTTGCTTGATGTGATGAGTTTCTGGGTATCAACCAGATCATTTTTTTTCCTGCAAAGCAATGCACTTTTCAGGTGGTTTTTTATAAATAATGCATGAGTATGAAATCTGCATATGAATGAAGAAAATAGTTCTGAAGGAAAAGACACTCTGCGGGGTGGGTGGGTGTTGGAGGTCTAGAAATGCAGCCATGTTGCATTGGGCCCCATCCTGAAAGTGGAATTCCTGTGTGAATTCCCCTTCCTCTCAACCCCCTCCTCTGCGTGGCCCCGGGCACTGGCAACCCATGCTACACCACTGATGATCACTACTTACCCAGCTACTGCTGCTACCCCAGAACATTGTGGGAAATGGCCACCTCAGCCAGACCCACTTCACTGCCTCCGCAAGCTGGCTCCTGTCTGTGTCTCACTCCCCATACCAGCCTAGTGTTGAAGTGAGAATCAGTTGCCATTCCTGTACATGAAAGGGCAAGGGCATCTTGTCCTTTGCCTGAGATGGCAAAATGGCTTGACTCAGTGCTGTTAATCATGGGCTGTACCGGAGGGATTAGCTAGGCACAGCTTTTTTGAAACGTTTCTCAATTCTTTCATCATAAAGATGTTGAACAACAACGGACCCAGAACAGAACTCTGCGGCACCCTACTTGTCACTTTTTCCCCGGATGATGAGGAACCATTAAGTGAGCACTCGTTGGGTTTGGTCAGTCAACCAGCTATAAGAGTTATTTGCCCAGCCTACATTTTACCAGCATCACCGCAAGAATATCATGGTGGACTTTGTCGAAAGCCTTAGTGAAATCAAGATACACTGTGTCCTCAGCAGAAAACCTTTGCTGCAGGATTCAGCTGATTAGAAAGTAGAGAAGAAGGTGCTCCTCCAGCAGTTTTTTTTAAATGAAAGGATTATCAAAGAGGAGCAGATGTACTAAATTTTGCAGGCAGCTTTAGATCAATGATTTATCTCCATTATTACCTTATTATGACATTCCGACAGAATAGCCTTTCAGACCTACATTTGCAATGAGTGGGAGCCTGCACATATAGCTTTGGCTCAGAGGTTTATCTTCAATATGGCCAAGGTCTTTAAAGGCTAAGTACAGACTGTGATCGCAACATGGATTCACACAGCAAGGCTGGATCTGCAGAACTTTAAAGCTGCCAGAAACTCACAGATAAAACAAGGTGTCCAGCATGATAAAATTGAAATCATTAACATTCGGCTCTCCTTTCCGTGTAACCACAGGCAAGAATAAAAGTCTAACATAATCTTAGAAAATTAAACAAAAGATAGAGATATGCTTCTGGTTTGAAGAAAAGCTTTTTCCTATAGTGCCACAAGATTTCTGCTCTCTCTCTCTCTTCCCCCGCTCCAAGGTCTTGAAAGGAAAAAACCTGAAAGTTCTTGTAAAGATGCAAAAGAAACTTTTCACAAGGTAAAAAAATTAATAAAACGTGATGTTGTAGAGATGAAGAGATTTATCGTGGCCTTAGCTATTGCGGACTAGCGTCTACTTCTCAAAATAGTCCACCAATGCTTATGCCACAATAAATCCGCTTGCAGCCCAGTCCAAGCAACACAGGAAGAGGCCTTAATACTAAGTCACAGACTGCTGAGAATTAAGGCACAAGGGGGTGAATTCTCAGGTGAATGGGTATCAGATAGCAGCTTGAGCCTGGTGCCAAGGCTGCAATTTCCCCTGTAATAGATTGTCATGGCTACCCCTCTGGAAATTGTACCTACATACTCAAAGAGGCTGAGTCATGCAGTCCAGTCCTGTGCAACCTGGCAATCATATTTATCACCCTATTGATCCAAGTGGATTCAATATGCCCTCCTTAATAAAGGAGATATCGCGTTCAGTATTGCTTCACATCCCCCAATTCCTTCTACAGGTTCGTTTTCTCTCCTTTGGTGACAGAGTATTAGTGTCTCAGAGTATGTTTTGTCAGCAAGCATCATTGCTCATTGAAATTGCTGCAGAAAAACACTGCGGGGGGGGGGGAGGATTATTCACCTGCTCCTTCACTTTGGTTGAAGGCTATCTTCACAGTCTGACAAGAGGATCCATCTCCCAGGCAAACTCCACATTGATCTTCTGTGGCATTGGAATCCATCTCATAATCACAACCGATGGTCTGAAGGAAGACACGATAGGTTGCATGCATTATGGGATCAGCACTAACCAATCAGCAAATGCCTGCCAGAGACTATTTTGCTATTTGCATCATTCTGCAGTTCCCATGTCTTAAGGTGTGTCCATGTGGCAGGCATTTTCTGCAGGTCAAAGCCAATTTGAAACATCTTAAGATTCCAGCTGACCTTCCCAGGCTGCAGAGCAACAAGGCTTCACTTACAAGGGAAGAAGCCCACTAGTCTAACCTTGACTCCCTCCAGTTTTACTCAAAACATGGCTTCACCTGTAGCCTTCTAAAGACAGTAACTAAGGAAGAATTACACATTATCATGGTCATCTGATTTGCATTTCAGTGCAAGATTTTTCTTCCGCATATAGCTGGCATGCAGTGGGCGCTGCTGCTCTGGATTGGGATGGGACCTTAGCCTGAGGAGAGGAGGGAGGCGTTAGCTCAGGTCACCTCAGCTCAAAAAGGGTATTGTGGATTGGGAAAAAATTCAGGAGGTAAAGGTAAAGGGACCCCTGAACATTAGGTCCAATGGTGGCCGACTCTGGGGTTGAAAGTTGTACTGACACATAGGGATAAGCATACCCCTAAACAATTTGCAAATCTAAGTTTGGCCTCATTGAGGGGCTGTATTTCTATATGAGTAGGAAACTGAGAGTACCCCTAAACATTTTTTTAGAAAAAAAGCACTGATGATTACTATGTTCACAGTGACTGGTTGGTCACTGTGAAAACTAGATAGGCCACTGGCCTGATTCAGCAGGCGAATTCTGATGTCATTTTCCCTCATTAGAATGGAGCCCCCCTAAGACTGCTTTCCCCCCATCTCACCACCAGAGTCCAGATATGGACCCCCTCCCCCGACCCCTGTGGGGAAAAAATATTGCATTCAGGAGCGAAACATGTGACAAACACATGACATCTAGTTTGGCCCTGAAGCAGTCATCACAAAAGGTAAAGAGGATTTCCTCCCTGCTCAGCTGTAACAACAGTTTTTTTCTGCCCCAGCTACATGGATAACATGAGGGGATGCAAAAAGAGCCATAAACAGAAGAAAAGAAAAGAAAAGAAAAAGGATGGTAAACTACTGCTCTATGCTATCTCTCCATATCTCCACCTGTATTCCGAATGCGTTTTCATTTCCAGCTGTAACATTTCCATATCTGTACATCTTGATGATATCAAACTGCATTTGTGGCAGGTTGAATGACTATCAGTAGGGAACACGTTTATCGTTCCTTTTGACACTTGACAAAACGTCCTTTTGTTCCCTGGAGCTCAGCAACTGGCTCTGCCCATTAAAACGCTGACACTTCTTAATCACCAGTTCTGCAGCAGACACCAAAGGGCAATTTTTATGGACCTCAAAGACACTTGTATAACTAATTGCAACTTCTTAATCAGCTGGCATTGTGTGAGGCAGCCGACAGACGCCATCTTGGAAGACCCTTACATATATATATGTGAAAACTAAGAACCACCCTGTGGAACTATAAAAAGGTAACAGTAAAGGGACCCCTGACCATTAGGTCCAGTCGTGACTGACTCTGGGGTTGCGACGCTCATCTCACTTTACTGGCCAAGGGAGCTGGCGTACAGCTTCCGGGTCATGTGGCCAGCATGACTAAGTCGCTTCTGGCAAACCAGAGCAGCGCACGGAAACGCCGTTTACCTTCCCGCCAGAGCGGTACCTATTTATCTACTTGCACTTTGACGTGCTTTCGAACTGCTAGGTTGGCAGGAGCAGGGACCGAGCAACGGGAGCTCACCCCGTCGCAGGGATTCGAACCACCAACCTTCTGATCAGCAGGTCCTATGCTCTGTGGTTTAACCCACAGCGCCACCCGCGTCCCTGTGGAACTATAAATATGGCCAAATTCATGCACACATACTCACAAATCTGTGTTATGGGCTTGTGTGTCCCAAGTGTTTCCATGTGCTTAACAATGCCCCCGATACTGTTGGCTGCCAAATGCAAGTGGTTCGTATTTATTGACTAATCGGTTCTTGTAAGAACATAGAATGAGCCTGCTGGATCAGGCCAGTGGCCCTCTAGTGCAGTATTCTGTTCTCACAGTGGGCAGCCAGGTGTCTGTGGGAAACCAGGACCAGACCACAAGAGCATTCTAACTTCCTATGGCTTCCAGCGACTGTTATTCAGAAGCATGACTTTCTCTGACCGTGGAGGCAGAGTGTAGATATCATGTCTAGCAGCCAATGTTAGTGTTATCCTCCATTAATTTGCCCAATCCTCTTTTAAAGCCATCCAGTTTAACTTGGATTAATAGTTTATGTGGCTTATTGACTCACCCAAATATCAAATTCATTTATTTCAAGGGATCTTGAGCAAGCTGCTATTGAAATTCTATTAGAACAAAAATGCTTTTGGCTTCTTGAACATTTTCCAAAGCACAACGCCCCAGAACGGTGCCAAACATAACAAAATTAGTGTTACCCTATGAAGAGCCTTCCAAAGAGATGTGTCAGGGCATCTTCACTGGGGAGAAAACAGATTGGAACCTTTTCTTCTTGTGACTTGGAGCAGTCATCATCTGTAGCGATGAGTGAATCTTCAAAGGTCATAGTGGCTCAGCAGTGACAATTGATAAAAAGACTCGCTTAGCTGGGTCATTATCAAAGCTGTTGCCTGGGATCATATGAGAATAGCTCTTTTCATGCCCCGCCTAGGAATATTTTGTAACTACCATTGCTGAAGGCCAATTTCCACCAAATCTAGCCCCTGATGGATTTCTGGGATAAGAAAAAGCGGACTGACCATGCGGTGTTGTTACTGCTCAAGGCAGTTCACACTGAAAACTTGCAAAGAGACCCAACTGTTTATTACAGTAGTGGTTATTTCTCAAATTCCTGACTAACAGGAAACACATCAATATCATGTTCTCTTGACTTAGCCTTTTGGCTGAGTGGCTATTTGTCCTCCTGTTGTGTTGCTGTGCACTGCTGTTTTGTGGTGCCATTTTGTTATGTTGTTATTGGTTGCTTTGTGGTGTTATTTTATTATTTATTATCTTTGTAACCCACTCTGGGAACATTTGGGGAAGGGCTGGCTATAAGTACAAATAGTAAACAAACAAGTAATCTGGGATACGCAGGGTAAACTAGTGTAATGCTGCCTTTGTCGATTATTTGGAAACCCCAGTTAATTCAGAATGCAGCCCCAATATCAACCCCGTATCCATGAGCCCCCCACCCTCTTCCCCATTCTAACCAGCCCCCAACTCTTAGGCCTCACCAACCTTCTTGCCAACCCTCAAAACATGGAATATGAGTTTTGAGGATATCTCTTATTAAAATGATCCCAAACGTAAAGAACAGCACAGGGATTTAAGACTATGACTCTGATGGCCCTTTGGGGCCTGAAAATCTGTAGTCCCATGAAGTGTTCAAAGAAGGAAACATACCCAATACCTTACACATGCCATTAACACAGACGTCTCTGCTGTTGTTTCCTTCAAAGCAAGGTGTACCGTCAATGACAGCGTCAAGCATTTTCTCTGAAAAGTGGTTGTTCGTAGGACGGCATTGTAGCTCACAAGGATTAGCTGAAGGGAAACCCCCAAAGTTATATCAGTTACTATAGACACACACAACTGCAAGGTTGCGGTGCAAGTATAAAACGAAAAGTTAAAAGTTGGCAACAGGTGACAGTAAGACACTGCCTCCCATTAAGAGACACTTGTGGCAGAAATCTGAGAGCAGCACATTCTAGAAGGACCATTGCTACAATCATCCTGCATAGTCCAGAGTTCAGGGGCAGAGCTCTTGGTTTGCATGCAGAAGGTTGCATGCATCCCTAAGTGTGCAGATGTCTGTTGGCATCGGGCGCTGTGATGTTTGGGCTGAAGAAAGCTTTTGAAGCTCCTGAATGAATGACCAGGAGGGAAAGAACATGCCAGTCGGGCATGTGTCTCTACCAGGGTCCTACTCAAGTGTAGGACGAGCTCCTGATACATACTTCCTAGTTCGGGGGAAGCAGGGAGCCCCCTCCCCTATTCTCGATTGATATATCGCCCGGCTGCGTCCCTCCCTCCTGTTGCTTAGCTACTATCTCAAAGCTGGGCAGTTCCTGTCTCAACTGTGCAATCTCGGAATCTGCCTGTCTCTCTGCTACGTGGGACTCTGGAAATGGGGAGGGGTAGTCCCCCTCCTCTTCTGTTAGAAGCTGATCTTCCTGCCATTGCATACCCCCATCTTTTGATTCAGACCAGCCCCTGATAGATTACAATGTGTGGTCAGAGGGAGAAGAGGGAGCAGACTGGGAGGAGAAGGCGTCAGAAGCAGAAGAAGTGACAGGGCTTAGTGAGCAGGAAGAGGCTGTGGCAGAGGGCAGTCCAGACTCAGAGGGAGGTCAAGAGGCAGGGTGGAGGCCGGCTGCTGAAGAATCCAGGGAACCTCCCCCTCCTGCTGTGACCAGCTCCCCTCTCCATTGGTCTCCCCAAACATACAGAGGAATGAAGAGGGCAGAGCAAAGAGAGACAAGATGATGGAGCCTTAGTCTGCTGGGGAAGGAACGGGGGAAGGAGCCTTAGAGAGAGGTGGGAAGGTGGGGACCTTCAGACCTTGCAACTGTCTCATTGGGGCAAGGCCTGCTGGGAAGGGTTGCTGTGCTCACTAGGCTCACACTGTCTTAGTTTCTTTGAATAAAGAATTAACTTCACTGACACTAGTGTTTTAAAAAAATTGCTGTTCTATTTCTGACTCCGGCTACTGACTTTGGGGTAGGGCTGGGACAGAACCCTGCCTGTGGAGAGTCACTGCCAGGGCTCACCCATGCTTACCTTTGCTCCACACTTCTAGGAGCAGATCTGAGCTTTCCAGGTCTCTGTGTGAGTGCTTTTCTTTTTGCCCTGGCACTTTCCTGGAGAAAACCTGCTCTTTACTGCTGAATCGGAGCAAATAGCAACCCACAGAAAACCCGAATTGCTGTTTGTTTTGATTCGGTGTTGAAGAGCAGGTTTTCCTGGAGAAAGCAGTGGGGCAAAAGAGAAAATAGTATAGAAGAAAGTGTTTGGATACATAAAGAAATTGTGGTTAGGGAAAGTGCGGACCTGTGTGGGGCAAAAGGTAAGTTTGGATGAGCCCCGTGCCAGCCACTTTAGATAAAGAAGGCATTGTGCCAGCTCCCAAAATGGCAACAAGAGCTTGCCATATTTACAGATTTCTGTAAACGCCTTCAGAAACGATCTCCTCCTGTTCATTCCCAGCAGTGTACTTATTAAATGAAAATGTGTGGCATTTACAATGTGTATGAGGTTTATTTTTGTGGCAATCAAACATAGAAAAGAAAGTGGTGGGAGGACAATTACTGACGGGAGCAGACTAAACAATTAAAAAACTGCTGCCTGTTTTCCCCACTTTGAAGAGCAGCGGTGGAAATCACTGAAGAGAGCAGGAAACAAACTGGACTTTTTTGTGTCAGCGGGCTGGGCGTGTTTTAGATCAGCCTCAACACTAGTCAACAGACAATTATATGGATTTGGCATGCTGGTATTATGCCCTTGCTTCCTTCAGGAATTGCAGAGAAGGTTACCTGGTACTCCAGGCTTTGACTGGGCTTAGCTTTAATTGTCATGATTACCTTTAATTGTCATGATAATTAGCTTTAATTGTCATGATAATTAGCTTTAATTATCATTCTTTAAACATTGCACATATTTGAATGAATCAACACCTGCAAATACGTAATGCTTCAACATTCCTCCTGTGAAAGTAACAAACTTTCAGCTACAATAACTTCCTCAAAAAAATACTTTTTTCCCCAGTTTCCCCGCAAGGCATTAATATTTATTTTTTTAAGAAGGGGAGGCTAGGCCTGTAATATAAAATCTTGGGACATTTCTTCTCTGATAAGTAAGTACTTTTTAACAAAGTGTCAGCAGTTGCAATACAGAAGTTAGAGCAGCATGGCAATATGTGTAATGTAATTAAATCCAGCAATTTCTTGGGCTATCCAATGCTAGTACAAAGTGAAGCTAATCACTTAATCAGACACTTAAATGTTGGGATGTATGCAAAGTATTCAGTGATCATAGGGCAGGGGTGATCAACCTTTTTTTAGGTGTGTGGACACATTTGGAATTTTGAGTGACTGCTGCAGGCACTATCTGCAAGGTGCTTGGATCTCAGAATTAACAGAGCAGTAGTTTCCCTCTAGTTCCAGCTTCAGAGAACCTTTTCAATTTACTTATTTGCTAAGTCAGCATCTTAAAAAGCAGAGACATCACCTTGCCAACAAAGGTCCGTATAGTTAAAGCTATGGTTTTCCCAGTAGTGATGTATGGAAGTGAGAGCTGGACCATAAAGAAGGCTGATCGCCAAAGAATTGATGCTTTTGAATTATGGTGCTGGAGGAGACTCTTGAGAGTCCCATGGACTGCAAGAAGATCAAACCTCTCCATTCTGAAGGAAATCAGCCCTGAGTGCTCACTGGAAGGACAGATCCTGAAGATGATGCTCCAATACTCTGGCCACCTCATGAGAAGAGAAGACTCCCTGGAAAAGAACCTGATGTTGGGAAAGATGGAGGGCGCAAGGAGAAGGGGACAACAGAGGACGAGATGGTTGGACAGTGTTCTCGAAGCTACCAGCATGAGTTTGACCAAACTGCGGGAGGCAGTGGAAGACAGGAGTGCCTGGCGTGCTCTGGTCCAGGGGGTCATGAAGAGTCGGACACAACTAAACGACTAAACAACAAAGGAACGCATGTAAATTCACTGTGGAACCCTGGTGCTTTGCAGAGTACTCTGGAATAAATTCTGAGATGCAGACACTAATAGTGGTTTCAGTGTATATTGTGGACTTGAGAGACAATACTAATCTCTTTTCATTTAAATGGTGATCTACTGCTACACAGATGCAGATAGCAAGTCTTCCTTATCTGTGCAGATCAGGACCAGATTAACAACTCTTAAAAGCAGGAGTCCGAAGAACTATGTGCAGTTCCCCATTGGGTATCAAACGAAAGAAAAATTAGGCATAGGAACTCTAAGGAAAGAAACATCTACCTGACTTTTAAAAGACATCTCAAGGCAGCCCTGTATAGGGAAGTTTTTAACATTTGATGCTTTACTATTAAAATCCAAATGTTTTACGGTCAAAATCCAAATGTAAAAGCTTTACCAGATGACGTGAAAAACTCATTATCAATAATAGGTATTTAAAAAATTGTTTTCTTCATTTATTTTCAAATTTTTTGCAGACCGCTTTTTACCATAGGTTTTCACAAAGTGGTTCACACTACAATCTGCAAAGCAACCTGTCAATCAAAATAATACAGTGCTTAAAACAAAAGTGAAACCCGCAGGTAAAAAGCAAAAGTTCAATAAACAGGCATCGTGCAACTTATTTAACCTTACCTGTGTTGTACACCGGAATCCACGTGTAGAACTTATTTTTGTAGGCAACCGTATCAAATTCACTGCACTGCATTTGACGGAAGTTTGGTGAGGCTCTGGGGCACAGCTTGATGTTACACATGCGATAGCGCTTCCTCTCCCCTGTGCAGTACTTCCCTCCAAACTGTGGCCTGGAAGTGACAAAAGGGGTTTCGAAAACAAGAATTTATTTATTACATTTGTTATGTACTGAAGTTCTCACCCTGGGCCAGCAGGGGGATACTGTAGATAGTTATGCAAATGAAGGATCAAAAGTGACGTTCAGTGATTGGATAGTTACAGAAAATGGTTACTGTTGCATTCTAGTGGAGCTCTGTATAAGCAGGCTGACTGAGCTCCTCAGTTCAGTTCTGTTCCAGCTTACAAATAAAGAGCTGCTTTGGAAGAATCGCTGTGTCGTCTGATATGTTCGCCCACAACTTAACAACATTTATATCCTGCCTTTCCTTCAAGCAGCTCACAGCGGCGTTCGTAGGTTCCCTCCTCATATTTAATCTTCATAACAATCCTGTGAGGTAGATTAAGCTAAGAGGGTTAGTAATGCTGTGTGTGGATCTAAACCTGGGCCTTCCATGTCTGAGTCTGACACTCTAATCCAGGGATGGTAAACCTAGGGCCTTCCAGACACATTTTCAGAAAAGCCACACCTGCCCCTGGTCTTGCAAAGTTTGAAGGCTGCCTACCCTTGCAGTGAGAGCTGGACCATAAAGAAGGCTGATTGCCAAAGAACTGATGCTTTTGAATTATGGTGCTGGAGGAGACTCTTGAGAGTCCCATGGACTGCAAGAAGATCAAACCTCTCCATTCTGAAGGAAATCAGCCCTGAGTGCTCACTGGAAGGACAGATCGTGAAGCTGAGACTCCAATACTTGGGCCACCTCATGAGAAGAGAAGACTCCCTGGAAAAGAACCTGATGTTGGGAAAGATGGAGGGCACAAAGAGAAGGGGACGACAGAGGACGAGATGGTTGGATAGTGTTCTCGAAGCTACCAGCATGAGTTTGACCAAACTGCGGGAGGCAGTGGAAGAAAGAAGTGCCTGGCGTGCTCTGGTCCATGGGGTCACGAAGAGTCAGACACGACTAAACAACAACAACAACAACCCTTGCTTTAGATAGAATAATAATAATTTTAATAATATTTTTTTATTTATACCCCACTCATCCAGCTGCGTTTCCCCAGCCACTCTGGGCGGCTGCCAACAGATTAAAAACAGAATAAAACATCACACATTAAAAACTTCCCTAAACAGGGCTGCCTTTAGATGTATTCTAAAAGTCAGATAGTTGTTTATTTCCTTGACATCTGATGGGAGGGCATTCCACAGGGCGGGCGCCACCACCGAGAAGGCCCTACATCCAAGATGCTTAGGTTTCAAGATTTTGAAACATCAAACATTAAGCAAACCGCCAGGTGTGAGACTTACTCTGGGCTAGTGCACTGTCTCTCCGCAGTTTGGATTCCAGCCCCACAGGTCCGTGTGCAGTGCGACCACGATGACCACAAACCCCATGCACCGTTCACTGCTTCGGGGCTCTTGCCTACGGTTATGCATTCACCCGTAAAGCACCACTTGACAAGAAAGCAGCAAACACAATGGGTCAAGAAAAAAACCCCAAACACACTATTGACACTGCAACACATTTCTTTCATAGTAGCTTGCTGGAGACTGGTGTTACAAGAGAGATCACCTTCCTGCTTTTGTGACTTTCAGTTGACATTGTAGACCTTTCTAGGCCAGGGCCAGCTGTATATATGAAGCAAGAGATCTCTTAAGTCTAGACTTTTACTTTTTTCCCCTGCAAAGCCAGCATAGAGGGGCCCAATTCAGACTGAGGCTGGGTACAGGGGGAAAGGGTTTAGCTCTGTGCCTCACTACCAAATCCCCAGTTTAAGTCGCCCTGCCAGAGCTGTTTTGAATTGCACAGGGAACTTGCATTGTGCTTCTAAGTCTCCCCCTCCACAGTCAATAGCAGCTTTGGGGGTGGTGAGTGCAGATTTGCACTTGGGAATTGGCACAAGAGCAAAAGGTTAAACCCTTCCCCTGTGTAGAGGGCTTACCTGTCAACTTTACAAAGAACAGTCCTCTGTCTGGAGAAGTCTTGTATGTGAAATGTTGTCTAGTCCAAATTGGGTTAAAGGAAGTGGGAGCTCATAAAAAGTTCACCCCACAATATCAGAATCACCTAGTTATAGTCTTCCTTACTATGGTGGGATGTATTATATTTCTATTTAAATTAAAGCAATTATGTCCAAGTTTGAACTTATGCTGTACATATACTTTATTAGCACAAGAAAATTTCATTAAAAAATGAAAAATCCGGAGGTCTTTGATGTCACATGTACCTTCTTCAGACGTTTTCATCAGGCAAAATGGTGTTAAAGACTTTTGCAAAACAAAACAAAATCACATAGTCCTACAGTTCAGGGTAAGACAGAAGTTGCCCCATTAAAAAAAACAACAGTATGCATGTCTTAAATAAATAAATTATTATTATTATTATTATTATTATTATTAACATTTACATGTACAATGAAAACATAACTAGATCCTGAGAATACTCTGCCACAGTTTAATCCAGGTTTGAGCAAACCACCATTTGCTGGATTTCAGTGCAACAGCAAACTGTGTTTCTGGTTTGGCGTTATGTCTGAATCACTCCATAGAAATGACATGCTATCAGTCCCGAGCCATAAGCCTGCTTAGAGACACTGAGCAGCCTTGGGTATTCTGAAGAAGCAGGGAGCTTGTTAAGGTAATGAGTCCGTGAATTAGGGAAGGTGATGGGAGCTGCAAATCAAGCACCCGGAAAAACAGGACACATTTCAGAATAATGAACTATCCCAACTACTGGGATGTTGCTTGGTTAGAGACTCAGCTCTGCTTTGCTCAGAGGAAGGTCATCTAGCTGTCAGTGCTATGGAGAAACTCCAAAAGCATATCTTTCATTTGATCTGCAGGAGCTAGGCATGCAAACTCCCTGATGCTGGAGGAGATGGCATTGATTTGAAAAGAAGGCAATTTCCTTGCCTTCCAGATTGGGGATATAAATGCAGTTGTAAGATGATAACTTAATGAAAAAACCATCTGATATGGTTAGCCTTTCAGAGTGAAAGGCAACAATATGAATGTGACCGAATGCAAAACATAGCAAATGAAAGATGTTTTATATACACTTTGTTTGTATTGTGTTCTTGCAGCATAAAGAAAGTCGGGTACCGAGTCATAATTTCCCATCCTGGTCTCTCCTTGTGACAGATACCTTATTTTCACCGCATCTCGTTCCATCTGCCGCAGCATCCAGTTTCGACCGGCAGGAACCTTTCACAAAGCACCACAATGTCTGGCAAATATTCTGCAACGACAACCTCAAATGTTGTAAAGAAAAAACAATTGAGACTTTAGGGAATTGTGGGGTTTTTGTTTTTTTTGAGAGGGCTATTTCAGCTTGGGTTGTCTTTAAGAGGCTTGATTTGATGCTCGCAGGCGTAGCCAATGTGGTGCTCTCCAGATGTTGCGGGTGGCAACTCCTATCAGCCCCAGCAAGCATCACCAACAGCCAAGGATGATGGGAGTTGTAGTCCACAACATCTGGAGGACACCAGGCTGGCTACAGCAAGTAGGAAGAATTGAGGAAAATAATGAGATCCAGTAGAATAACCTTGAGTGAGGTTTTACTTACTCATCAACTACCTAACTAAATTCTGCAGAATGCAGCTGAATTTTAACTTCATTATTACCTAGCCTTAGGCTCTCAACCCTCGTTGTCGATCATGCTTCCTAAATCAGTAAAATTATTACTTAAACCGTAGCACTTTACCCTACTCCCAGTAGTCAAAACTCTGCAGTTAGTTCTAGTCATGGAAGACAGGAAATGGCTAAACCTCAATATGAATGATTGTCAGAGAAGTTGAAGGAAGTCCAAAAGTGTGGAATTTGTGAAAATTTGGATTAAAACTGTATATTTATGTTGGAAAATTAATAAAAAGTATTAAAAAAAAAGGAAATGGCTAAACCTCATTTCCTGTCAAGCACCAGCTACTACCCCCTGGGACATTGGGGACCCACACAGACACTTGCATTTCATTGGTTTTGAAGGAGAAAGCAAACCTTTCTTGCCCAATTAACCCTCTCAAAAATGGGATGGGGTGAGTCAGGAGCCAGTATTAGTGCCCATTAGTTTTTTGGGAAAATGAAAAATAAGTACAGTATCATTTTTGTGAAAGTTATCATTTGCCAAGAATATGAATTTCCACATTTGGTAGTTTTTGGAGCTGTGAGGTGACACTGCTCTCAACTACTCTTTGTATAAAAAGCACAGTCACGCCAATGGAACTCATGCCTGTTGGGAATGAGGTAAACAGCAAAGAGCTACAAGCACTTATTTTACTGAAAGGTGTATTGTCAAGGGCTTACAACTACATGATTCTTCCCCCCCCCCCTTTCCCCATGGTATTATGAGTTGTATATTTTTCTTTACAGTAAGTCACTTGGAGACATTCAGGTGACAGGTGACTAATAAGTTTCATAAACAACAACAACCACAACAACAACTCATCCGCTATGCACACAATGCCAGTTAAGAAAATTATTTGCTTTAAAGCATAGGAAATGCAATGGAATAATTAGAATAAAGAGCAAAAGGAAGCATACAGTATAAGCAGAGTTTTTCTAATTTTCTACCTTCAGGGCATACAGTACTTTTCACACTGACCCGTTTGCCATGATTCGAGCATCTGCCATGAGACTCACATCCTCTGCACATTGCAGGGGATTCTGGGACTTTGGAGCTACGGGAATACATAAGTTAGACATGTCTATAGTTGGGTTCGCCCCTCCCCCCACGATGCACACTTTTTCTCTTGCTGGTGTGCAGTTTTAATTCACTGCCAAATATTCCTGGAAGCCGAAGAACAGAAATGCAAAACAAATCACGCAGGGGGTCCTTGTCAGATAAATCAATATAGAAAGGGCTCCCTGTTAAGAGCGTTTGAAAGCCAATATTCTAAAGCAACTTTTCTATGCAATTTGATGTTCGTAGTCCAGTAGGACAAATACAGAAACCCAACTGCACATTGAAGTCTGCCCTCCTAAGTCACAGCTGTGAAATCCACCGTGACTCTGCATGGAGCTCCTGTTGGGAGTCATTCTGCAAAGAAACAGTAAAGATGTTTGTACCTTTAAGAACTGTTTCTGTGAGCTCTGGGCAGATTGGGTACAGCTGGTCATGACTACAAAAGCAGGAAAAGTTGCAGTTTGAACTTTGCCTGCAAGGAAAAACACCCACATGCTTTGTTGTTTGTTGTTTTGTAATAAAACCTTTATTTGATTTGGTTTTACACCGGTCTTGTGGTGTCATAGCTTCTGTCATCTGCCACCAAAGGAAAAAACCCCTCTAACAGCTCCCTCATCTTCCTCAGTCTTCCATCCCACTTATGAACAAGGCCAATGCTCCTCTGTACTGTGAGGATGTCTAGCAAACAAGGTTCATTGTTAGTATACAAAGCCCTCAACAACTTGGGATCGTGTTATCTCAGGGACTGCTTTACCTCGTATGTTCCTGCCTGATCACTTCCTAGTGATATCAGGCAAATGCCAACTGGGTTAAGCTTCAGGCACTCGCTTAAGGCTTTTTTCCCATTTGTTCCCTGAAGTGCAACCCTAGCTGCATGCACTATTTATATTGTTTTCATGTCGATTGTAGTATTACGTTGTACACTGCTCTGACTTCTTTAAAAAAAAGCTAAGCAGTGTATAAACTAGTGTAATAAATAATGATCCATTTCATTTCAGTTTTCGTTATGGGGCATTCATGTTCCTCTTACTGTCCACTCATTGCATTCAATTTGGCCCCAGTGCTCATGAGTTTCCCACCTCCCCTCCATTTCCTTTTCCTGGTGGTCGCCATTTTCTTTCCCAGATACCCAGAAGTTCTCCCACTCTGGAATGTTCTTGGAGAGCAGGGATGGCAGCTGCTACAAGAAACCTTGGCCCCCAAAGAATGCCCTGGGTCAACACACCATTCAGGGCATCTGGGGAAAGAAAAAGATTGAAGTCAGCTGCACTTCCACAGGGAAAGCGGGACCATTTGGTTCAATTCTTCATTTGTTACAAAATTAATGTGTGCCTCTAACAATGACAAAGTCATTGGACAATTTGAAGAATATACTTTTCACAGTTAGGAGAAGCCAGACAATTTCACCACAGTTGGGGCTCAGCTTTGGTACAGAGTCGACCCCACTGGTCTGCTATGTATATAACTCAACAGTTTATCAAGCCTTGAAGAGACTGGTAAATCATGTGTCACTCAAATGATGTCATACATGTGGGCATTGACTGAAAGCCCACCTGCCCCACTGCACTTTATCTGACTCAAGATTGTACAAATATAAAAAACCTCATGCTGGGCTGGCAGCAGTCTTTGGAACCTACGTGAGCATGGGGAATGGGGTGGGAGGAATTACACATATAACTGCAGGCATCTTTTATGTTTCCACTGCAGGCACATGCATGACAGGATGAGAAAACCATGCGTCAGTTTTACAACACCTTGCCCAATTAAGCATTTGCATAGCTGCAACAGAAGCATCATTGGCTGTAGAATTACTCCTCCCCTTCCCTCTCAGCTAAGCACATATCTTTCTAGGATTGTATCTGCTGTGCCTCGTGGGTTTAGTAACCATGGAGAAAGCCTGGTAGATGATTTCCTCTAGAATTTTGCTGATCTGACTTCACTGCCAGTTATAGCCATCTGACAGATTGTGTGTTGCTGTGAGTCTATATCAAATGCGTACACAGTACAAACCTAGTCCCACGATTGAGCTACAGAGACCAAACTTAGGACTAGTTTTGCCTGGATGGGATTCCCTTTGGTCTACTGTGCAGAAGAAAGTAAGGTTTCTATTAAATGCCCTGCCACTATCTAAGAGTCTGGTATTTTAAGAACAAGAGCTCTCACAATCAAAGGGAGACAAATACACCCCCCTACATGCTGAAATAGAATAAAGTGCTATAGCATTGCCTGAAGACAATGGCACAACTCTAATGAAGCAGAGCAGGAGGAGGTCTGGCCAAGTGCCTGTGGAAGACCACCTACAAATCCCTGGATGTGGCTGTGCTCAATTCCAGCATGAAGGGAAGGTGGGATATAAATGGAATAAAAATAAACAGAGCAAATGGTCCTTTTTCCATTCCGTGAAAACAGTGGTGAGGAACCTGTGGCACCTGTCCTAATTTCATGTGGCCCTCTGGACGCTTAGGTCCTGCACTTGCCCTCCAGACCACCTTTTTGGGAATCACTTCCTCTTCTATTGTTTGTGGGGGAGAGAGAGAGAAAGAGAGAGGAGCAGGAAGAAGAAAGAGTCAGGGAGTGAGAGATACATGAGGTGGGACTAAGAGAAAGAGAGTGCTATGCAATCCTTCAAAGCTAAAAACTCTTTTGTCTCTGGCCCCACTCATTGCCAGCATGTCAACAACAACAACAGGCTCAACCCTGCTACACTGAAGAGACCTAGAAAGCTGCTAGAACCAGTGACCTCGTGGGCACCATCAAACAGTAGATTTGGATTTGGATTTGATATCCTGCTTTATCACTACCCGAAGGAGTCTCAAAGCAGCTAACATTCTCCTTTCCCTTCCTCCCCCGCAATAAACACTCTGTGAGGTGAGTGGGGCTGAGAGACTTCAGAGAAGTGTGACTAGCCCAAGGTCACCCCGCAGCTGCATGTGGAGGAGCAGAGACGCGAACCCGGTTCCCCAGATTACGAGACTACCACTCTTAACCACTACACCATAGAGATGCAAAACCAAAAGATAGAGCGCAAAGTACATTCAGAGCATGGACAGCTTCTTTTTAAGCATCCTTGTATCTGTAGTATACCAGCAAATTGAATTGTGGCATGTCTTCCCCTTGCAGGTTGTTATGTATAATGGTTTAATTGTACATGGACCTGGAAATAATTCTGTAGATGCCTGTATGTGTATTGCCAACTGGGAAACTCCACTGAAGCATTGTAAAGCTCTCTGAGTGCCTAACAGGTTGATAATTAACTGAGAATGCAGCTGCTACACTGTCACAAGGTGTTTAACTTTAGATCACACGAGTAAGGTATTCAGTTGCAAATCCTATTGCTACAAGCTGCACAATATTAATATCTGCAATACAGGTTGTTGTCACCACCTCCTTCCTCCTCCATTTCTCCATTAGGTTCAGATGATTAACGTTGCCACCTTGAAATAAAATGTGGGGTGTTGGAGAGAAGCAACACTGAACTTACATCCACTTGATCGCAGAACGTTGCATTGGGTCCATATTGCAACTGGCATTGGTGGTGCACGTCATAAATCACTCCAGGTGCAATGAAAGGTGGCTTTAGATCTTTCTTCTTGGGTACATCATCCAGGCAGAAGCCCCATCCTCGGCTAAATATGAGGTGTGAGATTAAGTATTAACATTTGTGGAGGTTTTTTTAAAAAACAACAACAATACTGACACCTGCTTCTCGTGGTGTGGCAATTGTGGTGAAGCAGCATCTCCTTCACCTCTCCTTTACCCCAGTGGTGGAAGGATGGGAAAACAGGAAAGTGAGTTGAGAGGACTCCCCACAGACAAGACTGCCAGTGCTGGCTACATTAGGATATTTTTACAGAAGCACTATGTGCAACTGTGTGTAGGAGGCAAAAATACTGTCCTATTCATTGCTGTTCAAGACACCAGCTTGATCACAGTATCCTGTTTTGCTCGCTAAATTTCCAGGAAGAACATGATAAGCTAAACTGCTAACAAGATGATTCAGAAAAATGACGACAATCAATAGTTTGAGATGAATGGCGCATAAAAAAAGAAAGCTGAAGAATATGGGCATATTTTAGCTCGGAGAAAAGTCTTCATACACCCAGGGAAGAACAAAATGCTGTAAGAAACCTAAGACGGCTGCTGAAAATAGCATCTCCGTATCAAGTTCTCCCTCCTCCACTCAAGACTTCATGCAGAGGGACCACAGATCTGTAGTTGCCATGCAGAAGATGAATGTTCAGTCACCATAATCTCCAGTTACACAGTAGAAGCAGATGAGTGGCAGTAGAGACACCAGTCTGACACCACAGTTACTGCTGCTTATCTGGGTGGGGCTAGGCTGGCGTGCACTGGTCCATGGGGTCACGAAGAGTTGGACATGACTAAACGACTAAACAACAACAACAGGGTGGGATACTGGCGAAGCTGGAGCCATGAGGTTGCACCAGTGGAACTGCCACCACCAATCTTATTCTCCTGGCAGTGCAGATGCACAAAAGCCCCAGCTTCCCTGCTCCAGGGCAATGGGGATGTCACAAAGGTTGTTTTTACTTTGGAACCTTTTCTATACATCTTTGAAATACACTAAAATAAAACGGACTTCCTTGTGTTGCTTTTGCCTTACATGCTCCCCCAGTAATAATTCATTTAGAAATAAGAAACATTAATGTTACCCCAGGATTCTAACAGAATTTACTTCCAAAGATTTATTATTTTTCTTTATTTTAGAGCTCTGCAAGTACAGGAGCCCATCAGTTAATAGTTTGTTACAGGTTTTGGGGGGGTGTCATATCTTTACCTTATTATTAGCAAGACTCTGAATAAACTTTCTAACTTCATCCTCTGAAACTGGGGGCTATGTGGTGGCTGGTATCTTTTATCAGGAAAAATTACTGGTGAACACCTGATCACTGAACCCTCACCAGAATAATTGTATACAGTGGTACCTCGGGTTACATACGCTTCAGGTTACAGACACTTTAGGTTATAGACTCTGCTAACCCAGAAATATTGCCTCAGGTTAAGAACTTTGCTTCAGGATGAGAACAGAAATCATGCAGCAGCAAGGAGGAGGAGTGGTGCTTCAGGTTAAGAACAGTTTCAGGTTAAGAACAGACCTCCAGAACGAATTAAGTACTTAACCCGAGGTACCACTATATATGGTTAAAATGCTCTTCCCACTGTTTCTGGGTGTTTTGGCTAATAACAAGCGTCGTGTCCAAAGATCCATCTTCATCTGTCAGCAAGTCCTGCACTGCAAAGGGTTGGACTAGATGACCCCTGAGGTATCTTCCAACTCTTCAATTCTATGGTTCTATAATCTACATCAATTTACCAGTGTAATAAATTGGGGTACCTAGTCAGAAGGTAACCTAGCTCCTGTTATCCCTTGTGCTTGCTTTGCAATCAATGGTTGTGCTTATGATGATGGTCAGATGTCACAATAAATTATGGAAGCAAGGTACAGTGAGTCTCAGGTTGCTGGGCTCTCCTCTCCTTCTCCAGTAGAGCAATGAGGAGGAGTTTGGAAGAGTCTCGCTTCCCCTTTCCATTAACAACAGCCTGTCATGCTATTTGTTCCCAAGGCTTACCACAGCTTGTTGTTATCATGCTAAACCATAGTTTAGCATGATGCCCAAACTCACCCAGTGTAATGGAGTTAAAAAAATAGCTGCAATATCCTCAAAGGCAATGGCGATAAGGATTTTGTTTAATGGGTTCCATTTCCCTGTAGCAAAACTGTCATATTGACTCACTCTAGGAAGCGTGTGACATATTCCTTGCTGCATCTGGACCAGGTGAGAGGACTGGGGTCATACTGCAGCTGCCGGGACATAATGTATGGTCTCCTTCCCACTGGCTCACAGTCATTTTCCTTTCCATCATGCTGAATACCAAAACTGGGAGAGAAACAAATCCAGGTGCAAGATACTGTCAGGGAAGCTTCAAAAAACCAGAATATCTTATCTACAAATAACCTCAAGTACTGCAGAAAATATGCTGGGGAATTGCTTCTGGTTATCAGGTAGTGTAAAGTCTGTTATCTGGCTGGCCTGGGTGAAGGCTCATAGCAGAATCTTCCAAAAGATGAACAGCGCTGTGAAAGAAGTCAGCATTTTTATGCTATATTTCTGTGCATGCTGAAAAGTTGGTTTCATTAAGACCTGCCTTCCAGTCACCAACTGTGGGTGACATCTAGCCAAAATAAAAGTGGCTAGGATTTGGGGTGAAAGGCACCAATAGGGTCAGCCCGGGACATTTGTCTCACCTCCCCCACTGCTCCCATTAGCTACACTGCAAAATTCGGGGGCTCCAATAAGCCCTGGCAATGTCATAGACATATAATTTTGCTGACTGACAAATGACAAATGTGTCACGTTCCTCCAGGGGTTCATCTCATGCAATGGGCAATCTTCCTCCTCTGTAGGGGCACCCCACCTGTGCCGCTGTTCCAGCATAGTCCACTTAGCTCTATCGAGAAATTCCACATTTAGTCCTGTAGCTCGGAGGATGTTTAGGTGGGCCTCAAATTGCTACACCTTCACTTTCAGCAAGGCAACCATTTACACTTGCTACAGGTGTACTGTTCCACGTTCTCCAGCAGGAAAACAGAGGTGTTTTTCAGGTCACTGCAGCAGCTCCCTCACCTTCCATGTCTCTTGGTCCTGCACGCTGTGAGAAAGTCTTCTGGGCTTCCCCTCAAACTCTCCCACTAAATGCCCTTGCAAATGTCCCTCTTTACAAGTCCTGGTTACTAGCTCCTGGTCACAAGCTCCCAGAAGCTGCAATCAGCTAAGTATAACTGCTGCTGGCTGCTAACATCCTCTAACAGATGAGAATTGGCAGGGGGCTTAAAAGGAATGGCCAAGGACCTCTCACTGCTGCTCCAAAACATCTACCACCTAAGGTCGCTTTGCCTAATGGTAGGGCTGGCCCTGGTCATAGAGGATGTCAAAAGAGACATCTCTTGGGTTATGCACAGCTGCAGGAAACTCAAGAATGATTCTGTATGTAGCCCAGCATACATGCCCAGCGTTGCAAGGAATCTTGGGATGAAGCTGTCCAACTGCATAGTGCTTTACTGGCACACCTGAAATAAGATTGCGCAAGAGCCTGTTTGGGTTGCTTGTGCAATTGGGCCAGATGTGGATGCCAACCATTGTGGTGACATCCCTCTGCCATCATGGCAAGGGTGGGAAGCCGGCAGCCCTCCAGAGGTTGTTACTGGATTTCAACTCCTATCAGCCCCAGTCAGAGGAAGATGCCCACAAATGCCTTAGTGCCAAAGATAAATATTCACTCAGTTGATTCTGAAAGAAATTCAAAGTTAGGTTGGAAGTGAATGCAATTATTGGCTGTTAATTTTTGTTTGTTCTTGCTTGCATCTTTACTTAAATTTTTTAAAGTGCATGAATAGAACAGTGCAAACAACAAATTGCTTATCAATGCTAACAGATCCATTTCTAAGAAGGTATTTTCTGAATTACAAACAGAACGTGCAGACATTGGAAAGATTCAAGAAACACAAAGAAAAGCCCATTCAAGCATCTTCTGGAAGATTTAAAGCTAGGCAGGTCACTAGCCTTTTTTTACTTTGAGAGATATACAAAAGTATTGCAGTGTTGGCCAAATCGCACAGGTAGAAGTAAAACATTTTTCTGGCGAAATGTTTATTTTATCAACATAAAAATCTCAAAACATATACGAGTGCCTGCCTTTAGGTTTCTGCTGTTTGTATTGACTCATTATCCTGACCTTAGACCTCCTTGCTACAACCATCACAAAGTTCTGATACTTCCTCCTCAGAATGTAAGAGCTTTCGATGCTATTTCAGTTCTGGTTAATCATGTGACTTGACGTCCTCTAGACTCCCACAGTTTTCATACCTGTGTCCAAGTTCATGTGCAATTGTGAATGCCAAAGGCAGGCCAGAGTCTTCATTGATGTTGCAGCTGCGATGAGGCTGGCACATTCCAGAGAGATGGGACAAGCCTAAGGTTTCGCATGGGCGATTCATGCCAGCACAGATGTCCTTCCTGAGAGCAAAGCAAAATACGTGAAATAAAAAGAACTTTGTAGCATGATCCTGTGTACGCTCAGTCTCAGAAGCAGGGGTGGGTGAATCTGAATGTTTCAGTTCCTCATCTCTCCACTGCTCCGTTCAGTTCTCCACATCGGTTTGTGAATATTTTTTAAAGCCCTCATTAAAAACTCATCAACATTTTGTGCAACTTTTCCCTTAATGGATGCATTTGTCAGGCAATCTACCCTTCTATAACGCAATTGTCTATGTTATTTTCACTAACATATGCATTCTTACAAAGCGGGTGGTGCCGTGGGTTAAACCATAGAGCCTAGGGCTTGCCGATCAGAAGGTCAGAGGTTCGAATCCCCGCGACGGGGTGAGCTCCCGTTGCTCGGTCCCTGCTCCTGCCAACCTAGCAGTTCGAAAGCACCTCAAAGTGCAGGTAGATAAATAGGTACCGCTCCGGCAGGAAGGTAAACGGTATTCCGTGCGCTGCTCTGGTTCGCCAGAAGCGGCTTAGTCATGCTGGCCACATGACCCGGAAGCTGTACGCAGGCTCCCTCAGCCAATAAAGCAAGATGAGTGCCGCAACCCCAGAGTTGGTCATGACTGGACCTAATGGTCAGCGGTCCCTTTACCTTTACCTATGCATTACACACACTTTCCCCTAGCACAAGCATTTTGTACATGGTACTTGACAGGAGAACTGCAATACAAAATCTGGAGAAGTGCAGACTTTGAAGAACGGTTATGCTCAGTTCTCATAATGTTTTAGAAATGCAAGCTGAACTGAATTCTTCCCCCGTCCCTGCTTGGAAGTCAGTTGCACCATTTGCAGACCCTGAGAAGCAATAAACAGTGACAAACACTGCACAAGAAAGCTTATTACACATCCAAAGCAGAAATGTCGTCTCATCTTAAGGGGAGCAGCATACTCCCCTTGTCCATTAAACAAATTGCAACAGAGCAAAGCCTGAAACCACTCTCCCAATGTCCCTTAAACTCTCTCTCTCTCTCTCACACACACACACACACACACACACACACACACTTCTCTGCTACCAACTCTTTCCTTCCTTCCTGCAAGGCTAGAAAAGCACATAGATTGTTTCTGGGCAATCTTTCATTGAGCATTCATCCTGATTATTTTGCACAAAGTTGACTATCGATTTGAATATTCATTCTGAGTTGTTTGCAGAGAGGTTATACCAAGCAATTATCCCACACTTTTCAGCACGTTTTCCTGTCACTTTGTGTTTGTGCTAAGCTGTGCAAGAGTGCCACATCACCTTTAACTGTGCAACCTGAATTTGCCAGTATGCAATCGAATCCCTCCCACGAAACTTCAAGATAGATCAAGAGCTTTTGTTAGAATGCATAAAAGGACATTTCCCTCTCAGTCCTGTCTGACTGTGACCCAGGATAAGATGATTGCTTCCTTTTTACAATTCTTGAAAGCTATTTCCAGAGGCCAATAATGTGCTACAAAAGACCATCCTGTGTATATATGAAATCTGAGAAAGCCCAACACCCCCATTGATTGATGACATGAAGAAGGATGCTTTGCTTTTGCATGTTATGTCACTGAAATTGATTTTAGGTTCTATATCAAGCATATCAAGCTAGTTGGACAACTTTGCCATTCTTTTATTTATCGTGCAACTTCCTATTTATCCATTCACTTATCTAAAGCCTTAAACTCAAAAGCCTGAAGTTGACTTCTGGTTTCTTCCATGTTTGCTAAAGAATGATAAAGAAAGCCATTTGTGTGCACAAATGAACCCAGAACATATAACTGAATGTATAACTGAGTATATTAAATATACAAATGAAGCTAAAACGGCATGGGTGTTCACATATATTCAACATGCAATGAACAAACTCTAAACCAGGGACTCAGCTATACAGCTGCAAATAAAATGTTTTAAGTGCAATATACAATGTGATACTAGATAGTCAATGGTGAGCCTTATGGAAAATTCAATGTATTTTTAAAAACGCTTTTTAAAAAAAGCATTTTCAAAATGGTTGTTACATGTGTGTAGATTCTACCCAGGGTTTCCCAAACTTGGGTCTCCAGCAGTTTTTGGACTACAACTCCCATCATCCCTAGCTAGCAGGACCAGTGGTCTGGGATGATGGAAATTGTAGTCCAATTCTGCTGGAGACCCAAGTTTGGAAACATTGGGTGGGGAACCTGTATCATTCCAGATGTTGCTGGACTCCAACTTCCATCATTTCTGACCACCTCTATGCTGACTGGGGATGATGCCCAAAACATCTGGAATGATACAGGTTCCCCATCCTTGATTTAAACACAGTTCCTCCTTCTCTTTCTGTGTTTGTTCAAGCTCCTTATGTTCCTCCTGCTATTGCAGTATGTGGTCCAGTTTGATCTTTCTTTTAATTCTGAGCACTGCCACTTTTTACCGTAAATTGTTTTCAGATGCTGAATCATAATACTCTAAATGAGAAATGCAAGCAGCACACGGCACTGTCTAAAAAGTAAAATTAAAACCCGGGCAAACAAGGTCACAGATTTCTGATCATTATGGCAGTATTCACAAGCATGCAATTATCGTTAACGAGTGCTGTTCTTGGGAAAGCAATGAAGGGCTTGCGATTTTTAGCAAGCAGACAATAGCGGTAAGGACCAAAAATATTTGCTTTTGTGTTTTGTTCTGTTTGGAAAGGGCTTTGTGTGTTTCCAAAAGTGTTTGTGCTTCGTTCTGTTTAGTTTCACTCATAAAATTGCTTCTGAGTACGATTTAGCGTGATTAGCATTATGAGTAGCTTATTATATGAGCAGATAATTAGAATAATTGGGAATGTTGGGGTTGAATGAAAGCATCAGGATTGTGATTGTACTAGTCAGTGGCTTTAAAAGTGTGCGCTTAGATGGATATAAAGATGGATACCTCAAAAGTCAAGGTTCGAGGACAGAAATCTGGCTGAGTCTGGAATAACCTTGTGAAGTGAAAGGATATGAAAGAGGGATTTATATCTAGATGTTAGGATAGAGATGATAAAGAAAACAGGAAAACACAATGAGAGACAAAGGAGGTGCTGTGGGATTGGTGGAAGTCAATGTCTTGTTGTTGTTGCTTTAGTGTTTATAATATTAACTTGTAAGATATGGATTTGGGGTTTTTTGTTTGTTTTGTTGTTGTTGCTTTCTTTAGTTTTTGAATGTTGATTTTTGTGTGTTGTGTATTGTTATTTTTCGATATCTTTCGTGGTGTTGTTGTTGTTGTGTGGAAAATACTAATAAAATTTATTTAAAAGAAAGAAAGAAAGAAAGAAAGAAAGAAAGAAAGAAAGAAAGAAAGAAAGAAAGAAAGATGGATACCTTCATGGAAGGAAAGGCTATCAATGGCTAATAGCCATGGTGGCTACCTCCACTGTTCAAAGAAGTATGTCTCTAAATACCAGGGAATCACAAACGAAGAGAGCAATATTATGCTCAGGACATCTGGGTGCCTACTGCAAGAACAGGATGATGGGCTTTGGCCTGATCCAACAGGCTCTTCTTATGTTCTTAGTGTGTGTGGTGTTTCTGGTTGTCCTGCAGCTAACCAGATTAGGCCATAGATTACGCTCTTAACACTTAGCTTATAGTTAACACTTATAGTGCTTTTGAGGGACATGGGTGGCGCTGTGGGTTAAACCACAGAGCCTAGGACTTGCTGATCAGAAGGTCAGCGGTTCGAATCCCCGCGACAGGGTGAGCTCCCGTTGCTTGGTCCCTGCTCCTGCCAACCTAGCAGTTCGAAAGCACATTAAAGTGCAAGTAGATAAATAGGTACCACTCCAGTGGGAAGGTAAACGGCGTTTCCGTGTGCTGCTCTGGTTCGCCAGAAGCGGCTTAGTCATGCTGGCCACATGACCCGGAAGCTGTATGCCGGTTCCCTCGGCCAATAAAGCGAGATGAGTGCCGCAACCCCAGAGGTGGCCATGACTGGACCTAATGGTCAGGGGTCCCTATAGTGCTTTTGAGCGTTCAAAGCACTTCACATGCATTATCTTGCTGGGGTCCTAACAACAACCCTGTAAGATAGATCACTGCTTTTATTGGTGCTGACCTTTAAAGCCCTAAACGGCCCTTGACCCTGTATACCTGAAGGAGCGTCTCCACCTCCGTCGTTCAGCCCAGACACTGAGACCCCATACCAAGGGCTGATATCCAGCACCAGCACTACAAGAAGTGAGGTTACAAGGAACCAGGCAGAGGGCCTTTTCGGTGATGGTGCCCACCCTGTGGAGTGCCCTCCCATCAGATGTCAAGGAGAGAAGTAACTATACAAACTTTAGAAGACATCTGAAGGCAGCCCTGTATAGGGAAGTTTGTAATATGTCTTGTATTATTAGGTTTTTGTATATGCTGGAAGCCGCCCAGAGTGGCTGGGGAAACCCAGTCAGATGGGTGGGGTAAAAAAATAAAATAAAGTAAAATAAAATAAAATAAAATAAGGATGGCGGTAGGGTGAGGCTGAGGGAGAACAGCTTGCAAAAGGTGAGTTCATAGCAGAGGCAAGATTTACTGGAGGGACCTTTCAGGAGTGAACATGCATCAACAAGATAACAACATAATCCTCCTTGACAGCATCCTAATTGATATGGCTAATTTGACTCCACTCCCCCAAACAAAACTCGCTGCAACCAACCAAATGCAACCAACTAGGCTCCCCAATCTCTTCCACTGCCAATGAAAATAAATACCGTAAATGAACGGATAAAGAACCTATCAACATGATGCCGTGACAAAAAAAATCTGCATATGCACTATGCAAAAGAAGGAAATGTCTCTATCCCCCTTCTCTTCCCCCTGCCTCCCCCTGTCTCCCCCACCACAACTTCACAATGCCTATAATAGCAGCGTCTCAAACCAGATGGAACTGACCTATAGAAAGGACTCTATGAACTGAAAACAGAGACACTACAGTGGTACCTCAGGTTACATATGCTTCAGGTTACATATGCTTCAGGTTACAGACTCCACTAACCCAGAAATTGTGCTTCAGTTTAAGAACTTTGCTTCAGGATGAGAACAGAAATCGTGCTGTGGCGGGGCGGCAGCAGCAGGAGGCTCCATTAGCTAAAGTGGTGCTTCAGGTTAAGAACAGTTTCAGGTTAAGAACGGACCTCTGGAATGAATTAATTACTTAACCTGAGGTACCACTGTATGTCTACCTTTGTTAGGCATGAAAAACGGTTTTAAAAATGGGGGCTTCTTTCGATACACAGATGAGTCTCTTATCCATTATGCTGCACCAGCTTTCAGATTCAGGGTCCAATTAAGCAACAGGACACAGGGTCAGTTATATGAGGCGTTGCTAACTGTTGATGTCACTAGGCAAGGAAATACATCATTTGCATTTACAACAAGCACCAAAATGTTTTGGATCAGCCTTATTAACTGTGGGCCTGAGGCGGTTAATTCCTTCCTACAGAAGGAATTATTTTTCCATGTAAAATATCCCCACATCAATTTTGCACTCAAATGAGAACATCCTATTTTCTCCCTCCACTGTCAAAGGCAGTATGCTTCTGAATACCAGTTGCTGGAAAACACAGGAGAGGAGAGTCCTGTTTGCAGGCTTCTCAGAGGCACCTGGTTGGCCAGTGTGAGAAAGCGTGTTCTCCTTCATGGAGAGCACGTGTTGTGGTGGGGGCTAACAAGACACCCCACTGTTGCTGGGCGGGTAAAAGAGTGTTGACCACCATTACGACTGGGCTCTTCTTGTTGTTGGGGAGATTTATATGTTGCCATTTTGTGATTGACAGCCATAGCCTATATATTCCCTGCACGCAGTGTTGAGCTTCCTCTTTTCGCTGCGCGCATCGGACCATTAAAGGAATCCAGGGGCTCACCATGCTTTTGTCCAAACCCCTGTCAAGGGGCTAGGGCCACGCAAGAGCCCCTGGGAGCATTTGGGGAGAGGTGAGGGCATGGTACCCAGCTCCATGTTTTCCCTTTCTGACTTCGCGGGTGTGAGAATGTCAGTCTGTCCCTGTGCAGGGTCAGATAGTTGCAACCAATGCCTAGGCAACTACTCACATTTGCTGTATTTTAATAAAGTTGTGGCCAAAATTATGCCAAAAACCGTAAACAAAAATTTTGTGTGAATTGTGTTTTATTTGGGGTGGCTTGGGGACCTCAACACGCCACAGGATGCTGGTCTTTTAATCCCCACAACAACTCATGTGAGGAAACTTGGGTTGACAGCCAGTGAGTGGCCCAAGTAGGGATTTGAATCCTGGCCTCCCAGGTCCTAGTCCAACACTTTAACCACTACACCACACTGACTCTCACGTGCACTCAAGTCTCTTTTTCACTAGAGAGAAAGGAAGCAAAGGTCAGACAGGAAAGAAACAGAAGACCAAATGAAACTGAACTCCTAACTGGCATAAAGCTGGAAGGACAACAGAATGAAGCGAAATAACATGTAGAACTAATAGGACCTTAGATAGGTTGTCTTAGATTACCTGTTCCCAACCTGGTGTTAGAATATTCCACTCCACCTTAAGGGACAGGCATGAAACTGTTGTGTGCCACATGTCTGTTTACACTCCAGCACAGCTTGCTGGGAACTTCTGCTTGTGTATAGCTTTTGCTTTTGCTGCCTTGCTTCGGACAAGAGGGAGTTCAGATATGTTTTCTTTTTGTCCTGATGTATGCCGAATAAACTGCTTGTAAATATGCCCAACACAGCCTCTCCCTGCCACTTCTGTTGTACAGCATTATTTACTCTGCTGAGTGTGCGTGTCCAGCTTCTGTAGGCTGGAGCTAGGGTCGCAGTTTCATGCTGATCCAAGGACTCGAGATTGCCGGTGGGCTGGGGGCCTGCTGGGGGCCTGCCAATTGCCCCTGATTCCCTGGCTGCATCCCAACACCTGGCACCCTTCAAATGACATGATATGCTCTTCCATCAGCCTCAGCCAGCATGGCCAATGGTCAGAGGTTACGGGCATTGTAACATTTGGAGAGTGCCAGGTAAGGGGAAGCTGGCTTGCATCCTATGGTGCCCCTCCATTCATGAAAGTGTGTTGATTTCTTTCAACTCTTCCCTCCACCTGGATCCCACGTGTCATATTTCACACCATTCCCCAAAGTCCCCCAACCCCAGGCACACATATTCAGGAGGTGCAGGGGGCTACACAGGGAAGGAGGAAGTCGAGAATCCCTTTCCTGTGGATGTGAACTCTATTCCCTTCATGGGAGTAAAATGAGAATCCAAGCCACTGCTATCTGCTTCCCGCTTCTGGATGGTGAGGAAGTCCTGGAGATGAGTAGGGAGGGAGTGGTACCCAGCCCAGTTTCCTAGTCATTCTGGGCCATTTCCCTGTAATTTCCTTAACAAAAGAGATACTTCCTGGGCTATTAATCTCCAAAAGTTACTGGGCCAGCCCAATATATTTTGCGGGCACACGTGCTAAACCCTGTCTTTGGTGCCTACCCCTTCCGCCCAAAGCATAGCTGTCAAGTGTCCCTTATTTGAAGAGACAGTCCTTTATTCCAGCGCCATGTCCCGCTGCTGTCCCTTATTGATGGATGTCCCTTAAATGATGTCCCTTAAATTTCAAAGGAAGCGTTGTTTGGCTGTGTTGCTCACCCAATAAGAAGTCTAAGAACGACTGGGGGTGGAGCTTGCATGCTTTGTGCCTTGTGCTGATCAAATCGGCTGCGTTCCCTGGGAACTCGCCTTTGCTCAGCGCTTCCCAGCGGAGAGGTGACAGTGGTTTTCCTTGAGGCTTCATTTGGCTGCTGGCTGGGCTTTCTGCCTTTGGCTCAGAGGGGCTCAGAAGTTGAACATACCTGTGCTGAATGCTCGGATCAGAATCAGATGGATACGTCATCGACGGCCCACACACCCTTGCCGGCAAAAAGGTCTGTCTGGAGCGGGGGCACATGGGGGGGGGAAGGAAAGGAGATCTCGTGGGGGGGGGAGGCTGTGTGTGTGTAGCTAGTTAATGCAAGCTGAGGGGTTTTTTGAATGCTGGACGCCATTTTGTTGCACGTACTGCTGCAAACTTTGCAGTGCAAAGCCAGGCCGGAGAGCCATCTTAAGTTGAGGCTGCATAGGCCTTGTGGTGCATGTGATTCAGATTCTATTCAGTTGAACCTCTGGTTACAAAGTTGGTTGGACAGTGTTCTCGAAGCTACCAGCATGAGTTTGACCAGACTGCAGGAGGACAGGAAGACTGGAGTGCCTGGAACAGGTGAGGCTGCAGGTCCCTTATTTTGGCTGCTGGCCCCTTATTTTCAAGGCTGCTGGTCCCTTATTTTCAAATCTGTAAGTTGACAGCTATGGCCCAAAGAATGAGACAGGAGACCAGAGTATGGGTTCAGATTGGCCACAACTTTATTGAGCTTCAGAAGTGGGAAACTTGGCACAGGCCTTGGCAAGTAACCCTCTCAGCCCGTCTGGCTAAGGATATACAGGCTGATGAGGTGCAGTGAGAGGTGACTGCAAAACACAAACTTAACACAGCACGCCCTTCCACTAACCTCGGCCCGGGAGTTTGACCTACATGCCACTACTCTAGGGCCAGGGACTCCCGGTTTTTGCCCTTTAACAGGCCCTGCAAACGCCGCCGCTTGGGAAGCTTGGTCAAAAGGGCTGGCCTCTTTTCTTTGGCCTTAGCCCCACCCCCGGCCGGCCGTCCATTGTCCTTCCTGGCCGAGGGCAGGTCAACGGCCAACCCAAGCAGGTGGGAGGCACCCGTCCAGGTGAGCCCCTGCTCGGTGCCGCAAACCCCGCCCACCTGTAGGGAAGGGAGGGCGGAAATTGTTGCCCAAGGGGAAAAACAAGATGCTGTCCTCCCATGACATGTGCAGAAGCCAACTGGGTAGACAACATCCTCTGCTGTAACTAAGGCCACAGGCTAGCAGCTTAGTGGTGTAGGAGATGCTTCATGGCACACACAGTTGTGTCCTCCACCATCTCACCACCACCCCCGCAACTGCCACCTGAGGCAGATTCCTCACTCTACCTAATGATAGGACTGGCCTTTATTAACCCCTGACTCGTCTAACTTCCAAGCCTCCAAAAATAATAATTCTACAGTGGGCATTTAAGTCCTGCTGAGAATCTTACCCTGTTACTGAAATATATTTGGTCTCCTCTCTTACTGAAGTAATAATAGTTTAAAAAATGAAATCAAACATGGTGTCTCTGGCACAGTATCCTCTTACCTGGTAAGAAGGACTGCCACGTCATGGTGCAGTGGGTTGGCATCAGTTTTGGGATTGATACTCTTTTGCCATTTACAAAAGCTGGCTAAGGTCTTGTCTGCATGGTGAACTATTTTCAGCCCTTGCTAAAGAGAGGGAAATAAAAAATATATAATTATACTGCTAGAACACTAATAGCATCTACATTAATTATCAAGCTCAGTAAGGTAATTTAGATGTAACAAATGGTGCTTTTGCGTGAAGCGAGAGACGTAATTATGATAGCTGTTTACTGAGTCCAGAAAGTTGAGATAAAACTGTGTCATTTGGAAAACAATGGAAAAGGAATACCAAAAAAATACAAAAAGAGCAAAACAGCACATTAAGAGGCCTTCACAACTCTTAAAAAACCCACACACACCAGAAGAGCTTAAATAAGTTGTCAAACAAAAATGTTTCCCATTGTTTTCCGTTTTGAAACAACCATTAGCCCTAAATCAGAGAAAAATTGAAGCACGATTCTAGGGTTAAGAAAGATGCAACATTCTTAGCAGCTATGCAGTCTTGTAGCACAATTTTTCAGAATGCCTTCGAACATGCTGAGAACAACGTGGAACCAATTTGGAAACATTGTTCCCTAATCAATCCAAATCTTTCCTCTCCAGGGTCAAGCTCTGAGGAAAACAAACACATACATATTTTTAAGCTAAAACTCCAATAATCCCTGACCATTGGCTATGAGGCTAGGGCTGATGGGATTTAGAGTCTAAAAACATCTGGAGGGCCTCAAGTTCTCAATCATGGAATAGGGAATCACCTTGAAAGTCATGTGAAAAGCATTTATTATTGTTATTATTATTATTATTAGTAGTAGTAGTAGTAGTATTACCTCATCATCATCACTGAAAGAGAAGCAGTTCACCACACTTAACACAATTACACAACATTTAAAATATACACATTTATAATTAAATTATCATCACCATTGACATCATGATCACTGATTTATTAATCACCTTCCAAACAACCATCTCAAGGCAATATACACTAAAAATAATTTTTAAAAACTCAAATACACAAAAGCAGCAACACAGTAGACACTCATGGTAAACACCTATTTGTCCAGCTGTTGGAATATAGATAAGCAATAAAACACACAACAGAACAACTTTCCACAGCACTGGTGGCATCCCACAATGCTTGCATGTCCAGTGGCCTTCTAGAACACCAGTGCCGCCACTGAAAAAGCCTGCTTTTGTCTGGCTTCCTTCCCCTTCTCTGAAGTCTATCAAAAACTTTCTTTCTTAAGAGGAAAGTCCATGAAATGTAATTGTTACATGGGGGTCTTACCTCCTCTTCCTCTAGAAGAATCAGTCGAACCAGCACAATATGAATTGCATTGCCAATGCTTGGATCATGGAACAAGCCAGACACCTGGGCAAAGCCAGACAATATAAAGTTTATTAATTCATTTTCTGCAGCAATATCCCCGCCCCCACCACCCCGATGATGATGATGATGATGATCTATTTCCATAGCACCATCAGAAATATGTCTGGCACAGCACAGAGTAACAAAATATAGGTCTTTGCCTATATATAGTATGATAGCAGACCAGCTTTAAGGTCTTCTTGATGGTGTTAACAAAGTCCTAAAGAACGTGTGACCAGGTGCTTGAGGGACTGCCTCATTCCATACATACTTGTGGGCAGGGTTCGAAATTAGCAGGGCTCCAGGCACATTTTGCGCCTAAAGGTGATCCATCTGCGAGGACATCAAAAAGTCTGGGTGCCAGTTTTTGCACCTGGCTCACACTCAAGGATTCCTGAAATGTATTTGCTTTGAAGCCTCGAAGTATAAGTTAAGGATAGGCAATATGTTAAGGAGTTTAACAATAAAGAGTGGAGTGTTTTGAAAACCAAAGTATGGTACCAATATTTTTTATTGTAAACACCAAATTAGACATGTATTAACAATTTCTACTAAAAATGTGATCTTGACAATGTGTCACTTGTGAATTGCATATTAATGCATGCTTATCAAAATAATAAACAGAAAGTGTTGCCGCCCCCTCAGTGGCGACTAGACATTCTGTTTTGGCACCCACAACCCACGTCCCAGAAGCCATTTGGCTCCTAGTTTTTCCACCCCAGTTTCTAACACTGCTTGTGGAATGTACTGTGTTTTTTAGGAGAGGCACTTTTGACCTTGCCACATATTACTGAGGTCCACCAAGTGACCACTTGGATCAGACAAACATCCGCTAGACCATGCTAGGGTTGTTCCCCTGTCCCAGATTTAGCCTTTGCAAAAGCTGGATGGACAAACCTTTCCTGGCTCACCACTTCCTCCAATGCCCTCTGGAATATTCGCCTACACTTGATTCGGTCAGAATTACAATAAATTCTGGAATCTACTGCAGAGGGCAGTGCAGCTGTATGAATAAGCGTTCTAGCATTATCAGTCTCAATGGCAGAAATCAAGGGGGAGCTTGCAGCAGGTTGTTCTCATTTGCAGGCATGTGGAACCTGTGGCCCTCCTAGTATAAAATTCATAGAATTGTAGAGTTCCTATGCAGGAATATGCAGCTGTCCCATACAGGCACCAAACCTGCAACCTTGGCGTTATCAGCAACATGCTCTAATGGACTCCAGTTCCCATCAGTTCCCAGACAGCATCCAGTAGTCAGGGATGATGGGTGTTGTAGTTCAACCATACCTGGAAGGTCACAGGCTCCTCATCCCTGCTTTAATTGCTGACTTTATTTAAAAAGATTTTTTAAGGCTGCTTTTTGCCCTCACAAGATAGCCTCCAACACACTAAAACACAATTCATACACAATCAAAATCGAAACATATCAGAACGCCATTAATTATGTTTGGAAGTGCCCCTGTGCAGTTGAGCGCTGATTCTGCCTTATTCGTTTCTTTTATGACAAGGAAGTTCTAACCATGAGTTATGACATTTTGTTAGCATTCATGCATTGCATTGAAAAGGGATTAATTACTAAGGGCTCTTGGCTGCGTTCCTGTCAGAGCTAGTTCAGGCAATCTTCACTTCATGTGAGACAGGGATAGTCAAGGTCAAGTAATCCATTAGACAAGTGGGACATTTGTCCATTGAAGGAAAGCACCAGTGACAGGACACATTAACAGGGTTTTCACATCCTGCCCACCAACTTGCTCACAACCGGAGATAAAACAAGTTATCAGCCTGGCACTCTTATATCTGAACCAGGCCATAAATTGGGTTTCAATAATCTTTGTCACGATCCTGTGATGCTTTGAAACCATATGCTCTACTGCTGAGCTATAGTCCTTTCCCCACAAAAAAGATATGGTGCCAGGAAGAAAGGAGATCATTCCACAGATTTGTGGGCGAGGCATTGGGGGGGGGAAACCCACTCCCTTCTGGCAATCCTCCAAATTTCCTTTAGAGGGAGCCCTTGAAGGACAGCTTCCCTCAATAAGCTGAGGACATGGGTAGATATACATATGGGAAGGAGCATTCTTTTAGCTCAGCTTTTCCCAACCTGATTGGGACCCCGATGTTGGTTTCTGTGTGTTGCCACTGTGCAGTGCTCTTGGAGTCACAACTCTCTGTTTTGCATTCCAGAGACATTACAGATTGTTGGAAGTCTCACGGAAGACAGGAGACGGATGTGATGTTACTGGTTTCCTGTTCCTTTGTTTTTCAGTCGCTCTCTGCTCTCACAGAGAGAGGATGTATTTCTTTTCTGTCTGCGTAGCTTAGTAATCAAACTCTTAGCATGTAGCTCATATTTCTCGTCCTTCCCTGTGCTGGATACTCTGCGCAATGGGGGAACGTGCTTGGAGCCTTATCAGAGGCTCAGGTCATTAATCATGTCAGAGGACTCGACCGGAGGAGTCATTCGGTCGAATGCTCACTGCCCCGGGAAGCCTGCCAGTCCCTAATAAATTGGCAATGAGGGTGGACTTTGAACTTATAGCCAAAAGCCTACCTTCCCCAGCTACAACTCCCACCATCCCTGACTGTCAGCTATGAAGGCTGGGGATGATGGGAACTGGAGTCCAACAACATTGCGAACGTAACAGCTGGGGAATTCTGCTTTAGAGATATCATGGTCCCAAGCCATATAATGCTTTATTGTTAAAACCAGTCCTTTGAGTTGGGTCCAGAAGCCAGCAAATGCAAGAAAGGACCAGGGCTATGTGCTCATACGGTGTGGACCCTGTTACCACCCTCGCTTCCGCATTCTGTACATTACATACCATGTTTATGATAGTGAGGATATAGGATTCCACATTCTCACTTCCGTGGTATTCAATCATCTTGCTGTCAGCAACCACCAACGTCTCCACCCATCGTTCTTTGCTGACAGAACGGCGGGAGATGGCTCTCCCCGTCACCCGGTTCCTCTCCCATTTCTCCCTACGAAGCTCTTGCTGTTGGAAAAAGCTCAAAGTTTCTGAAAATGGAAGACAAAATGCATTGACCTTCTTTCCCATGTAGGCATACTGTTATGTTACAGAAAGAAATGGATGCTTTTCCCCTTCTCTCGGAGAAAAAGAGCTCAAAACAATACATGGATTACTTTCTGGGAATGCCTGGCATTTCAGAGCAGACAACTGGCATTTGTGTTTTAGAAAGGACTTTCAAAACGCTGGGGTATCTTCTCATCAACCAGGGATAGGGAATCTTTTGCCCTCCATGTATTGTTGGACTCCAGTGCCCATCCATCCCACCCTGCTTGGCCAATCATCAGGGATGATGGGAGTTGTAGTCCAACAACATCTGGAGGGCTACAGGTTCTCCATCCCTACTATGAATATTTGAGCACAAAACCTGTCCCAAAACAGAAAAACACCAAAATATCATTCCAAAATGTGAAACCGAAGAGCAGTCTATCTATTCAGCATCTGCTGGAAACTTGGACAAGATTTCTGTCTTTTCTGTCTGAAAATGTACCAGGAACCATAGGTTGCCTCTAGATTCAATTTAAGAACTGCTCAAATTGTGGCTTGAGAGCTGGGAAACTGCATTGTCCCACAGGGAGCCCTTGCTGGAGCAATACCTGCTTTAGACAGTGATTGCTCCAGTTATTATCCTGTAAATTATAGCTGTAAATTACCTGTAAATTATAGTTGGAAAGGCCTGTAGATTCCCCCCCCCCCCAATTCTGAAATCACATGATTAAAATAGCCTCTGTGGTTTTAATAGGGGCTTATTTTTAAAAGCACACATACCAACTTCATCCACAACATTTAGATGTAATTGATAGCAATCATATTTTGCATTAGGAACAGCTTTGACTTAGCACGTATAAGCTGTAGAACAAAAAGTCCCTGTGATCAGTCATAATAAGATTTCTACTGGCAACTTGTAACCATGTAATGGTTTAATGATCTTTAATGTCAATTCTGCCCAATCAAATATTTCATTTGGTACCCTTTTTTCTCATTAGTGTTGCATATTCTTTAAAAGACATAACATCACATAATTTGCAAAGTAACATAAATTGAATCTTTCATTCCAGAGACAATATAATCATGAAGTTACTGCTGGAAAGCAACATTAAGCCATGCTTTTTTCATAGAATCAAAGAATTGGTGTGTGTCCATGTGTCTAATATGTCTTCTAGTCTACCCTCTCAACTTGATACAGGAAACCCGGAGCTATATAATCCAAAACAAATAACTGTTTCCCACCACCTTGGCCCACACCAATAGCTAGTGTTTTGTGGTGACTCCACATTCTCAGTCCTAGGTATTGTGTGTGTGGCCTGTCTCTTTAAGATTAATGCCTGGTCTGGAATTGAAACTCCCCTCCCTGCTTTGGGTGTGGTTCCCTCTACAACTGAGTGGGAGCTAGTTGGAACCTTCCGTCTTGCCCACTGGCGGATATGCTGAGTTCTCGATCTGTTTTTCACAAATAGATACTACTACTGAAGCTTTCCTGCTTAGTATTACAACAGACCCATTGGAAGGTTTGGAAGTACCCTTCCCAAACCCAAGGGATGCAACATGGTGTCAGAAGTGGGCCTATAGTTTCAGTAAGCCAGAAGTATTTCTAACAGAAAGCCTGTAGCTGCTGCTGGAAGCTGCAAGATGAACACCTTCAAGCCTGCTTCTGAGCTACACTAGTGTTGTAGAGGTTTCCTACCCTTTATCAGGCATTTTCTAATTTTTTTTTTTCTATTTCTGCAAACCTTAGAATTCTCCCAAGGCTCCTTTTCAGAAAAGCACCTGGGGTTTCTTTTTTATTTTACTAAACAAAGGATGGTGTACTTCATGGAGGGAGCTGTAATCAGTAGCATTAGTTTTTTATGAACTTGCATCCCATCAGAGAGGGAAAGTTTTGCATATCTGGAGACACATTATAGCACAGGCTGTCTCCATTCAAAAATGAGAAGTACAGTAGTACTGTATATATATATATGTGTGTGTGTGTGTGTGTGTGTGTGTGTGTGTATACAGTGGTACCTTGGGTTACATACGCTTCAGGTTACATACGCTTCAGGTTACAGACTCCGCTAACCCAGAAATAGTGCTTCAGGTTAAGAACTTTGCTTCAGGATGAGAACAGAAATCGTGCTCCGGCGGCAGCAGGAGGCCCCATTAGCTAAAGTGGTGCTTCAGGTTAAGAACAGTTTCAGGTTAAGAACGGACCTCCAGAACGAATTAAGTTCTTAACCCGAGGTACCACTGTACTTTATTCAGAGAGCCTTTGTCCCCCAGTTGGAAGAAGGGGAGAAAGAACTTTGTACTTGTTCCTTGGCAATTCAGCTAAAGTTATAAAATGTCTGAATTGGACAAGAGGGCCTTGGGGTCTCTTCCAATTAATTACACTGAGGCTGAGTCCAAATCACAGCTGACTCCACTGCTGGTGTTTGAAGCTGAGTACTCATGACATAAGCCACAATCTGTAGATATCCTCTAGCTTCTTCAGAAATTCTGTTGGATACTCTTTCCCTCAAACCAGCTTCCTTCTGATTTGAAAAAGGAAGTCACAGTGAAGCTGAGATGTATACATTTCAGGCAGCTGTTGCACATGCCACACACACGACACTTTCAGTGACTTGGCATTTGATGGCCGGGGGAACAAATCAAGTGATGGCCATCGGGTGAAGAGATCCTTGCCCATTGGTCTGCACAGCAGTGTGAGAATAAGGGAGACGACCTCGCTTTGTTTCAAACCACTAATGTGAACATAGACACAGAACCACCTGTGAGACTGAGAGCAAAGCCGATTCTCCCAATTTCTGCTGCTCTTAGCTTACTGAAATTTACTCTCTTACACCCCATTAATCTCAGAACTGGGGCAGTGGAATCTTGTGACTTAATTTCCCTAAGGCAAAAGAACCCATGGAAGTTGCAGCCAGTGTGCTTTATTTTCAAAGCGACTTCTTGCTGACAGAGTCATCAGCAATGCCAAGAGGACAGGTCATGCTGTCACAGTAACTCATAAATAAATGCTTAATAATGAGCATCATTGACTGAGAAATGCAGGAGGTAAATAAACAGGCTTTTTTTTATACAGTATGCAATAATAGTGTTTAACTTTTAATATTGTTTTAATAATTAAAAAAAACTGAGTGCTTTAACCTCACATTAAACTCCATCTAGCACAATTTTGTTCTATTTACTTCCCCAAAACCCTTTGTTAGGGAGGATGGCTATGTGTCTCACTTTACACAGGACTGTTCTCTATTTGGAAATAGTTTAAACTGTCCAATGCCCAATTTAACAATAAATAACCCTAGCAAGGAAAATCAGGGGCCTTCACAGTAACCCAACAACAGCATTTGGACAGGAAAATGAACTGGCACACAGCCCAACTTGTCACGGTCTTCCCCTCACTGTGGTGAAATGTATTCTATTTCTACATATACTATAGCAATCAATTTCTAAATTTGTATCTATACATTTAAATTGCCATATTCAAGTTTCATGCAAATTGGAGTCCTATTTGGTTCTCTTTTCTTCTTGAAGAATTTTATTTTGGACAACGCATAAGTGCCCACTGTATGTGAAGGGGTGAAGTTTAGTGACCCCATAGTTGGCCAGCCAAAACCATCACAGGGTCTCAGGACTCTGTACTGCCCAGCCTCTATGTGACATCAGAAGAACATCAGAGAAACCTGCAAGTGGGACGTGAGTCCAAAGGCACTCTGCGCACCTGTGGCTCTCAGAAACTGGTATTCAGAGGCACACTGCCTCTGACCATAGGGGTAGAACATAGCCATGGTAGCAGTTGATAGCCTTGCCTTCCATGAATCTGTCTAACTCTTTTTTCAAGCCATCCAAGATGGCGGCCTTCACCGCCTCCTGGGAGAGTTTAACAACGCACAGTATGGGAAAGTACTTCTTTTTATCTGTCTGATTCTTCCAACATTCAGTTTGGATCAATGTCCACATAACTCTACCAGCCTTTCTCAACCTGTGGGTCCCCAGATGTTGTTGAACTACAACTCCCATCACCCCTAACTAGCAAGGCCAGAGCTCAGGGATGATGGGAGTTGTAGTCCAACAACATCTGGGGACCCACAGGGAGAAAAACTTCTATTGCCTTTCTCCATACCATGCATCATTTTTTATTGCCTCTTTTTATGTATCCTCTTCCTCAAATCAAATCAAATTTTTATTGTGGTCATAGACCAGCATAAGGGGGAGGGAAAACTATGTTGAACTATGAACTATGTTGAATTCCTTCCACTGATACCTTATGCCGCCATTAGGTTACTGAGTCTTACTCCCAATCAGGTAGGCGCAGGACCGAAACTTAAATATCCTGAACAGCTACCGCCAGCTGCTAAGAACTTCTGTGTTCCTGGCAAAATATTTTAAATTTTTTTTGGTCCACGATTGTCAAATCGTTTAGCCTGGAGCAGAGCCTCTGAAGCGCTTGGAAATACTACGTAGGAGGTATCCTGATGACTACAGCCTTTGGCTTCAGGGCTGGGATCATTTGCCAAATGCTAAATGTTAAGCCTGGGGGTGTTTTTAAGTCTGCTGAAAGCTTCTAACACTCCAGACAGCCACCTCTTCCCCACATGACCACCCATTTGCCATATTTTGCAGCAGGGGTCACCGGGAGTTATTTAGAATCAAAATCATTTTAACATATTGCCCAATGAGTCAGTGCTCCGAGATCAATTGTCTATAATGGTTTCCAACTGCCACATGGTTTTCCATACAGCGTAGAGCTGAACGGAGACTGTGAGGCCAAGGGCCAAATCTGAAAACACAAATTGCACATATCTCAGGGCTTATACAATGCGGGGAGCTGCGCATGTGGTAGCTATTGTATATCAGCATTGCAATTAAGCAGCCATCTGGTGATGAAGGGGAACTGTTCATATTCCTTTAATAATGAAGTTGATTTTTAAAAATAAAAATAAGGGCTCGCTAGTTTTATCTGCAAGGTAACTGCCTTCAGGCCTGCGTGCGAGCGCTCTTCCAAATTGGAGGGGGGAATCATAGTTTTATGGCAGTGATTTCTACAGATTCCCGCCCCCCAAGCCTTTCCCCCTGGTTTCTCACATTTAATAAATTAAGCTAAGTTAGTGTACTAAAGGGCTGGGGAACCTCAGTGCATTCAGAATCTGAATGCAAGCCTCCGTGCATCTCTGTTTGGCCCCTAGGACTGGTCTCTGCCTGGTCACACCCCTCCCCAGCCCTGTAGAGTGCTTTTGACTGCCTTTGTCATTGAACTCTGATAATGCTTCTTGCTTGCCCAGATGGAGAACAGAAAGGGGAATGCGATACCCTCCTCCAACATTTCTGATGAAAATAGGGTCGCCCTGTTCCATAACTGGGACGCGGGTGGCGCTGTGGGTTAAACCACATAGCCTAGGACTTGCCGATCAGAAGGTCGGCGGTCCATAACAACAATAGAAATAATTTTATTATTTAAACCTTGCCCATCTGACTGGGTTTCCCCAGCCCTCTGGGCAGCTTGCAACATATATAAAAACACAACAAAACATTAAAAATTAAAAAAAAATAACTTCACTATATACAGGGCTGCCTTCAGATGTCTTTCAAAGGTTGTATAGTTATTTATCTCCATAGCTTGGAAGTCACATAACTCCATACCCTCCAACATTTCTCCGGTGAAAATAGGGACGTCCTAAGGAATAGGGACATTCCAGGATTAAAACAGAAACTGGGACGGCTTCTGTAAATCTGGGACTGTCCCTAGAAAACAGGGACACTGCGCTGTGTGTAGGAACTAGCCTACTATAGAAAGGTAAGAGCACAGCACTGCGTCAGCTGCCGTTTGTTAAGGGTAGTTTGTGTAGTTTGTTAAGGCTGCTGAGTGTTGTTAGGAAACCCTTAATAAACTATACTTCATATCCCAGGATTCTTTTGTGGAAGCCATGACTCTTAAAGTGGTACAAGAGTGCTTTCAAATTTATAATGCTGAAGTGACCAGATGTATAGGCAGGCTTATGAGAACCCCCAAAATGTGCAACGGTATGTATAAACAAACAAATAAACAAATGGAGGAAGACAAAGGGGTCAGAGATTACTGACTGGCTATTGGGTTTGGGACGCGGGTGGCACTGTGGGTTAAACCATAGAGCCTAGGACTTGCTGATCAGAAGGTTGGCGGTTCGAATCACCATGACGGGGTGAGCTCCCATTGCTTAGTCCCTACTCCTGCCAACCTAGCAGTTTGAAAGCACATCAAAGTGCAAGTAGATAAATAGGTACTGCTCTGGTGGGAAGGTTTCCGTGCGATGCTCTGGTTCACCAGAAGCGGCTTAGTCATGCTGGCCACATGACCCGGAAGCCGTACGCCGGCTCCCACGGCCAATAAAGCGAGATGAGTGCTGCAACCCCAGAGTCGGTCATGACTGGACCTAATGGTCAGGGGTCCCTTTACCTTTACCTTTATTCAGTTGGAGGGGTGGGGTGGGAAGGACACGGCAAACCAGGGGAAGGAAGGGATGGAGAGGTTGGGATCCTGCTCGCTCTGCAACATTTGGTGCCTTTTCTCCTTGTCCCATTGTAATCACAGCGTGCATGAATTTATCTCTGTGTAGACTGACAAAATTGATGAGGCTTTTCATAGCTTGCAGTCCACTTCCTAAAACGCTTCCATGGTTCCAAATCTGGGCTTTAAAACAAAGAAGCAAGCACACAGACATACAAAACGGCAGCACTGCCATGTAGACCCATCGCCGACAGAAGGCATTTGGGAAGGAAAACTCTTGAAGTGTTGAGCAGCCTAGTGTGGCGAACACAACACTAGGCAACTTTATAAGCGAACAGGGCATAGCTGTATTCAAGGCAGCCTCAGAGAGTGTGCAACCATCTCCTCTAAAACCTGAAATGTTATTCTGGAAACCAGTTTGGAAGAGAAAACCAGTGGGCAGAAGTGCCCCTGTCTTGGGATACAATGCCATGTGTGCAACATATGGAACAAAGCTGAATCACTGGACTTTGGTGCAGAGATAACAACAGATGGGAGAGAGCGGTCACTGGCTCATTTCCCTCCCCCTTTTGGAACAGGATTCCGGAATGACTGTCTCTTCAGCTGCTGCAGAAAAGAAGCCCTTTTTGTAATGTAAAAGGTAAAGGTAAAGGGACCGCTGACCGTTAAGTCCAGTCGCGGATGACTCTGGGGTTGCGGCGCTCATCTCTCTTTACTGGCCAAGAGAGCTGGTGTTTGTCCACAGACAGCTTCCAGGTCATGTGGCCAGCATGACGAAGCCACTTCTGGCAAACCAGAGCAGCACACGGAAATGCCGTTTACCTTCCCACCGGAGTGGTACCTATTTATCTACTTGCACTTGACGTGCTTTCGAACTGCTAGGTTGGCATGAGCTGGGACTGAACAACAGGAGCTCACCCCGTCACGGGGATTCGAACTGCCGACCTTCCGATCGGCAAGCCCTAGGCTCAGTGGTTTAGACCACAGCGCCACCTGCGTCCCAATTTGTAATGTACTCATCTACAAAAGTCATCCCTGCAGCTCTATGGATAACTTCATTAGTTTCCCTCTTCCTTCATTTCTGCAGGAGTTTACAGTTACCCTTGTGTAGGGGGGCATCCCATTGCTCTGACTTCTGCTAGTGTGCAATACGTTAGTTGAATCTGGCCTAATATTTTTAGTATCATAGTAGCAGAAGCACATTCCATTTCATTCCTGCAGTCAGGTGGTGCTGAAAGGGAGTTTAAAATGGAAAAAGGCGCCTGCTGAGACATTTACGATACACACATACATATGGTTTAGCAAACCGCTTATCTTTTGCTCTGATATATCAGGAACATAGGCACAGCTGTAAAGCATGGAATGGCCAGCGAGCAAGGTAAGACTGGAAGAATATATTGAAGGCAAAACACCACAAAGTTAAATATATATTTCATGCAGAGGGGACATTCAGCAGGCTGTTCTTACGGTGGCTAAGCACATGTCTACGGAAAGCCCAAAAGCAGAACCTAAGAACAACAGAACTCATGATTCCCAGCAACTGGAATTCAGAGACATATTGCCTCCAGTAAAGTAATGTATCTTTTAGGGAAGCAAAATGGTTATTTAACTAGCTTCTCCATTCCCCTCCTCCTGTGTTATTATGCAAACCATTCTGCAGAGTTCTTTTATATAAGCCAGCGTGATGTGATATAATAATAATGATTATTACGATCACTTACAATCTGCTCTTCAGTATGAAAGTTCCAGGGTGCTGTACCATCAATCGTACAATTATTATAAAAAGCTTTTAAAAAAGATAAAAGCACAGAAACAACAGCTATAAACCTAACAAAATCCAGTAGAGTGATACCATGAAACCAAAACAAGTTCTAAAACCTGCAGAGAAATCTGAGGACGTTGACAAGCTGGTATGTGTGCAGAGGAGGGCAACCAAAATGATCAAGGGTCTGGAAACCAAGCCTTATGAGAAACTGTTGAGGGAGGTGGGTATGTTTAGCCTGGAAAAGAGGACACTGAGAGGAGCTAAGATAGCTATCTTCAAATATCTCAAGGGTTGTCTCATGGAAGATGGAGCAAGCTTGTTTTCTCCTACTCCAGAGGCTAGGACCTGGACCAATGGATTCAGGAAGAACTTTCTGTCAGTAAGAGCTGTTAGACAATGGAATGGGCTCCCTCAGGAGGTTGTGGGTTCTCCTTCCTTGGAGGTTTTTAAGCAGAGGTTGGATGGCCAGTGTGGTATAGTGGTTAAGAGCGGTAGACTCGTAATCTGGTGAACCGGGTTCGCTTCCCCGCTCCTCCACATGCAGCTGCTGGGTGACCCTTGGCTAGTCATACTTCTTTGAAGTCTCTCAGCCCCACTCACCTCACAGAGTGTTTGTTGTCGGGGAGGAAGGGAAAGGAGAATGTTAGCTGCTTTGAGACTCCTTCGGGTAGTGATAAAGCGGGATATCAAATCCATCTGTCATGGATGCTTGAGATTCCTGCATTGCAGGTGGTTGGACTACAAAACCTTTGGGGGTCCCTTCCAACTCTATGACTCTTTGAAAGCACTCTTATACCACTTTAAGAGTCATGGCTTCCCCCAAAGAATGCTGGGAACTGAAGTTTGTTAAGGGTGCTGACGTCACAAGTCCACAGTTCCCAGCACCTTAAACAAACTACAATTCCCAGCATTCTCCAGGGTGGTTAAAGTGGTATAAGAGTGATTTGGATGCATGGTGTGGATGTGACAGGAGTTTGTGGCAAATCTTTCACTCACTGCAACAGGAGTAACAAGCAGTGTCTGTCACATCTGGCTGTCTTAAGTGTGTGAGCTTTGCAAAAACAACACCCACCCACACCCACACACCACAGAACACTGTCTTATACAGAGACTCTTCTTTTGCCATTTTTCTGACTTTCAAACAGTAAGGGAGAAACGATGGGGAAAGATAATACTTGCAAGGAAGAATAATTAAAGTCGTTTCAATATTGTTCCAGCGAAAGCTGAAATTGTATAGGGAACTCATATGTTTATTGTAACAATTTTCATGAAGATGACAGAGCTTCTGCGCAGCTAATCAAACTCGTAATCTTGCAAAGAAAACAGAGATGATGAAAATGCATCCCGAATGCTGGCACTTCTAATTTCCAACATGCTATCATCTTCTTAATTTCAAGGAACATCCTGCTTTCTTCTCACAATGTGATAATGATGGTGGTGATGACCGAATGGAGTAGAAAATATTGTGAAGTGTACACTCATTAATTTCCCAGCGACCTGTAATCAGGTTCCTTTTTAACAACTCGCACAACACCTTCTCCCACTGCCTAGAGTGGGGGAGAAAAACCTTTGGGTTCCTTAGCTCGTTGCAGACATGATTTGGACAGATTGAACATGTGCAGAGGGAACAGCATCATGGTAACAGACTCATACAATGTGTTTCTATGCCTGAAACGAACCCTTGCACATACCAGACATTCAAATAAGAGATCATCACACCCCACACATCCATGCTACCTGAAAAAGCCAGCATTGCATGCCCACTGGTTTTGGGATCCCCCATCCCAGTAGTGATGTATGGAGGTGAGAGCTGGACCATAAAGAAGGCTGATCGCCAAAGAATTGATGCTTTTGAATTATGGTGCTGGAGGAGACTCTTGAGAGTCCCATGGACTTCAAGAAGATCAGAGCTATCCATTCTGAAGGAAATCAGCCCTGAGTGCTCACTGGAAGGACAGATCCTGACGCTGAGGCTCCAATACTTTGGCCACCTCATGAGAAGAGAAGAATCCCTGGAAAAGACCCTGATGTTGGGAAAGATGGAGGGCACGAGGAGAAGGGGACGACAGAGGACAAGATGGTTGGACAGTGTTCTCGAAGCTACCAGCATGAGTTTGACCAAACTGCGGGAGGCAGTGGAAGACAGGAGTGCCTGGCATGCTCTGGTCCATGGGGTCACGAAGAGTCGGACATGACTAAATGACTAAACAACAACAACACGCTTAGCACCTTTTCCTAAAGAATTTTTGGGACTCCAGGCTTACTCCTGAACACTTTCTCTTGGTTCATCCTTTATCCCTGGCTTGTTCCTTGCTCCTGCCTTGGCCCTTTGAGTGCTCGACTGCTGACTTGTCCCCCCAGCTTCTGGTTCTCAGCCCCTGGCTCACTTCAGGGTGCGGCCAATCGCTCAACCCCAATGCTGCTCTGAGCACAGAAGCTCCTGCAGTAGCACATGGGATGACCTCCCCAAACAATGTGCTTCATCTATCAGAAATTTAAGAAATATGGATGTTGATGTATTGATACTCTAGGGCAGGAGAGGGGAACCTATTTCAGCCTGAGGGCCAGGTTCCCTTCTGGGCAACCTTCCAGGGACCAGATGCCAAAGTGAGTGGCATTCTGCCTGATAGTCACCGCCATGCCCCTTCTAAGATGATACAATAACCTTATCATTGTACAATTATTTGATAATAAGGGATAAGGTGAAGGTAAAGGGGCCCCTGACCATTAGGTCCAGTCGTGACCGACTCTGGGGTTGCGGCGCTCATCTCGCTTTATTGGCTGAGGGAACCGGCGTATAGCTTCCGGGTCATGTGGCCAGCATGACTAAGCTGCTTCTGGTGAACCAGAGCAGCGCATGGAAACACCATTTACCTTCCCGCTGGAGCGGTACCTATTTATCTACTTGCACTTTGATGTGCTTTCGAACTGCTAGGTTGGCAGGAGCAGGGACCGAGCAACGGGAGCTCACCCCGTTGCGGGGATTCAAACTACTGACCTTCTGATCGGCAAGTCCTAGGCTCTGTGGTTTAACCCGCAGCGCCATCCGCGTCCCGATAATAAGGGATAGATTGTGCAATTAATGGACATCTGCATGTGCTTCCTTTCAGCAAGAGATACAAATATATGGGCAAATATATTATTTTGGAGTGACTAAGTTGTGTTTTACATGAAGTTCCCATGACACTCCATCATACATAACAGAACTTTCACACCATTCGCTTGAAACGTAAATGTGTTTCAGTTTTCCGACATGCTTAGCTTTGGCTAAGCATGTTTTCCCTTTCATGCTGATTGAGCAACTCTAAGACAGTGGAGATAGTGGCCCTGCAGGGACCCTGCTGCAGAAACAGTCAAAGGTCTTTGACCCCAGATCACTTCACCACTGGTTGTAGAGCTCTGGGACTTGACCCCATTCCTGTTGAGTGAAAAGGTTTCTGCAAACATTCCCGAAAATTTGGACTGGGATAAAGATATACAGTTACTGATTATCCTCCTTACAGATGATGATCATCTCTTTTCCTTCCAAGTGAGACTCGGCAGACCAGTTTGCCATTTTTAATGTTTATCTTGGCAAGAGAATTTTTTTTAAAAAAGAAGGAAGTGGAGCCCAACTACAGTGAGTGACAAAACTTCCATTTCCCCAGGCAATTAGGGTGAAACAGCTGTCCTTCACTAATTCTGTCCATGACTAATTCAGAAGGAATTTGACCCAAAGGAGCTGGGGAGTCTTAGCTAGGGGAGGGTGGAAATGATTTGAAAAGAGAATTGCGTGTCCTGTCTGCTGCAGATTTGGCTCAATGCCAATTTCAGGACAACTTGGATGAAGGGTTTTTATTAGATCACGTACAAGGAGGAAAATAACAAGAAAGTATTTCATAAATCGGAGGCAGGATTTGCAGTGGGTCCTCTGAGCCTCCTAGGCCTAGGATGGTGGGGTGTGTGGACTGTTGTCCTCATTTGTGAGAGGGTGTGAGGTATCTGCACTACAAATTTAAATCTGCTTCAAACTTGGTTTAAGATGTGCGGTGGCATAATAGCCAAGCATATGAGCCCAACCCAGAGCTCCTCTCCACAGATTTTGGTTCCTTCAAGGCCCGGGAGAGGAGCGCTCCCTCAAAAATCTGCGCCCAGTCCCATGGCCTCTCTGGCACACACCCCCCCATGCTACACCCCTGAACTAAACCGCAACCTTTGCCTTTCCATTAGAATTCCAAACCATCTTGCAGAGCTGTGTAACCATTTAAACTGCAAACATGGAACAGGAACCTCTATTAAAGAGGAGGATTGTGGCTTGATTGTTTTCCCCATTCCCTGACAGCCCTCTTTGCTTATTTCTCACAATTACACCCGACAGCCTCAATCCAGCAGATGATATCATTGCTCTTGCTTGTGTGGTTGGAAATGTCCTAGAGCTGCACTCCTTCTCTACTGTGTCACTTTATCTTTCGAGATTGAGTGTAATGATCTTTGGCAGGCAAGCAAGCCTCAAATAAGAATTCATGACTCTCCGGCAATTTTATGTATGTTTATTTACAAAAAGACACATCCAGAACCTGGCTTCTCACCTGCTCGCATTTACGTTTGTTGATCTGTCTGAAGTTTTGCCTTTCCCACAGCAGGAAGGACACCAGACTCCCGCCTTTCCCCTCTTGCCCTTCCGCTGCCTTCTGATTTTATCCAAACGCCTAGAACGGGTACTGAAAGGCTGACCTCCCTCCTACTCCCCACTGACTTGACACAGACTCAGACCTCTTCTTATCTGCTGGTTGCCTAGCAATGTTCTGGCTGCCTTCCAACTCCTCCTCCTCTTGAGAGTTAATAGAGTCTTCCCTGTGAAGGGGGCTCGAGCTGCCCTGTCTCAATTCTGTCAGCCAGTTCTCATCTGCAGAGTCGGACCCTTGTTCACTTAGTTCAATCTCTGAGTCTAACTCATCCCCTGCGCTCTGGGAGGCCATGTTCCTGACATTGAGGTGCTCAAGACAGAGGAAGGAAACAGGGAGGAAAAGGTCATGTGATCCTACCTGGACCCTGAGATCATATCAGACATCCCCACTCCATCAATGAGGTACACCCTGGAAAGCTAAGCACTTTCAGAACTGTGTAAATGCATAGGGCATGAACCACTCAAGTGTGAACGCAGTGCCTGCATGCAGATTAAGAGCTATCTCCCACCTTGACTCACCAGCAGACTGCTGAGCCATTAAGTGGGGATCATAGGGTCTGTGGACTCCAAGCCTTCCCTCTCACCAAGAAACCAGGAGATTTGAATTTCAAGGTTGAACAACCTATCGTATACTGAGTTAGGAGACAAGAGAGGACTGTGCAGGGGCAGAGGGTGAGGATGGAGAAAAATTTTAACCTGCAAGTGATGCTGGTGAATTTTCTGCCTTTGAATTCATTTGTGTAACAGACCTCCCTGACAGATAATCTGGGACATTTAAGAGGCCTGAGATTCACAAGTTTCATTGTTCGGTTTTACACATCTCCATCATTAACAAAAACAAACAAACCACAAAGATAACTTCTGCTGGCTTCCAGCTCTATACTTGAACTCTTCATTCACTTCCCCATTAAAAAAGAAATTGCATAATGGTTCTAGACACCATAATACGGAATGAACCAGAAAACCCAGAATTTTGACACTTTGCCTTACCTAAGCACTCGGCAAAGGGCATGTTGTTGCTCTTCCTACATTGTGTAGGCCTAGTAGTAATTTGTGTAGACAACTCATTTTTGATGGAGGGTAGGTTTGAATCACACCAATATGAATCAGCCCACTTAACACATGAAGAATGCTTCTCGATGATAATAACTTCTTTTTAATAGTTTGTGTAAACTACTCATTTTCGCACACAAGGGTGACTGGAGCTTTGTGATTTTCCCTTCTTCAATGACAGAGTGCCTGCATTTGAATAAATGACCTCAAATACAGGAGCATAATAGCCTAACGGCACAGACAATATCCAGTGTGTTGAACTGTGCATACCACACTTCTACTTTCCCCAGCCAAGTTTTTAAGGTTGTGGCTGAGTTTTGTGCTATGAATTCAAGCATAGTAGGATGGGAGCGGGGCAGAAAACAGAAGAGCCTCTAGCTCAGCCTTTCTCAACCTGTGGGTCCCCAGATGTTGTTGAACTACAACTCCCATCACCCCTAGCTAGCAAGGCCAGAGCTCAGGGATGATGGGAGTTGTAGTCCAACAACATCTGGGGACCCACAGGTTGAGAACCGCTGCCTAGCTTAAACCATACCACAAATATGCCGGAACAGAGCTCCAAACTCTCCAGAAACGCACCACACCATGGATGGTGCCACAGATGACTGGATACACAGCAGGAATGCTCCTGCCCTCCTTATTATGGGAAGCAACTGGGATGCCTCTTTGATCCTTCTGCTCTGTCTTCCTTTGATAGAGTGACAGAGGGTGGCTACATGTCCTACTTAAAGTCTGGTTTAACAGGAGTCGCCAAACTTTTGGGGCCCATGGGTGTACTTGGAATCATATTATTTAATTACTCTTGATTTGTTGTACTTATCTCATGGAATCTCAGAGAGTTGGAAGGGACCCTGAGAATCATCAAGTCCAACCCCCCGCAATGCAGGAATATGCAACTGTCCCTTAGGGGGATCAAACCTGCAACCTTGACATTGTCAGCATCATGCTCTAACCAACTGAGGTATCTCAGCTTTTTCTCCAGGGAGCTCAAAGTGGGATTTACGGCTCCCTTCAGGGACAATTTCTGGTGCAGAAGGGAAAGGCTGGTGCACACACTCCACATTCACACACCCATCATGGTCTCAGTCTGGCTCACTCTCTGGGGATCCTAGCTAAAAAGAGAGAGATTGCTGTGTGGAGCACACATTTAACACAATTCAATATTTCTTAATCGGTAGGCATATTTGTGCCACCTGGGCGTTTAGCTTTCAAGTAACTGACTCAATTTCTCATATCATTTTCATGAGCAGGGGAGAAAGCAAACCACAGCCTAGCATATTCTAATGAAGTCACACAGGAGTTTTGGTTTTTTAAAAAAATTATAATAATTTAAGTGACTTTTTGTGAATCTCATTTCCTATGCTTTAGCAATTCCGAAAATGTCCATTCAAAGCAGGGCCCAGTAACCATGAAAACTAGATAATTATCTCAGGAAATGCAAGATGAACTTTTCAGAATGTGAGCAAAAGGACATCAAAAGTCAATGGTTCGTGAGCTGCCGAGCCCATTCTGCACAGAAAAACCCTAGTGTTTCAGACATTGCTTTATGGATGCTTGTTATTGTTTATCTCCAGTTATTTTAGAAAAAGAAAAAGAAAGAATATCCTGTCATGCATGATCACCTCCTGTTTTTTCTTTAGCTTGCATACAGACCTACCCCTTTCTTAAATCATTTCCAGGGAGAGGATTTGGGGCACATCAGGCATGCTAATTCAGCATGTTTGGAATTCCCTGAATTTTAATTCAGAATATCTGGAGCCCCACAGCAGGTGATTACGATTCTGTTGATATTTATCCAGAGCACAAACGGCATAGCCCACAATGGTGTCATGCAGGGTTGGGGAACCTTTTTGAGACTGCTGACAGCCATTACTACAGTAGAAAGCATTGTTGGGTGGGACCAGAACCACATACAATCACACAACACCCCCTTGACATATGCAGAGACACACAATCCCGGACGCATGGAGACAGAGGCAGAGATCTAATTTTCAGTAACTCCATTTGTGTGTCACAAAGTGCCGTAGAGTTTATAAAGCAACGACAACTCTGAAATACCCTTTACTTGTTCAGATTGTGCAAAGGTGGGGAGGGAGGACTCAGTAACCTTGCAAAAAAAGAGCCCCAACAGTAAACAGAAGTTCAATATGCACCCTCAACTGCCGGTGACTATCCAAAACCCTCAAACTTCAAAATGTGATGGCATCCTGAAAATGGCATACAGTGGTACCTCAGGTTACATACGCTTCAGGTTACATACTCTTCAGGTTACAGACACCACTAACCCAGAAATAGTGCTTTGGAGGTGCGGCAGCAGTGGGAGACCCAATTAGCTAAAGTGGTGCTTCAGGTTAAGAACAGTTTCAGGTTAAGTACGGACCTCCGGAACGAATTAAGTACTTAACCCGAAGTACCACTGTATATGCAACTGCAAGATGCATCAGAGCTTCTTAAATATTTTCAAGGAACACATTTGATCCTCTTACAAAGGTAAGAGCTGCCTTTATTTATTTTTCATTTATATCCCACCTTTATTGCAAGGCGCTCTAGATGGTGTACTTGGTTTTCCTTCTTCCCATTTGATCCTCACAACAACCTTGTGAGGTAGGCCAGGCTGAGAAACACTGGCTGGCCTAAAGTCGCCTATGCTTTGCAGGGCATCAAAGCCCTTCCCCTTCTGCTGTTTCCCATCAAGGAGCTCATGGGCAGGAGGGGACCCCAAGGGCCATTCTAACTGTGGTCCTGTTTGGCCTATAATCCAGGGGTTCTGCATGCTTTGAAGTGCAGGAGCATATTGTGACAGCTCCCATAGCCAAGCCCTATACATGCACACTGAAGAGCAGCAGTAAGTAGCTTAATATCCAGTTTATTAGGATCAGCATGACTGCAACCCTGTGCATAGTTTCCTGGGAGTAAACTCCATTCAACTCAACGGCCCTTACTTCTGACACAATAGGAACAACTTGTAGAAAATACTGAGCTTTAACAAAAGATCTTCAGCCATTTAAAAAGCCACCTTTCACTTTGAATTAGAAACGTGAACAGCATTGCAATGAAGTGTTTTCATTTAAAGGGCTAGTGTGGGAACCTCATCAAAGAAAAGGAAAGAAGTACCTAGCCTTGCATAATTTCCCCCTACATTCTCTGACTTTTCATATGCTAATCTGTTACAAGCATGCACAAAAGACTTACTATCATCTCACTCACTTGCCACGGACTTTCAATTACCCTGATGTTCCTAGTCTCTAGTCCATTTGCCCCACTGCCCCACTATACCACAGAATGTGGGACAAAACCATAGGAAGAAACCTGTTGTACTTAGTGACTTTCTTTCAGGCACTCCTCATATCACTTCTGGCATATCTATATAAGGGATGGGATGACAACTTCCATAATTTCTGAACACTGGCCATTCTGGGCAGGGGCTGATGGGAACCGGAGTCCCCCCCCCCAATCAGGAAGGGTCCCCAGTCCTGATCTACACTAACTAATCTAAAACCTCCTTAACTGTCAAAGTCGCATAAAACTGAACTCTGACTCCTCACAACTGTTGCCAAACTATCACCCCCAGGATTCTCTGAGGGAAACTATGACTGGTTTCAAAATAGTCCAGATTTTTAGAGTATTTTTGCCGGATGCTTCATGAAACAGCCATGGGGACAAGTTTATCTCCAGATAAGATATTTGGGATTGGGTTATTGAATGAAAAGGCATTAAAATAAAAAGATTTGAATGTGTACCATTCACTCCACAAGTCTGTTCCTCCTTCAAACAGGTGCCTCGTCGTTTCCGCAAAGCTTTCTGAAAGACATTTGCCCTGTAGACTATATGGGCATAAGGGCCTTCTCCTGACTGATATTTCTTCACCGGTTCAATGAAGTAATCTCCATCAGGCAGCTGGAAGTATCCAGCCTGAGAAGGGAGAAAGAGAAAGAAAGAAAGAGAGAGAGAATACATAGAACCATTACATTACAGTATTTATTATCCACCCTTCACCGAAAGCTCCCAACGATGTGAAAATACAATACTGTTTTTTGCGAGTCTCTCTTGATTTTTCCACCTTTTGTTTCACACGGAAAGGTGGGTGGGAATTTTGGCAACTAGACAGAGGAGAAAGCATAACCTGACCGTGTGAAGCAAACTTCACTTGGGTTAAAACAAAAAAAGGTGCCTAGCAACTGGCAAGAGTTTCTGAGGGGTGTGGCGACACGGCTACCTCTGCCCCAAAACACATAGTGTCATCAGTGAAAAAGGTGAGTAAGGAGGTGAGCCCCTGCTCAAGCCCCCACTTTTGGACAAAGAAGTTATTCTGTGAACAAAAAGGATCTTCCATCTTGGCTCTAGGTGGATTAGGAGGATTTCTGATGTTCACTCTTTGGGGCTGTATTCTCATATAAATATTGCACTTCATTGCAAATCTAAGTTGGAGTGTACCTGTGCGATAGTTTACCCTTTTAGCAAGGATAAAAGGTAAAGGTACCCCTGCCCGTACAGGCCAGTCTTGCCAGACTCTAGGGTTGTGCGCTCATCTCACTATATAGGCCGGGAGCTAGCGCTGTCCGCAGACACTTCTGGGTCACGTGGCCAGCGTGACGAAGCTGCTCTGGCGAGCCAGCACCAGCACAGCACACGGAAACGCCGTTTACCTTCCCGCTGGTAAGCGGTCCCTATTTATCTACTTGCACCCAAGGGTGTTTTCAAACTGCTAGGTTGGCAGGCGCTGGGACCGAGCAACGGGAGCGCACCCCGCCGCGGGGATTCGAACCACCGACCATGCGATCGGCAAGTCCTAGGCGCTGAGGTTTTATCCACAGCGCTGCCCGCGTCCCATTTAGCAAGGATATAACACATATTATTTTCCATATCCTTTATGGCTGGGGTAGCCAGTGTAATGAACTATCACTCCAATCACCCTTAACCATTTAGCATGCTAGTTGGGGTTGGTAGCAGATGTAGACCAAAAGATCTGTGCTAACCCCAATACATTATGGTGTATTAGTGCTGAGCTGCCTTATTAATTACCCTTTTGCTGCCTGAATCATTCACCATTCAGCCAAAATTTTGCACATCACCTACAGGAAGACGTATTTGGTGTGAAGGCAAAGTAAGAACAAAAGATGGATTTTTTTTTTACAAAAACAGCAGCTTTTTGACGTCTGAAGCAGTTCTAACATACCACTGACAGATGTCAAGATGGACCAAATACACTGAACCAACAGCAATTAAAACACCATGTGTGAACTGTTTCTTATGTCATTTATGTTGAATCATAACTAGTTTTACCTCCCTGCCCCTAGATTTTATCTCACCTTTTTTACCCATATTTGCATGACTCTAAGATCTAAAACACCAACAATTGCAGTTCTTCCAATCTTATCAACCATTCCTAGGCTAGGATGAGTCACAGCAGTCGGCAAGACTCTCCTGTTCCAGGCCCATGTTGGACAGCTTTCTATAAAAACATCAGGGAAATCACTTTTCCACTAGTCTGCTGATATGCTACAGTCCCCCTCCCAACCCAGTCCAACCCCAACCCTTGAATAAAGACATTAAGACGCAAAAGGGCAATTCAATTCTTCCTAAGCACATTAAAGTAATAAAAATGCATGACACAGCTTTCAAAATGCCAGCTGCAATTGTTGCCCTGATTGTCTAGAGTTCAGCTGGAGTTCTTTTCAGGGGGAGCTGGACTAGGCTGGGCTTGGGGGCAGTTCCACTCTCCCAGCATGCAAAACATCTCACATATTCATCCTGGCAAAAGTCGCCCAGCTGCACGGAGAAAATGTGCATCTAGCAAATCATGCCTCTTTATGATCTGGTAAAGCAATGTGGGAAACTGTGTTGCAGAGCACATTAAAATGTGCAGATGCCAATTTACAAAGAATGGCGATGATTTAAATGGAGATATTCTATATCTCACCATGGTGGGGAAGACTGCGACCAGCTGTGTGTGTGTCACTTCTAGCCTAGAGGCTAGAAGTGTGTGCTGGGCACAACGCCCGGACACGATGCTGTTGCATGGGGCATCTGGGCATCGCCTGGCAGCTTGGCTCCTGTGGCTGGTGGCGGCTCCTCCTCCTCTTCCTACCACTACCGCAGGCCAAGGGCTGTTTCCCCTCCATGGAAGGAGGAAGAGGAGGAGCTACCACGTTCCCAGCTCGTGCAACCGCAGCAAACCACTGTGGCCACACTTCTGGAAGCCGCCGCCATACTTGCGGAAGCACATTTCTGACGCCAGCTTCCTGAAGGCCACTGGCACTGGAAGCCTAGCAGGTCTGCTGGCAGCTTGGCAGGCCTCTTGCCAGTGGACTGGCAGGCATTGCAGCAGTGGCAACACGAGCTGCCCATCAATTTTAGGGGGGGTGAAGTCACCTCAGTCCCTATGAGTTGCAGCCCCTGTGTGTGCATGTATCTGGAACCACTGTAAGTGCTTCTTTGTCACTAAAGACTTAACCATGAGGCATGTGTCTTCCTTGGCTGGGGCAGGTCCAGGGTACCCATCCCTATCCCTTGTGGCTGGTTTCCCCCACTTAAATGCTCCACCAGGTTATTACTGTCTTTCCCATTGTTCTCTGAAACCAGAAGCAAATCCATCTGGAGGGTAATGCGGGGGTTTGTTTGCAGAGGAGAATCAGCAGGCACAGAAAAGGTGAATTGCACTCAAAGATACTGCACCCTGTATTTGAACTATTCCTGCACACATGGGATTGTAAACATCTGTTTGCTAAGTTGTTCTGCCCTGTGTTAAGCAGGAAAAAACCACTTACCGTATATCCAGTGTTAGCAGCTACCTATCCTTTCCCTTTTTGTGTGCCAATTCCCTACCCCCACCTCCCTGGCTCACCAAAGTTGTTTGTACAATTTGTGCAGACACGTTCCCACTTCACCGAGGCATCCGTTGACTCTGCATACGGTTCTGATGATGTATTCATTAGCTACTGTACTGTCCTCCAGGATCTCTACAGCCTGAAATGTGAGCGTTGGCATGGAACGGATGAGCGTTTTAATTATTTGCCTACTCAAGCATTTACTTACCCTGCTACTTCAGGGCAGACTGTACTGCAGACATTTCCTTGACTTTACAAAACAACCATCACGTTGCATTTTTACAGGTTGTTATGACTCCGTACAACTTGTCCTCTTATTAAAAATTAAGAACCTCAGAACATAATAAAACTAAAAAAGCAAGAAGTTGCAGGTTTGATTGACATGGCAAGCTTGGCAGAATCCAAACCAGCAAGGGAAAAGGAGAAACGAAAACAACCACTGATTAATTTTTCAAACTTTTTTTTGAAGTGAAAGAAGTATGCAAGTTACATCAGCCAACATGGAGTTAATTCCCATATTTTCAGCTCAGCTCAAAAGCAGCTGGAACTTCTGGGAGGCTACGGGGAAAGTGGACTCACCATCAATGTCTGGTCCAGCGTTTCGCTTTTGCTGCTGCCAGTCTCCTCTTGAGGAGAGGTGGGGGAGCTGACAGTCAATCATCTAGGCTGGTAAGAAGACCCCTCTCCTCTGAACTGTATTTTAAACAGACAGCTGAGTCTCCATGGGGCCCAGTAAGACCACCTAAAACCTTGTGGTCTGTAAACTTTCATTTTACTGTGGGTTTACTCATTTAAACCTATAGATCATTTGCTGCAGTGTTCCATTATGTTCTGTGTTTTGCTTTTCAATAATAACCACTTTGGGTATAGCTCACCATGGGAAAGTGTCTTGTATCAAACACACAGTCAGGAGGTGCTTCTAGCTAGATCATGGTGGGCAAACTTCTCCCCCCCATCAAGGGTCATATTCCTTCAGGGATAATCAGTCTGGGGGCTGCTTGCCAGTGATGGGTGGAGCCAGAGTGATGGGTGGAGCCAGAGACAAAAGTGTCCTGGATTAACACATCTAAATGATCAGATTATAATTTCATTTATCAAATTTATATCCCATCCTTCCTCCCCAAGGAGCCAAGGGTGGCAAGAATAAAGACACATACATGCCCCAGCTCAGTTTTCACCATGTGTCAGGGGTGGGAGTCAGGAGAAGGTCAGCAATAAATCACACTGCGTCAGTGAAGTTAACTCCCTCCTCTCCTGCTTCCACTTCTAATTCTGGTTCCTGACTTCTCTCCCTTCACTCCTCTGCATCCAGCCTGCCCATGACATCACGGCCATCTCAGATTGGAATCTCATTTGTTTGTTTGCTTTTGTTTATTGAGGTATGGCTGTATTGCGATATCATAAAATATCAAGGCGGCTACACAAAATGAGGCCAGGGACCATGTGCAGTCCCCAGGCTGTCCACCTGTGCCCTAGATCCAGCCTTGTTACTAGATACTCAAGTGATGGATGTGCCATTCATCTCCTCATAGAAAGAAGCAGCCTTTGTTTTGCAATGCTTTGATCACCTGTAGACTACTGCAGTGCATTGGGTGTGGGGCTGCCTTTGAAAACAGTTTGGAAACCTCAGTAAGACTTTCTGGGTTTTTTGAGGGGCCCAATCCACCTAAAGTTAAGTCCCACTGATTTCAACGGGAAAGCAAATGCTTAAGTCTCTTTAAGGACTTGACAGCACTTAAAGTTGGCAAAGTCAGGGCCACTGTCCTCTTTCCACCTCTAAGAATATTTACCGTATTTTCAAAAAAGGAAAAGGAATACAACCAAAGTGCCCCATGATTCCATTTGTCCCCCCTCTCTTACTGTTCCTTTGTGCATGTGTACTGCTAATTAATATGTACAGATGTGCATTTAGAAGTCATTAGTGTAATTTAAATAGAAATAAAATCTCATCCTAGCAGGGAAGATTGTGTCTGCTGCCTAGATGTGAACTGCTGATGGGCAACTCCCAGCCCCTTGCTCTCCCTTCTTACAACTCTTTATCTTTAAAGAGGACTAGGCAGCCCTTCAAACAGAGAACTGTCCTCTGTGAACTAAGCCATTTTAGCCAGAGTGCAGAAGGAGTTGCCCAGATGGCTACAGGGTGGTTTCTGCTTCCTTCTACACTTGCTCAGTCTCAGTTGACATAACTGGTACACTCTTAAGGGATGCAAATTTTTGGACATTTAATTATATTTCTGCAAAGAAGCACCATTTGCATTTTCTGCCTCAGTTGCCAAAAAAATAGTCTTGGGTGACAAGTAAAGTTAGGGAGGAAGAAATATTTCTCTGTCGCTATCCATCATCCTGCCAGCCACAAATTTAATCGCTGGGCTTGTGAGAAAAGGGATTGTTTCTGACTTTATGATTGCAGTTTGCTCCATTTCCCAGGTGCTGGAAAGAAACAGCTGCACAATCTGCTGCGCTTTCCATAAGAATGTTACGGGCACACTGACAGCACAAGGCTGGAGCTACATACAGCTTGCCTCTCCTGATTATCACCAAGGAGGAAAAAGGGAGGCGAGCCGGTATATGAAACCAATAACTTCACAAACTGCGGAGCCTGCTTTTGCCAGAAGGGCCAGCTGCAGAGTTTGAGAAGAGATCACTCAGCATTAAAAGAAACGCTGTACAGCACATTATGTGGTGCACGTTGTACCCTAACACTTAGGGTCATACTAGATGTGATGTTAATTGCATGAATGAAATTAATGAGCATGCTTTTTATTCTATAAATAGCAGCCAGGGAAGGCCTGGTCAGCCCTGGACTCATCGGTGGTGCGGAGGGGACTTGATGATAACCAAAAGTCCTGTAGTTCACTGGTGAAGCATCTGTTTGGCATCCATAAGGTCCCAGATTCAATCCCCAGCATCTCCAGGTGAAGCTGGGAGAGTCCTCTGTCCAAAATCCTGATCAGTAAAAATATTGAACTAGATGGACCAAAGTTGGTATGAGCACATTCCCAGGTTTCCTATATTCCAGAGCAGTGAGAACTTCCAGAGGCAGCATTTACCTGAGATTTCTGAAGGAAGAGATCAGTGAAGGCTTATAGTGTTTCCTCCATAGGTGGAGGCACAGCTTTGTTACCACAAAATCCCAGAACCCAGCACAGGTACACTGTTCTAAGCCCACCCAGCCCAAGGAGGACAATAGCTCAGTCAGTCACACCATTGGTCCATATAGCTCTATTGTCCACACGGATTGGAAGCAGCTCTCCAGAGTTCCAGGCAGTGTTCTCTCCCAGCTCTACATGCCAGGGACTGAACCTGGGACCTTCCACATGCAAGGATGCCCTCCTGCTGATGCCCTTCCTCCAGGCATCAAAACGTCTTGCGCATTTTGGGTGAGCACTTGTGATGTGCTGAGTGATGAGACCTGTTGGCAGCCGTTCCACATAACGTAGGCATTTGCACATAGGAGATTGCGCAGTCGGTGCAGAAATCCATTGTGCTCGGAAAGGAAGGTTGACAAAGCACCCTCTTAGCTGTTCGTGCTTCGGGGAAATGTTGTGGATGGCAAGGCCAATGAAATTGTTGGAGACAAGGACAAATGCCAATTTTGGCAAGCTACAGGGGTCGCTAAGGGCTTGACAAATCAGGCAGATTTTTTGAGTTGTATGCAAGTGCCTCAGTGGAATAACCAAACAGCTTTCTAATCAGTGTTGACGCTTACCTGCAGCTGCTGATAGAGGCCATGTTATTCAGGCGAGTGAAGTTATTTCCATAAGAATTACAGCTCTACATGGGTCATCATTTTAACAAAAGCATTTTCCCCATTTTGTATGAACTCTTGCTCTTTATTCAGATCTTTATTAGAATCTCCAATAAATCATTGTCAACCAGAGAATGTCCATTCCCGCCCCCATCCCAATTTTGGGGATATAATTCTGCTGTTCCTTCCGCAGCTCAAAGTTTTTTTGTCACTCCTAGGCAAGGCAGGTTATCTTAATGTCGCAGACTATTTGGGAGCAATCTTCAGGTTCAACAGAATGCTAGCCTTACTGGGAGCAGCACACAAATCAAACTGCCCAGGCTGTTTAAGGCAAGACAAGCAGCACCCCCAGTGAATGATGCCAATCTAAGGAAACAGGTTGGCTTGGTCTATTTCTGAGCCACTTCCAAGCTAAAAGCAGGGGTGCAAGGAAGGACTGTTGCTTAGGCAAATGTCAAGGAGAGCAAGGAAGGAACATGCTACAGATGTATAAAAGTATGCATAGTGTAATAGAGAATGTGAAGTTCTACCTCCCTCTGTCATAATAGTATAACCCAGGACCCAACCTGTGGTAGACAATTCAGGATAGATTTTTTTTTTAAAAAGTACACACAGTTCATGGTTACAATATGACA